GTTTTTTATATTAGTTGAATTAATATACTATAATGGAACTTATTAGTAGTAGTTTTTATCTCTATAATAATGCTAAAAATAATTCAATGACTTTTCTTGTTATAAGGTGCAGGTATATTGGAGATTTTTGGTGATGGATTTCAACCTGTTAATACCCGAATACTATTGTATGTATATTTACCTGTTTAATTTTATTTGAAGATATCTAAATCCATATTTTTACCTCGACTTTCTCGGAAATTTCGACCTATACAACTTTTAGGGCGTATATATTTATTGTACCTGGCCCTTTATCTGGATTTTATCTATAGGTAGAAATAACACTTTGATAAACAAACGTTTCCTCGTATATACCTAAGCTGATTTTACCGTTATACCGTAATTTCTCTATAATTAGTTATAACTAACGCAGAAATTAATTACAGCGTCATTTTGATTTTATAATTTCTAATAAAAAAATTCATATACTAGAAACTCCATGTTAATGTAAATATTAAGCAAACATTAATAGAATATTGTGTAATAAATATCAATTAGCACCGGGTTCACATTGACGCAACTATTCAGGTTAATGTACATCTAATTTCATTATTAAAATGGATTTCATTTTTTCAGTTAACGATTTATTATTTATTAAACGGGGAATTTTAAAAAATTAAATCATTATATCACCGGAAAATCACCATATACAAAATGGAAAATTTGCAATAGAATATTACATTTAAATGTGTGCTATTTTCGAAAATATATTAATAAAATTAAATAAATTTGTATAGATAAGCCATCCAGTAGGTGTATAGTTTTGCTATCTATTGTATTTAATCGATTACTGGAAATTGGAAAAACAACGTTTATCAAGTTTTTATCAACAAATACCTATCAATAAATCTTTGTAAACACTTTCTTCCAATTCGAACATTTAAATCGACAATAACATTGAATTCATCGCTGTATAAAATTTAGTCATATACATTTAATCATATTCAATTGATACACAATTTTAATTCAAGTTATTGTAAAATTTGATTAGTTCAAATTAAATCCTAAAATGTGGCTTTATTTTTTCTCTTATTAGAAATGCTGATACCACATTAAATTCACAACTTCCTGAACTAAAGAATCGAGGTATTAAAAAGTTTTTTTTTGAAAAAGGAAGAAAACGATTTTACATATTTTTTAAAATGTTGACAATATGTTACATTTACCCCGTACCATGGGTTCTAAAGTGCAATACAATTATATAGAAAAACATATGGGGCAATTGTAAAAACATATTTGGTTCCTCTAAAATTTGATATGCTGTTTATTTATTTATTTAAAAAAAATAACAGAGCTACAAAATAATAAAGAAAAAATAAGAAACAAACCCTGATGTCTAATGCACAAAAGAACTATAAAAATAATAAAAAACATTAACATAATAGGTAAAAATATCGGGATCGCCGAGTTGTACCACGGGATAGCAGGTAGGTCTAATCCTACTACCGAGTTGTACCACCGAATTTTCTAATGAGGCTTAACGACTGAAAAAATAAAGCCCGACAATAACCATTAACAATTTTATTATAAATTAGATACAAAATTATAGTAAAATATAAAATAAAATAAAATAATCAAATATAAAATATCTACACATAATCTACTTATACATACACATTTAAATGCTCTACTGCGGCAAATAGTAAAAACTTAAAGACTTTACAAAATCTAATTTATTAATTTTGTTTTCTTTAAATTCATTAATTTTGAATGTTATATAATCGAATTTCTTTCTTGTAACAGACTTCAGTTTTTTATTATTTTCTGATTCACTGGCAGTCTTAATTTTAGTGAACGTCTCACTTTGTATATTTATTAGCATGTCTGTGAATAGAAATATATTTGGGTGAGGAGAATAAAAACTGTTTTTCAGTACCGAATGAAACGACTCACAAGCGTTCTTAGACCTGTACATGCTATTGGTGGTACATGCCCAAATTTTCGGAGGAAAGCTAGCTTCTTCTGACACATAATTGTCCAATATGTAGTCGCAAAATTGTATTACTTTCTCATCATTGGGTAATTTATCTAATATTTGGAATGCGAAAAAATCACCTACTTCGGTAGGTTCCAGAAAGTGTAGGCCGAAGAATAATTTCGAAAACTGACCAATTTCCGAATTTTTTTCTTTGTATTTATTAGATAGTCCTAAATTTAAAATTTTACGGTACCACGCTTGGCATAAATGCTATACCGTGGTACAACTCAGCGATCCCGAGCGTATTAAGGCCATTAGGGGTAATTACGTCGTGGTACAACTCGGTAGTCAATGTAATCCGGATAAAGAACGGTAAGGGATTAATTCAGGTAGTCGTGGTACAACTCGGTAGTCCCCAAAAATATTACATTTACCCCATTTTTACAATTGTCCCAGTCTACCCTAACTGATTATTAGGTAAAAAAATAGCAATTGCAAGTTACAGGTAATTTATAACAAAAAAAATTTAGTCAGCCAACTAATTCTAATATTTTTGCAAATTGATAAATGCTATTGAAGAAAACAGTTTAAAAATGTGTTACTAAAAAAATTACTGTAAAAATTACTAGACTATAATCGACTTTTACTAGACTAGACTTTTATAGAACATTTACCCCATTTTTACATTTGCCCCAGTCTACCTTACCATTTTTTTTGAAACATTTAGAACCTTCCTTCCAAGCCACATTCGAATCCTACATAACAAAATCCCACCCCCGATTCAGCGACTGCTCATCCCAACCACCCCTTCAGCGCGAATCGAGCAGGCGCGGGCCGGGCGCCCAATCGCGCCCGCCGCCCGCGATCGACGATCCCACCGGCGCCGGGGCGCGCGCTTTTTGATATCAAAACGAGCGATGCGATCGCGATCGATCGAACAAAAAAAAAAAATAGAAGAAGAAGAAAACGATAATCGGCCGGGCCGGTTAGCGGGGGGCCCGCGCACGCATTGCACTTCTCTCGGCGAGCCCTCCTCATTCTGTCTCCGGCTCCGCCTTTTTCATTCTAGAGCGTTTCGTTCGCGCCGAGCGGGGCTCCGCTCCGGGCCCCGCTGTATATAGTATGGAAAAGCTCAATATATCTGTTATTGTGGAAGATATCAAAAAAACTTTATTACAAAAGTTGTAGATCTTTATAAACTGCACGTTTTAAAATTATTTACATTTATACAGAGTGTCCCGTTTTTCCGTGGTAGATCAAACTTATACGTTTTTAAATGGAACACCCTGTTTTTTATTTAAAAATTGTATTTAGCTCGTTTTCAGATTTCCAAAAATATAATTTCGTATAACGTTATACTGAGTGGTTTAAAAGTTATGATCACTTTTCCACGAAAATCGTACTAAGTTTACCACTTTGTAGAAACTAAATGGATTGAATTGAAAATAAATTTCAGGTTTTACAACATTACAAATATCCTGAAAATGTACAAAATGAATATTTTTTGTTAATTTTAATCATACTGCTTGCAGGGTGGATCCAAACGCAAAAGTAACATTTTCACTGTTAATTTAAATGGATCACCCCATATTTTATATCATTAATAGAAAGTATTTTTGAAGTACTTTCATTCTTAATAACCATTCCCTATACCTAAAGTTACAACCTATCTACATACCTATCTACAACTTTTGTAATGAAGTTTTTTTGATATCTTCTACAATAACAGATATATTGAGTGTCCCATAATGATTTGCTAATATTTAAGGGGGGTGATTCTTGTACACGATTTAAGAAAAAAAGTTCATATGAAAATATGTCTTAAACCTAAATTTTATTTTAGCACAGCGGCTAATTTAGTGGCAGTGTACAAATGAATGCGTTTATTTTTTTTAATGCGAAACGACGAGTCGTACGGTAAAATGTGGAGAAATCGAATTTGTTGTAAATTGAATGAGGATTCCGAAAATAATTTTTATTTCAATATAAGACAGTGGCGTACCGGTTTTTTTTCTAAAAATATTCGATGCAAAACCCGTACGGACGCCGCTACTGGAAATAATAAAATTATTTGTACATCAGAAAATGCATTTTGATTCATTGAAAGCGTGTGCCAAGTTTCATAAAGATATCTACAATACTATCATAGTTATTACAAAAAAAATGATTTTTTTTCTTAAAACTTTAACACCCTGTATCTCAAAAGTTAAGGCGTTTAGGATATAGGTTCATATGAAGCTTTTTTCTTAAAATATGCCCAGGAATCACCCAGCAAGTATATAAACTGCTCCACAAAAGTTAAGGAAGTTTGCAAATTTTGCGATTATTTTAAAAGTTATAACGGACTTTTTGATCACCAAATTTTCAAATATGCGAAATTAAATGTTTTCTCTTATGTCTGAGTGGATTTTGTGTCCCTCCCTCTACAACTCATACTACATTTGGCGATCAAAAAACCTGCAACTTTTAAATTCATCTCAATATTTGTGAACTTCCTTAACTTTTGTGGAGCAGTATATTTAATTGATTTTGAATAGACTCTATATGTATTGTATACCTCCTCACATCAGATTCTATACAGGTCGAATTACCTAGAATTACCTCGAATTAATTAGTTAGTAAATTTTGTAACAATTATAGACACTTTTTTTCGCTAATTACCCATGCAGCCTTATTCAATGACACTTTAATTAATTCATAATTACTGACCAATTATTATTAAATTCTCGACGATACGCCTATGTTTGTATACGAAATTTTTATCGTGGAATATTCCAGTGAAATTCATTCCCCTACCACGTGCAGGAAAACGATATTTACGACCACCCCGGTATATACCTACAGAGATATTAATTGGAAATTAATAGTTTCCACGTTGAATGCGTAATCGTTTTTGGGTTTTTCTTATAATTATTTGTATACACATGAATTCAATTCGATTCGTACGAATAAAGAGACAAATATGATAGAATGATTGAATTTGACGAAAATATTAATCATTTATCGAAGCAATGAGATGTTAATAAATAAAATATATACTCACGACTGGACTTTCCTCCCCGATTTCGCTCTCCCTTTCTTGGGGCTCCATTTCCATAGCGTACACGGGCACAGGTTCTCTATTTTTGACACGAATTTTGCTGTCTTTCTTTGTGCAGAATGCTCGAACGCACTCCACCTCTACACAAAATACAATAAAAAAATAATACAAACGCACAACAAAAAAAACCCACTTAATAATACGATCGATTAAATAATATTCATACGATTTATTATTACAATAAAATAATAATAATCTAATAGAAGCACACCGTTCGGCTACAAGTAGTCATAATATTCGAAGGAGAGAGTACAATGCAACGCGCCTCGATTTATCCGACTAAATAAATCGAACCCCAGAGCCGATTTGGACAATGTTCAGTGCTCTCCGGTCGCGTGGAAACTGCGAAATGCCGATATGCAACCGAACCCGACACCGAACCGCAATCGAAATCGAGGAAAACGCGCCCGATCGCCCGGCGACAGCGGATTTTTCGATAGGATATTTTTTCCCCCGGCCCAGCGACACTCGACGGGAGCTCTCTCACTCGCGTGTGTGTGTGTATGTGAATGTGTGTGTGGAGTATGAGAGTGTGAGCGAGCATCGGGGCTCTGCCCGACGTCGATTCGAAATCGCGTCCAATGGTGGCGGGTTTCAGGAGGAGCTTGAGGACGTGGAGGGATGGATCTCGGACGGGCCCGGCTTCTTGTTGCTTGTTACAGCCGATCGCTGAAGCTCGATTTAGGTTTTTTGTTTTTTTCGGGTTTTTTTTTTGTTTTGTTTTTTTTTGCGTTTCGTTGGTATACCTGTGCTCGATCGGTGTGTAGGCTACCGGTTTTTGATGAGGCTCGAATAAATTGTAGATATTGTTGGGATTAAAAGTTGTTTATGAGGAAAATTGGTTGAAATATACTGAGTGACAAAAGTAAAAGAACACCAAGAGGCAAATTTTATTTTTCATTCAAACTGTAGAGAGTGTGTACAGCACCACGGTGGTGCGACACATTATTAATATTTTTTTTGAGTTTTGTTGTTAATTTGATGAATTAATTTTAATCATTTGTTTATTTTTCTCTTATACATGTAACTAGAATAAATGGCTAAATTTCAACAACTATTTTTTGGTGTTCTTTTACTTTTGTCACTCAGTATATATTACACGGAGTATCCGAACTCTGCCACAAAATGCAGGTAGTCATTATGGGTTGTTCGAACTCTGCCAGGTTTTAAAATTTTAGGGATTAAGTATTAAACCCGTAGGGGTCTAATTGTTTAATCCGATTTAACAATTTCTTAATATATTTTCAACGTATATTTGTAACAAAAAATACATGTACATTTTAATAAAATATATAGGTTTAAATATACACATAAAAATAAAATAAAATTACATCTGAGGAAGATTTGTCACCGTTTTCACAAATATAAAGCGAGAAATAGTATTTTTCTTATATTTTTCCGTATGATTATGAATAATCATGTTTTTTTTTCTGATTTTAGTTCGCCGAACGAATTTTCGCGTATATATCCGTAAGAAAATCTAATAACACACTAATAAATTAGACAATATTTGGGTGTGCTTTATAAAGAGTTATTAAAATGGGAATGAAAACTCTCACAAGAATTAGTTGTCCTCTTAAAAAAGTCTGCAATGTTTGCCCAAATATGTGGTGGAAATATCGAATTTTGTTTTTTATACGTTTTATTGACATAATTGCGAAATTATATAACTCTCTCATCGTTTGGAAGCAAAAAATGTAGTTCGTTATTAAAAAATTCAACAACTTCCTCAGGTCTAAGAAACATCATTTCAAAATGTACTTTTAAGTAGTCGCCAATTACTCAATCTATCTGTATGTACTCTTGTACCCAATGAAACTCCAGAATCTTTCGAAACCAAGCTTGACAGAAATGAAATTTACAACCAAAAATAATTTGATCTCTACCAAAACATTCATATACGTTATGAATGCTTAGTTCAAAATCTACTACGACTTCTTTGCGATAAAATTTTAAGTTTTATTTAGGTAATATTATAATAAACCCTAATGACCCTAATAGGATTAAACTTAATGGTCGTGGCAGAGTTCGAACCATTCAGTAATCCCCAAATTGATACAATTCAGGTAACATTTTATTTTGTGGCAGAGTTCGGATATGCCCATATTACAGCGTATGGACGGATGTGAATGGTGTAATTTCTGTTTGTACAAGGTGGTATAAGTTCGATGTTTTTATAAGGAATTTTATTATATCATTATATGAAATATATCAAATGAATTATATCAAATTATATCAAAATTTGAATAGTTCAAATTAAATCCTAAAATGTGGCTTTATTTTTTCTCTTATTAGAAATGCTGATACCACATTAAATTCACAACTTCCTAAACTAAAGAATCGAGGTATTGAAAAGTTTTTTGGAAAAAGGAAGAAAACGATTTTACATATTTTTTAAAATGTTGACAATATGTTCCATTTACCCCGTACCATGGGTTCTAAAGTGCAATACAATTATATATAGAAAAACATATGGGGCAATTGTAAATATATATTTGGTTCCTCTAAAATTTGATATGCTGTTTATTTATTTATTTCAAAAAATAACAGAGCTACAAAGTAATAAAGAAAAAATAAAGAAACAAACCCTGTCTAATGCACAAAAGAACTATAAAAATAATAAAAAACATTAACATAATAGGTAAAAATATTACATTTACCCCATCTTTACATTTGCCCCAGTCTACCTTAAACTTAATTTTAACAAAGAAAAAATAATTAAAACCCCTAAAAATTCTCTCTAAAAAATCATTTTAAACAGATTCGGGACTATTCGGAATAATCCTGGATAAACTATACTTATAGAAAAGTCCAGAACCATTTATAGAACGCTTTTATCCAGGACAAATAGTCCTAAATAATAAATTGAAACTTTTTTTACAATACCTAACTATTTAGAACCATTCAAGTGAATCCTCTTCCTAAAAATCGTCAAATTTAGTATTTATTCTAACAAATTCAGTAAATTTACTTGTATACAAGTATCAAAGAACCAGTTTTGTTTTCAGTTCCTCAACGACCAACAATCCCCAATCTTTCCCCTAAATATAGGACAACAAGACATCATTAGCATCGACATCCAGTTCCCAAACAAAAAAAAAAAATACCAATACATCACAAGTATATCACAAAAATTCTCCTTCCCGAAAGAACCTTCGAAATTTTTCGAGTTTTACGCACCACACCCTTGTTGGATACGAAAAAATAATATATTAAACGTTCGGAGCGCGCATCGTTTGTCTTTTTATATATTCTCGGTTGCATCGCCGCATATTAAAAGGCGAATGGAAACGATGGAAGACAAAGTTAATATTGATAATTCGGAGTCGTCGGAGTAATTCCCAGGAAAAACGATGTTAAAATATTGACAGAGCATTTATAGGCCGGACGCCGAGTCTCCCGTAAATAGTTTTCGAGCCAACTTGTTAATTACCGTAGATATACGCTAAGGCGTCTTTGATGCCTCTCTCATATAGGTACGATTCAGTATAATATACCACGAGATTAAAAAAAGGAAGAATAAAAATCCTACACTAAGTACGTTTACCAGACTGTTCTCGAACTTGTAATATGTCGAAAATTAAGCGATTTTCGAATATTTTCGATTACTCAAAAATTGTAGAGAAACGTTTTTTACACAAAATAAAACAAACAGCGCGTTTCTATCTCGCAGAATTACCGAGATAATCGCGATTTTTCTTCCCCCTTAATCCTTTTTTCGCTTTTTAAGCACCTCTCGAGCTCGCGCAGCTCACAGGACCCAGCCTAACTAATATCTCTCTTTACTACTTCTTTGACTCTCACTATTATTAAATGAATTTAGTATAAAGATATACAGGATGTTCTCGAACTTATGGTACTAAATTCTAGGGGTGGTATAGTTTGCATAATTTGAGATTCGCAGATTTAATTTTTCTAAAAAATTTATAATACTTAAACAAAATTTGAAATATTAAAAATATTTCAAAGAAATGCGGTCCTGTACATCGGTTGAAACCCCTCGACCCCTCTATTTTTTTAGAATCGTAGATAAATTATGAAAGTAAACCGGGTTTTTCAAATAATAGAAGAAAATAAACTTTAAACTCGAAAGGAATATTAGCTAACCTATTTTGTTGTTGCGAAAGCTGCTTAATTGTCCCAGAACATCACTATAACGAACAAGAACTAACTAAATTAAAAAGAACACTATAAGAATTATCTAAACTAAGAACACTAAGAACTAAAACAGTCAAATTAATCACTAAAATCTAATCACAAAAATCTATTTAACTCCGGGACTATTCAGGCCAGGGTTGTATTCGCTCTTTGCATTTATTTCTAATACCTCCTCTAGAAACTACCACCTCTAGAATATAGTGGAATAATTTCGAGAACACCCTGTATACATCATCACCACTTATTCGTGTTCGATTTGTATAGTTAAAAGGAGCATATATAGGGTGATCATACATTTCTCTATAATTACCGCAATGTATATACAAAAGGAAGAACCAAAATAAAAATATTTGTTGTTGTTGTTGTTTCTTTTTTTCTTCTTCTTCTTCTTCTTTCGTTTCGGTCGGATGGAAGACGGACGAGTTGAAATAAGCAACATCAATTAAGCGATTTACAAGTGGTAATCAGGAGGCTAACCCTCCAACTAAATAACGAAATAACAAAACGTAGGGTATCGGACGAGCCATTAGCACCATCTTCAGACGATTAATCATGACCCCGGCTCCGGCTCAACATCGATTATAGTCGAGAGGCTCAATGTATACATATATTTATATATGAAGAACATTTATATCATCAGAATTTACCTGTTGAACTTTATATCGCGATATCGAAATTCCCTTTCTCTAGTCTCTAGTTTCTATACTCTCTAGTATCTACTCCCTAGTTTGTATAGGTACTCTTTATAATCTCTACTCTCTAGTTTCTAGTCTATAGTTTCTAGTCTCTATAGTTTCTAGTTTTATTAATAATGATTGTTGGTACTAAACATATCATCAAATTATTATTTTTTTACAATACAATTCCAATTTGACATTGTTTTAATCGCATTTTGAACTTTTCTAACTCGTTAGTCTCAAAGTTAAAGTTGAAAAGTGCAAAAATTAGTGAACCCAAAACACAGAAAAAAATCGTTATTGTGCTGGCAATGTGCTTACGGACTATATTAGCTAGATATATAAAAACCCATCCTCCCTCGTATACAAATGATGTGTAATTTAGACGAGATTACATGGTTTAATAATAAGAAATACTTTCAACTACATCCTCGTATGATTAAATCATAGGCTAATCAACCGATGAACGTTGTTTGATAAAGCGTCTTCGCTTTTAATTTATGCGCACCTGATGATGGAAATTAAAACAACACAAAAAAAAAACTCGGAGAGAGGAGAATAAACGATCACTTTAAAAGATTTTTACGAATATTTAGCGATAAAATAATTAAAACTTGGATCAATTAGTATACATAGAAATGATGTCTCTAAAAAGACCATTCGATTTGTACAAACATTCAGTAATAAAATAATCAAAATTTCAATCGATTCGAAATAAATAGGTAATGACGTCACGACGCTGGTATACTAAACAAACTATATAAGTACCTAAATTAATTTATTCGATATGTAGAGCGATCGTTTGCGTTCGAACATGTTTCAAACTTGCTCATTCCATCAGCATCGGGTATGCATGGGATATAGAGGTGTAGTATATTGGGTTCGGAAAACGCGAAATGGATGGATGATATTCCTCTACATCTATCCGATGCGATAATTACATTCTAACGTAGTCAGAACAAGATTAACGATGCCCCTCTGACACTGATATTAAGCGAGACGCGTTCGCTTCGCTTTTCCCCGGGTTTTAGTCGACGGGCCGGGACCGTTTTCCTCCCTTTTTTTTTTCAGAAATTTATCCGCTTTATACAGGGTGTTAATTAATTGAATGCCGATACTTCAGGATGTGAATATTTGGATGATTTTAAGGAGAAAAGTTTATATCAATGTATGTCCTAAACCTCGTAGTTTTCGAGCTACAAGGTGTTAAAATTTTAGAATAAATACAACTTTTCTATCATAGTTTTCTTATTCTGAACTATTCTTTCTTTAATCTGAACCTTAATCAGAACTTATCCCTCTGTTAGCGATGGTGAATATAGCCTTAAATAATAACGTTATTTTTGCACTAAGTTTTAAGCATTTTAAATGAAATAGTTTGTTCGCTATCGCTCCGTTTCTTGTATATCTACAATTATTCGTTGCCTAGTCGGGTAATAAATAATATTAAGTAATATTTTCCTTATCACGTTTAATATATTTATATACGCATATTGCCGGGTAATTACCGCATGGCATATTAGGTATAACTTAGTTTTGTATTGTTATAATGGCTCATTAGAATGTCCTGGATAAATTTTTAATTAACTGCGATCGTGTACCGGGTTAAATGAAGAATTTTAAAAGGTTAAAAGTATCTATTAATTGTTGAAAAACGTGATAAATATATCAATAAATGATATAAAACGAGTTACTAACAAAACTTGTTGTAGAAAGGAACATTGCTATTGATGTAGAATTCTATTATAACAAACAATTTGATATTTCAATTTGATAATTTAATATTAAAATTAATTTAATCACCCCGTATATAAATAACAAATTTATTCTATTATTAAACGTGGTAGTTAGAAGCTATTTCAATAATTTTAGTTTATTTTTTTTTTCACAAGGTTATCGTTTTTTGAATAATATATTTTTTTCTTTTATTATCAACGACAAATATATTTTAATTAAGCGAATAATCTACCTATGCCTACTATAAAAAAGGCGATAATAACGCTAATAATTAGTATTTAATAATAAAAAAACAAGAGTAAATTGGGCGATTGTTCCCTTTAATTGGTCTAGTTTACCGGCTTTTATCGATGCTAGTTTTACCTCAAAATAAATAATTTATAGCCGATGACCTTTAAAAAGTATGCCTCAATTATAACTAAAAAATTAAAAAGTTCAATTTAATAGTCTACATTTATTGCCTAATTATAATACACCAAAGGAAATTAATACATTTATTTACGCCAATACAGGGTGTTCTCGAACTTATGGCACTAAATTCTAGGGGTGGAAATTTGCATAATTTGAGACCGATTCGCAGATTTAATTTCTATTAAAAATTTATTTTAATTAGATGCAAAATTGCTTACAAATCTATGAGTGCAACAAAGACAACTTCTATTAGTCCCATATAAAGGAAAAAGAAAGAGAGATCTTGTGATAATTACAACTTTCTCACTCTAACCATTGTTTTTTTTAATAATCTTTCCTTGTTCAACTCACACATTTGCATTTACCCATATAACCCATATATGAAAGTGTATTAAAAAAAACGTCGCTGGAAGTAAGAATGTAAATATTTATGTAAAACTCTACCGCTAAAAGGATAAACTCTTATCAATTGGGTCGGATTCCTGTTCTTTTTTTTATTATTAATAACACGGCCGACTCGAATTCGAAACTTGAATTGCAAATTAGGCGAGCAAGAGCTTGTGGGAAACGGGCGAAAGAAATAATTCTCTTTTTTGATGTAAATCGACCGTTTACGTGAGGCCAATTAATTCGAAAAAAAAACCCGTATACGTTCGTTTAAATCTTTTTGAATTTTTATAATTGTGAGATGTTTACATAAAACGTCATGGGGGATGTAAAAAAAAAACCGTTTGTTTTTAGGGCTGCGGCCATATTGGAAAAGTGACGGTTTTGATATTAAAGTTTAATTTTTAGGCATATTTTATCTCTACTTACTTTTCGGTCAATCGTGTTGCGTACTTTCGAATTTTTCTCATCATCTATTGTCAACAAAACAACTTAAATGACCACCATTACATAGTTCTGTTATTTGACGAGTAACTTTAGGAAGTGAATCAAAGAGGGCGCTAAGTTACCCAATCGATTAATCGATTCGTAATTATTTTAATATTTACAAAACGTTGAGCTTTAATACTCGTTGAGATTTATACACTTTTTCGAATTTATCATATTCGTATTATTTGTAAATGAATTCCACTCAATTAATAATTAATCGATATACAATCGAAACATTTCGTCAGATTTAAATGCCCACATGACATTTGTGACGTACGTCAATCGTCTGTTGTGATCGTATCAACATGTAAATAGAACGAAACAGAATAAGAGTTTACGCGCGTAAGAAAGAGACGATCGACGATTCGGATTGATCGAAACCGAATAATCCTTTCAAATTTTGACATAAACTGTCATGCGCCTGCTCGGCTTCGTTTCACGTTCAGCTTGGCGCAGTGGTGTTTTTAATGGGAACCGAAAATAAAGAATATTTCGAAAAAAACCAATCGTTTCGGCCGCATTTAATCCGTCGCGTCTAACGCATCGACGTATCGCAATTGTCAGCAACAAATCCGCATCGAAATCCGCCACATCGCGTCCATTTGAAGTTTGTTTGTGTCGATAACCGAATCGTTAGTTTCCCTCCAAATACTCGCATGCTTCACGTTCACCTCGCGATATGCCTCTGCTGAAAAAGAAGGTCTTCGAGAAGCACACCATCTCCGACGAGCACCTTAGAGACGACGAGGAAGTGTTCTATTGCGAAATCACCAATGAAATATTCAGGGACTACGAGTAAGCGAGTCGTTTCGATGTTAAATAGAGCAATTCCGGTGGTGGATTGTGAACGGTTGTCGTCGAGCGCGTTCACCTGCGTCGTATCCGATTTAGTTTTATTAATGAATTTATTCAAATGCAGCGTTTCGAGCGCTATATTTACTTTTGTAATTTAGAGGTTATGTTAAATAAAAGTTTGTCGTAGGGAATTCGCCGAAAGGATGTTCCTCTACAACTCCATGGTGTGGACCTGCTCGATGACGGGCAAGCAGAATCTCACCTACCAGGAGGCCCTCGAGAGCGAGGAGAACGCCCGCCAGAACCTCAAGGAGTTCCCGCTCGAGCTGCGGCTGCCCATTTTGTATCTAGCCAGCAAAACCCATCGTACTTCGTTCGCCGACATGGCCGACGACGTATTCAACTACGTCAAAGACCGGTACTTCATCGGCGAGAACCTCGAAACGTCTTTTACCACAAACAAATGGAAGGATTCGCACGTTTTGCAAGTGATCGCTCCGTCCGAAGACACTGTCAAAACCTCTCCCAAGAACGGGTAAATGTTTTTGTTATACGAGGGTACGGCGAAATGTTCTCGGCGTCTAGAGGGTTCTGGAGTGTTCTAGACAAATCTAAATGATTCTAGAGCATCCTAAATGGTTCTAGATTGTTCTAAATGATTCTGGAGCATTTTATATCATTTTGAAGTGTTCTGAACGGTTCCGGAGCGTTATAGACAAATCTAAATGATCCTAAAGCATTCTAAATGGTTCTACACAGTTCTACATGATTTTGGTGCGTTCTAAATAGTTTTAAAACAGTTCTAAACGAATTTGTAGCGTTCTAATTGATTTTGGAGCATTCTAAACGGTTCTAGACAGTTCTAAAACGATTCAGGCCGCCGAGAACTTTTCGCTATACCTCTCGTGTTCGTCGTTAAAAGCTCGCGGGGTGGAGTGAAAAGTTCTCGGGATTTTCGCTCGAAAAATTCTTGTTTGAAATGGTTCTCGAGCGTTCTAATTGGTTTTAGACGGTTCTAAATGATTCTGGAGCGTTCTAAATGATTCTAAGAACGTTCTAAACAGTTCTAATTCATTCTGGAACGCTCTAGATGGTTCTAGAAAGTTCTAAATGACTATGAATTGTTCTAAATGATTCTGGTGCGTTCCAAATCGTTTTAAAACAGTACTAAACGATTCCGGAGTGTTCTGAACAGTTCTAATTCATTTCGGAGCGTTCTAAATCGTTTTAAAACAATTCTAGACGAATTTGGAGCGTTCCAATTGATTCTAGAGCATTCTAAATGGTTCTAGACAGTTCTAAAGTCGCCGAGAACTTTTCGCCCTACCCCTCATGTGTGTCGTTAAAAGCTCGCTTAAATTTCCATCTGGTTTCGCAGGAGCAAAACGGACCATCACTTTTGGCCCCCCGCCAACCTGTTCAAATACGAAATCGAGCACCTGGACGCCTACGACAGCGACATCAGCGAAATCATGATAGTCGATTGCAACCAAATGCGTCGCCGAAAGGGCTCCTTCAATCGAGACAAGTGCAAATTGTTCCTCAAGCAGTACGTGGAGCACGACGCGCGCGGTCTGTTCGCCGTGAAGCCTTCGGTGATCGGCGAATTGGCCATCGACAAGATGAAATTCGAGCAGATCTTCGACGGGCCGCCGCCCGATTTCGCGGCGTCGAAGCGCAAGGAGCGGACGAGCAACAACGGCAAGAAGAAGCTGAGCCAAGAAACGCTCGCTAAATATCTAACGAAAATGAATAACGGCGACGAAGCGTCGCCTAAAAGTAGAGAGAAGAATTTGGAGTTGAGCGAACGGATGCGCAAGCGCGAAGAGCAATTCAAAGCGAAGCAACTGCTGAAGCAAGAGGAGAAGATCGCTTTGAAGAACAAACAGAAACGAGACAGTATTACTTTGAATAACGTCATCAAACAATGGCTGTTGCCCAAGGAAGATACACAATTGGAGAACCAACGGGTAGATCGATTCGTACACGATTAATTGTAAATTCTAATTGACATTTTTTTTTTTTGTAGAAACTACCTCTATTTACGCCGGTGAAAACGAAAATACCCGATCGACATTTCGGCGACGTTCTCATGATCATGGAGTTCGTCGAATCGTTCTCCAAATTGCTATCGACCAAGGACTTTTTCCCGCAGGGCATCAATTTGGAGCTGATGGAGCGCGCCATGTTCGAAAAGGAAATCGCCGGACCTCTCACGGATCTCGTGCAAATGTTCCTCGCCGCCATCTTTAACGTGCAAGAGGAGGAATCCAGCCAGTATCGCACGGCCCTCGAAAATCCGACCGGTTAGTGCTCCAAACAAGCCGTTAGGGGGGCGGGGTGAAAAGTTCTCTGAATTTTTGGGTCGAAAAACTCTTGTTCGAAATGGTTCTCGAGCGTTCTAATTGGTTTTAGACGGTTCTAAATGATTCTGGAGCGCTCTAAGTGATTATCGAGCGTTCTAAATGATTTTAAGAGCGTTCTAAACGATTCTAATTCATTCTGGAGCGTTCTAAATGGTTCTTGACAGTTCTAAATGACTATGAATCGTTCGAAATGATTCTGGTGCGGTGTCAAATCGTTTTGAAACAGTACTAAACGATTCTGGAGTGTTCTGAACAGTTCTAATTCATTTTGGAACGTTCTTAATGATTCTAAGAGCGTTCTAAACAGTTCTAATTCATTTTGGAGCGTTCTAAATGATTCTAAGAGCGTTCTAAACAGTTCTAATTCATTTTGGAGCGTTCTAAATGATTCTAAGAGCGTTCTAAACAGTTCTAATTCATTTTGTAGCGTTATAAATGATTCTAAGAGCGTTCTAAACAGTTCTAATTCATTTTGGAGCGTTCTAAATGATTCTATGAGCGTTCTAGATAGTTCTAGACAGTTCTAAATGACTATGAATCGTTCTAAATGATTCTAGTGCGTTCCAAATCGTTTTAAAATAGTACTAAACGATTCTGGAGTGTTCTGAACAGTTCTAATCCATTTTGGAGCGTTCTAAATGGTTTTAGACAGTGCTAAGTTAACCTGGGATCGTTCTAAATAGTTGCATACAGTTCTAAACTACTATTCTGGTCGAGAATTTTTCACCCTACCGTACCGTATATACGGGGGCGATTCGTAAAAATTTTTGTGTGAATTTTAGATATAAAAAACGAAGACGTTTTGGACAATTTGAGTCTGACGGACGCCACCAGATTGGCCACGTCGGCGTCGAGTTGGAGCAAACGGTACCAAGGTTTGCCCTTAGGACGGTTACCTTTATATTCTGTGACAGTATCCGAAGTACTCCGGCTACATTTGCTATCGTCCGGAGCCAGGATCAACGAACAAGGCGCCAAATGGAGGTAAAAAAAATACACCCGATCGCTATACAGTACGTCTGAATAAGTTGGCAACGTATGGGAAACTTTTTTTTTCATATGTAATGTTACTAAAAAAAAAAAAAAAAAAGTTTCCCACACGTTGCCAACTGTTTCAGAGACACTGTAGAAGAATTCAATCGTTTGTTTATGTGTGTGTGTCAATGAAAATAAAACCGAAGGTACGCTCAACGGGGCGGCTACACGAGCGAAGACGATCCGGGGCTCCACCTGCGCCTCGAACGGCCGCGCATCCTCAAGGCCTTGGCCACGCACAATCTGGTGCAGCTGTCGATGCGCGACAAGATCCGCATCCTATCGTGTCTGATGAACCAACTGTTGACGTTCGCCGACGTGCGGGACGTGATCGAGGAGCGCTTCGAGGCGAACCGGCGGCTCAAGATCGACCTGAAGGCGGCGCAGCTCGCCGAGAAAAAGGCCGCACAAGAACTGGCGGCCGCCAAGCAAAAGGCCCAGAAGGAGATGAAGGGCGATCAGCGCGGCGCGCAGGAGGCCTTGGACAAGTTGGATAGGGACGCCGAGAAGAAACGGGGCGAGAACGAGAGGAAAATCGCCAAGTTGATCGGCGGGATCTACAAGGGCCAGACGTATTTAGGGTAATGTCACTTTTTTATAGAGTATATACGGTGTTTTTGAAATGAGTGGTCAAACTTTGATAACCTTAAAATATGACAGAAACTTAAATGTCATTTTATCGAAATGTCAATTTTTTGAAAGATATAATTCCTACTAGATTTTTAAATATAACAATAGTTTAATAATTTTGTGTATCGGAATTTTAAATCACTTTTAGTGAAAACGGTTCACTTTATATTTACTAAAAACCGAGAAATGATTATATTAATTAAAAAAAAAACTTACAATAATGACAGCGGCGATGAACAAACTTCGAACTGTCAAACTAAAAAAACGTTAATTACACAAACCGAGCGAGCAACGGGCTACAAACATAACTGTCATATGTCATTTGCATAGAACGCCGATTGGGAGTTGGTTTTTGAGGGTGTCTCATGAAGGATTTTTTGGATGTATCGTTCGTTTTAAATTTTTAGATCGGACAGAGCCCACAGGAAATACCTGAAAATCAATTCGATACCGGCCATCTTCGTGAACGACGAACGAGAAGAAACCCTACCGTGCGACGACGCCATATGCAAACAGAACCCGCATCTGGTCAACGTGAGCAAATCCCAATTGACGAAATACATGCGAAAGTTCCACATCGACGTCGAAACGCCCGTCGACAACCCGTCGAATTCCCCCAAATCGCCGAAAAAACCCAACGGAATTCTATCGACGGGTAGTCCGAAAGACGATGCGTTAGAACTACTCATGTGCACCGCCGATCCCGGCGACTGTCCCGTACATTCCTGCAACGATTCCTCGACCAAATGGTGGTTTATCAGCGACGAGCATCACGTGCAGGAGCTCGAGAACTCGTTGAACAAACGAGGCGTAAGAGAGGGCGAATTGTTGCAGGCGATCAAAGACGACAAGGCGCATTTGACGAGCATCGTAGCTCAAACGCCCGTCAATTTGTTGAATCCCGATGTCGTCGTCGACGTTAAAATCGACGAGGAACAAGCGCTCGGAAGGTAATTTATTTATTTACTTATTTACACGAATCTATACGACATTTTTGTTTTCCGAAAAAGGAGATCGAAAAGGGGCAAAGATCGCTACGAGGATTCGAACTTGGGCTATCCGGCGTCGATGCCGTCGGAGGAGGTGCTCGAGAACGCCCTCTTAGATAACGTACTGGAGATGGAAGAGAAGATTTACGCCGGCAATTTGGGCAGTTTGGGCGTGAAGAATCGCGACGAATGGAGACGCCATTTGCAGAACAAGCGATACGGCGATTTGGATAAGACCATTGTGAAAAGGGAACCGTCCAAATCGCTGCTGAAGGTAATAGTTCTCGGCACGAACCATTTAGAACGCTCAAAAATCATTTGGAACTGTCTAGAACCGTTTAGAACGCTCCTGAACCTTTTAGAACACTTCAGAACCATTTACAACGATCCATAGTCATTTAGAACTGTCTTAAACCATTCACAACGTTCTAGAATCATTTAGAATTGTCTAGAACCATTTAGAACGCTCCTGAACCTTTTAGAACACTTCAGAACCATTTACAACGATCCATAGTCATTTAGAACGGTCCAGAATCATTTTTAGAACTTTCTAGGACCATTTAAAACGGCCCGGAACCTTTTGTACAGTCATTTTATAGCCATAGTCATTTTATTAACTAGTTTGTTTCTATGCAACAGGTGAAGAAAGACAAAAACAGCAGATCTCCCACGCCCGAGTTACCGGCGAAATCGAAATTGAAAGACTACCAGGATCCCGGACGGTTCCTCGGCGATATCGACGGACACGAAGCGAACGAAAACGAAGAAAACGAAGAAGAAAACTATTTAATTACCACCGATAGCATGAGAACGTCAGTATCGTCTTTGGCTATAGCTCTAGCGCAAGTCGCCCACGCCGTCGATCACAAATACTTGAAGAAACCCTTAGGTAAATAAATCGTTTGCGATCGATAGAGTAGTTCAAATGTACCAGTCAATCAGATTAACCGACCCTTTAAAATGTCTTTAACTGTAATTTTCGATCGAAATTTCCGCTCCGAGGAGCGGAGATCGTCGAATCGCCGTTACCTTAATACGAGATAACTCGTAGCTCTTTAAGGTTGAAACGTAATCTACGAGTAATCTCGTAGTCGACGAGGGAATCGAATAAAGATTGAATCGTTATTTTTTTTTTGTCGCAGGTAACGCGGACGCGAGCAAAACCGACAAGAAACCCCACCAACAGTTGCTCGACAATTGGGAACAATCGCTGCTGGCCTCGACGAGCTACAGCCAGGTGTTCCTGCACTACGGCACGCTGGACTCCTGCGTGATGTGGTCCAGATCGGCCCTGTTGGCCCGTTGCAGGATATGCAGGCGACAGAAGGACTCGGAGAACATGTTGCTCTGCGACAATTGCAACTTGGGCCATCACCTCTACTGTCTCAAACCCACCCTAACGGTACGTTATTCGTACGAAATAGAACAGTTTGGCAACGTCGCTCGTTGTACTAATACGGACCGGTCGCGAGCGATCGTGGTTAAACGAACGAGCGGCGTTGCCAAATCGAATTTTTTTTTCCGTTTTTTCCAGAGCGTACCGAAGGGCGATTGGTTCTGCGACAGGTGCAAGAAGGAGAAGGAGGCCGAGGCGCAGCTGTTGAGCCCGACGCCGGCGACGCCGACGAAGAAGCGTCGCATATTCCGCGACGAAGACGTCGAAGACGAGGAGACGGAATCGAAGAGCACCGATAACGAATCGCACAGCGACAACGTCGCCGCCGACGCGGACGAGGAGGAGGATAGTTCCGACGAGGACGGCTCCATCGATGAGGGCCAATCGCAGAAAGAGTAAGATATATTGTTGTAATCTACGAGGGTTGGGGGATGAGTTCTCCGGCCTCGCGTGCGTTTGGGATTTTGAATGCGATTTGCAAATAACTAGAACCGTTTTGCATGATCCTAAGTCATTTAGATTGTTTCAGAACTATATAGATTCCTCCAAAACCGTTTAGAACGCTCTAGAACCATTTAGATTTGCTCCAGAACCATATAGATTCCTCCAAAACCGTTTAGAACGCTCTAGAATCATTTAGATTTGCTCCAGAACCATATAGATTCCTCCAAAACGGTTGAGAACGCTCTAGAATCATTTAGATTTGCTCCAAAACCATATAGATTCCTCCAAAACGGTTGAGAACGCTCTAGAATCATTTAGATTTGCTCCAAAACCATATAGATTCCTCCAAACCGGTTAAAACGCTCTAGAATCATTTTAGATTGCTCCAAAAACCATATAGATTCCTCCAAAACCGTTTAGAACGCTCTAGAATCATTTAGATTTGCTCCAAAACCATATAGATTCCTCCAAAACCGTTTAGAACGCTCTAGAACCATTTTAGATTGCTCCAGAACCATATAGATTGCTCCAAAATCGTTTAGAACGCTCTAAAACCATTTAGAAAGTTCTAGAACCATATAGAAAGTTCTAGAACCATATAGAAAGTTCTAGAACCATATAGGAAGTTCTAGAACCATATAGATTGCTCCAAAACCTTTTAGAAAGTTCTAGAACCATTTAAATTACTCCAGAACCATTTAGAACGCTTTATAGTCATGCAGTATATTCCAGGATCATTTAGAACGCTCTAGAAGCATTTAGAATGCTCCATTTTGTTGTTCGAACAAGTTTTTCTTAACGTATTGTTGTTTTTTTTTTTTGGTTAGATCGAGACCGGTGAAATTCTCGTTGTGCAAACATTGCAATTCCGGCGGGGAATTGGTGAATTGCGAAAAGTGCCTGTACCATTGGCACATCGAGTGCTGCGATCCGCCGTTGCGCAGGATCCCCCGAGGTCCTTGGACCTGTTGGCCCTGCAAAAGCGGCGCCAAGAAACGGCAAAGGGAACGGACCGATTCAGGTAAAAACGAAAATTCGCTACGATTTCCTCGCGTTTGGTTCGTATGAACTACTAGCACTCTGAAGGTGTACCGTTTGATAATGAGAATAATTTTATTTGTTACCAAAATATATGTTTGTCATCAAACAGACAGATCTATTACTTTGGTGACAGGTCTATTATTTTTGAGAACACAGTTATTATTCTGAACATAATCAAGATTCTTTGGGCATAAGTTACGATGATTAATCGTTTATTTTGGATGCAAACTGTTACACATTTGGATACATTCCTACAAAACCGTTTAGAACGCTCTAGAACCATTTAGATTCCTCCAGAACCGTTTAGAAAGTTCTAGAACCATTTAGATTGCTCCAAAACCGTTTAGAAAGTTCTAGTTACGATGATTAATCGTTTATTTTGGATGCAAACTGTTACACATTTGGATACATATGCTTGGAGACAAATATATAAATCTGAGAAAAAATAATATTTCTGGAATCGAAACTAACAATCAGAGGATTTTGTTTGATGACAAATATTTATTTTTGGCGACAAATAAAATTCTCCTCTTTTTTCCGGTGCAGATTCCGACGACGAATCGTTCGGTTCCTCTAACGTCCGCAGGGGGAGCCACCTGCGCGAGGACCTGCCGTTGCACAACGCCTCGTTGCAGGAGCTGCTCGGCGACGTGATGAAGCATCCCGACGCGTGGGCGTTCATCAGGCCCGTCACCAAATCGGAGGTGCCCGATTACTTCGACATCATCGCCAAGCCGATGGATTTCGGTACCATCAAGTACAAATTGAACATGGGCGTCTACAGGAAGGACGGCGATTTCATGGAGGACGCGGTGCTGGTCTTCGTCAATTGTAACACGTACAACGACAGGGACGCCGAGGTGTACAAGTGAGTACCGGTGGTGGTACCCGGAAGGTATCCGGTGCTTGTTAATTTTGCAGATTTTTTTTAAGGGGTCCGTCCAAGCGTTATTAAAGTCTTCTCTTATGTCTCTGGTACTTCTGTAGGGGGGTAGGGTGAAAAGAAAGCCTGAAAAATGATGTAGGACTCTCTAGAACCGTTTAGAACTGTCTAGAACTAAAATATTTCGACTTGTTAAGAAAAACAACGTATTTTTTTCATCCGAACATCGCGGTCTTTCATTGTCAGGTCGAGAACTTGTCTTCACCCTACCCTTGTACGAGAGTAACTCAATAATTAGTGGAATACGAGGGGTAGTTTTGTAGTCTTCTCATTTATTTCTGGTGCTACTACTACTACTATATTTGGTGTTTTTTTTTTGTTGAAGGTGCGGAGTGAGGTTGTTGAAATTCTTCGAGAAGAAAGCGAAAGAGTTGGGTTTGAAGTTGCCCGAAGAGATGACGAGCGACGATCCGGCTCCTCACAGGTCGAGGAAGAAGCAGAGGTCGAAGTGATAGGACAAAAATGACGAGTGACTACTACAAGATGAATCTTTTTTTTTTTTAACTTATTTTTTACAATTATTAATTAAGCTTTCCGTCGCTTTTGTAAATTTGGCGAATTTTTTTTTGTACCGACTCGATTTATTCCATTTTTTTATATTAAAAATTTATAGTTTAGCACTACTGTTAATTAGAATTACGACTATTTATAATAAAACGTAAAACACCTGAAATTGTTTCGTTCAATTCCAATAGTAATTACAAAAAAAATATACAGGATATCACTAAAAAAACTTCCAGAAATCAATTAGTAGATACCAAAAGAAGTTACGAAGTGATGGATTATAAATAAAGGTTTTACTGATATTGGGCCAGAATTCTTTCGTGAACATTTGTAGAGAATATCTCTGTATTTGGCGACATTTTATTGTGTTAAAAAATTCTCAATAAAATTATCGATCCGTCTCGGAAGTTCACAGAACCTTTTTGCGACCCGTATATTGTAAAATCGATTTTTCTCATAATGAATGTCATTTAGCATGAAGGGTATCAAAGTGAAAAATTTTTATGTTTTAATTATTTAACACCGGGACAGCGCGTACGCAGTCCCGACTACCAAAAATTACGCGCCCGAGTTATCCGCATTAGGGATAATCGCAGGGGTCAGCCCAACCTAAGTGCAATGGGAGGGCCTCACCCTGGGGGAACCGCCTTGTTGATCACGGTAGCCCCTACGCCAGGTAAGTATGATTTCCTCTCGGCGACGACGCTACATCAAGTCTCTCGCTGCGGCTTCCGCATCGGCGCGTTACTAACGCCATCTACCGGCGACCGAGCGAAATATCGATACGTGGTTTCCGATTTCGGCTGATAGATGTCGCTATAACTTGTTCGTCGACGAAGGCGCGGTGGAAACGCTGGTATGCTATCGAAGTCGGGACGGAATTCATACTTACTTGGCGCAGGGGAAACCGTGATCACGAAGGCGGTTCCCCCAGGGCGAGGATCTTCCATTGCACCGAGGTTGATTTGACCCCTGCGATGTTCCCTAATGTGGAACACTCGGGCGTTTAATTTTTGGTAGTCGGGACTTGCGTACGCGCGGTCCCGGTGTAATTCAAAATGTAAGCATAATTAACTTTAATCATTTCTCAATAACAACACAATAAAATCGATTTGTAATTTTTTAACTTGCGCTTTATGAACCCAGGTGTTAGTTTAATTCTTAACAATTTTATGAAGATTGTTTGAAATGGAGAAAAAGATACATTTAACAAAAAAAAAGTATAAAATAAATTCGCTGCGGACAGGATTCGAACCTGTGCGGGCAGAGCCCAATGGATTTCAAGTCCATCTCCTTAACCACTCGGACACCGCAGCTTCGTGTCGAACGGTTCGAAAACACATTCCCTTTCTACGGTCGTAATCGATTATCGTTTTCGAATAATTTATTTGATACTTCGCTGTAGTAATTTCAATAACATTTCTTAAATATTTCAAACAGTATTCATTTCTATTTTCTGTTAGAAACGAGTAATCGGTATTATTGAATACTAATTCGAAAGTTCCTGTGATGTATGCAACACTTTTATCAACTAACCCAAACTTAAAATTGGTTTTCGCCATATGGAGATATTTCTGTAAATAATTCAATCATTGCATGAATGTACGCGTAATGTAGTTTAGTATATTGAAATTATAAGTTTAATATTTTGTAATAATCAATATTAAATCGTCTTCTATTTATTAAGAATGTTTTTGACAATAATGGAAGTAGGCTGCGGTGTCCGAGTGGTTAAGGAGATGGACTTGAAATCCATTGGGCTCTGCCCGCACAGGTTCGAATCCTGTCCGCAGCGATTTTATTTTTGGTCAATTTTAAACCGAAATTATTTTTTTTTGTAGTAACTTTTTAATTCACAAAATATACACTCACATTTTGTTAAAAATCTTACAATTTTTAGATAAAATTAATTTTAAAACGTCGAAAAGAACTAGTTCCATTTCTTATTCGCAATTGGCAACAGTGCTCACCAACTCAAACGTCAAACGTCAACTCCGCCACAGTGACAGCAAAAACTGTCAGAACGTCACGTTACTCCGTTTTTTTTTTATTGTCAGTTGTCGATCCGTTCGGGCGATTTGTGTTGCATCGAAAACGATGGGTGGAAAATGAGATTGATTGTTTATCGAAACGAAACACGTGCGAAACGTAATGAAATGACTTTGGGCGCTCCGCATTCACCATGGGAGGCTGCATAGGAATAACACGCAGTAGGAGCGGTGCTATAGACGATTCCTCGGGGTCAATAAGCCGACCTAACTCAGGTATTAAGATAAGACAATAACCTTTACACGATCGTAAATATAACGAAACAAATAAACGTTTCCTTTGGCTAATAAATTTTAGTGTTAATAACAAGTTTATGTTATACTAGTAAATTTATTTTTAACACGTTTCGTATTAGATATAATGGAGTCGATGAGAAATGCAAAAAAACGTTGGAAAACAGGATGATTTTATGTAGAAACAACGTTTACTTTTCTCTATCATTTCCTACTCTTCTCTACATCTTTCCCTATTCTTCCCGATAGTGTATATCGCATACATACATACATATAAGATAAAAACTGACTGAATAAACAATACAGTAGAGGCCAATTCGAAATAACACGGTAACAAACTTGCAGGTAGCCAACGAAAGAACCACCCGTTGTGCCACGAGCGCATCCGATGGAAGTCAGACGTGCCCCTGACGGAGGGCCAGCTGCGGAGCAAACGCGACGAATTCTGGGACACGGCGCCGGCGTTCGAGGGACGCCGCGAGATATGGGACGCCCTAAGGGCGGCGGCGACGGCCGCGGAGGCGGCCGACTACGAACTGGCCCAGGCCATATTGGACGGGGCCGGCGTGTCGGTGCCCAACGGCTACCTGACGGAGTGCTACGACGAGCTGGGCGCGCGCTACCAGGTGCCCATCTACTGTCTGTCCTATCCGATCAACATCGTGAAGGAAGATAACGGCCGGGATTCGCCCGCGGAGTGTTCGGAGCCCGTCGACGGGGGCACCGAGACCGTGTTGAAATTGAGATTGTCGAGTACGTGTTGCGATGTTAAACTGTCTGTTTATTCGACCGATACAATCAGCATGTGCAAGAAAAAGTTGCAGGTGAGTGTGGCTAATAGTGTAGTGCAAGGCCGTATATATTTATTGTCTATGGTCCGGAAACATTGGTCGAAAAAGTGTCCCGTTATTTGAGGATAAAAGAGGGTTCATAAAACGGCCGATAGGACACGGTTTTTTGCGTACCAATATATAGAATTAGCATTAAAAAAAGGTTTTATTCAAACCACGGTCCTATATTTCTAGGATCTGGAAACATGGGTCGAAAAAGTGTCCCGTTATTTGAGGATAAAACAGGGTTGTAAAGAACCACAGTTTTTTGCATACGAATTATATAGAATTAGCATTAAGAAAGGTTATTTTCAAACTAAAAATAGATACAAAATATAAAAATATACTTAAATCAGCGATGATTTTGTTGTAAACATCATGCCTCTCGTATCTTCGGTTAATGTATTTCTCCATTTTCTCCTCGAAATGTCAAATAATAATTTTTGAAGTTTTGACAGCTTGAACTGTCATTTCACTACAACCGCGATTTATATGTAGCGCGACGCTGATTGGCTGAGATAAGTTGATCCTTCGATCGTTCGCCACAGTGCGGCGCAAAAGTGAAGCTCAAAAAGTCCTCAAATAACGGGACACATTCTCTAATGCATAAGCATAGGGAGATTCCAGACTTTAGAAATGCAGGGTCGTGATTCAAACTAAAAATAAACACCTTGCTCAATTTCCGATTGCAACATGGTCATTTCTATGAGTGGAACAAAGAAAGATTATTAAAATGACAGTTGTCAAAGTGAAAAGTTGCAATGACACAAATGTCACTCTTTCCTTTTCCTTTGTAAGTGTCTAATGGAAGTTGTCTTTATCGCACCTATACAGCAACCTGTATACACAATATAAAAATATACTTAAATTTAGTATTTTAGTAAATATAAATGACCAAAAAAACATGTAATTGTGCGAATTCGACGAAATTTCGATAAAATGACATTTAAGTTTCTGTCATATTTCGAGGTTCTCTACTTGCTCACAAAGTTTGACCACTTATTTCAGAAACACCATGTTTATAAAAAGTTTTCGTTATCGTTGAGTGGTTTAGTTTGTGTGGAATTCACGCGATAGTAGTGAACTTGAAATTCTTAACAGTTGCGGATTTAAAATTAAATGTTATCGATTTTAGCGAAAAAAACCGATTCAATTTAATGCTATCCTTCGTAATCTACCCACAATAATAAATATAATGGTTTATAATAAATTATTCATGCATACCATTTGCGATGGAAGGTTTAATTGAATTACTTCTAATAGAATTGGGTTTCTTTCATTAGGTTGATTGTTTCGACAATAGGGATTATACAATATTTTTTTCCTCGTATTTTATCTTTGACTTGGAAAAATAAAAAGGTTAAATTCGAGATAGCTTATGTATGTATTAATAAACCGATTTGATTTCATGTATTAAATGTTCATGGAGATTTATCTTCTTGTACAGATAAGTACGAATTTGTACGCAATTATGGTCTATGAGCGCAACAAAGACAACATCTATTAGTCTAGTAAAGGAAAAAGAAAGAGTGATGATTGTGGGATATATTGCAACTTTCTCATTCTAACCACTGTTATTTTATTGATCTTTCCTCGTTCAACTCATAGAATTGATCATATTGCAAACGTACAGGGTGTTAATTAATTGTATGCCGATACTTCAGGATGTGAATATTTGGAGCATTTTAAGAAGAAAAGTTTTTATCAATGTATGTCCTAAACCTCTTAGTTTTCGAGCTACAGGGTGTTATAATATTGTAAAAAAAATAACAATTAATTAACACCCTATATTTGCACTTGCACATAATTTGAAACCATTGAAAATTTATTTTTTAGAGCCAAGAAGGTATAGAATCGTCGAGGCAACGATGGTTCTACGGTGGTAAACTTTTAGGCGATAAACTCCACGTGGAAGAAGCGAAAATACCGGCGGGTTACGTCGTACAAGTTATAGTCAATATGGAAACATCCTAATAGAAGATATCGAAGCGAACAACACGGTAAATAATTCCATCTTTTTTTCCATCTAAAATTTCCCTTAAAACTTTACTTGCATAACGCTTCGGGGAGAAAAAAAAAGAAATAACACGTTAAAAATATGCATGCTTATTATCTCGGCCTTGGAGTTGCATTTTGTGGGCGAGACAAAACGCCTATTTAAGCGAATTAGGACGAAGTTCAGGTTTATTTTTTTTTCCACTATGAATTATTCAATCGGTTTTTGTACACATGCTAAATCGTCGATATGTAATGGTAACAAAAACGAATCGATCGCTCTCATTATTTGTTGATTTTGTAGGAAATCTACGTCGCCACGGCAACGCGCTCGATCGTCGAAAATTACGAAAAAAAAAATAAAATAAATAAATAAAAACTAGGCCGAACTGGACGAAACGGAAATTGCATATCAGAAAAATTTCGGTTTTTTTTTTCTTCTTTATGCGAAATTTGTTGGTAACACCGTTGCCAGCTCTAGAGAATTTTCCGGGAATTCGGAGACGAAACGTCGACATGGCAACGCCGCTTTCGCGAAGGAGGTAATTCGAAAAAAGCGTCGTCAATCCGGGCTCGCAAATATTTACGTACGTACATTCCATTTATCTTAATTGATTTGTCTAAATTTTATTATTTTTTTTTTAACGTAAAACGTAAATAAAGTTTCGGTGTCAAAATGTATAAATTGGCTTGCATCTCGTCGATTCGCGATTTTAAATGTAACAGTAATATCTCCTTTTTTTTTGGGGGGGCTGGGTTGGGATTCACCCCCTTACGAAAATCGGGATTTTTCTAACAAAGGTTGTGATAGGAATTGTTCGAGTTAACAGATAAAGATTATTTTTCTACGTCAACGCGATGCAGTCGATTAAAATGTCCGATTTATTTAGAGATTTTGTGTGGGAAATATCGTGTATTATTTACAGGGCGATTCGTTTAACCTAGCCATATGTTCTGTAATACCCGGTGTAATAATTCACTTGCAATGTTGCGAGATGCTGCGTGTAATTTCTAATCGCCCTGTATATAATTCTGGAAACGAATTGTACACTTTCAATAAAAGAAAAATGCATTTAATTAGTTCGGCTGATGATATTTTTTTTTAATTATTGTAGTATTTGTAAATAAGCAGTTTATTTTACGTTTGTAATATACTTATCATTTTTTAATTTAATTTTGCGGGAATTTAAAAGTTCTTGTATTAATTTCAATATGATTTATTTCCGTTGGTAATCGTTTGGATATTTATGAAAAAAAAAATGTGCGGCTTTTTAGTATATGCAAAATTATTTCAACTTTGTACATTTTATTATAATAGTTTTCGTTTTTAATTAGTAAGTTAAGGAAGTCGACTGCATAGGTTTATTTTAACGATGATAAAAATAAGTGATAGGGTCGTGTTTTATCGGCTTGACGTTTTCGTTAAGTAATAAATAATCTGTTTTGAAAACGTAATATACTCATTATGTAATTTATTAAGAGAAGCCTTTCGAGCGTTTCCTTTCGTTTAATTTTCGTGCAATTTTATCAAACCACCGGAATTATTCTTGTATCACGTGAGTGCGATAACGATTTTGTGTACCGAATGGGTTCTAAACAGTTTGAATTTTGTTTATAAATAAGGTAGGATGATTTTTTTTTGTTAATAGAAAAAAAGCTAATAAAGAAAAATCATCCTATGTTGCAACATTTCGATTGAATCATATCACAAAAACACGTCAAATTTTTCAAAATATAATACAAAAAATACTCGCTTTTATAGATATTCAATTCAATTCAAAGACTGGTTACTATCATAATATAGTAGAACAATAAAGAAATTAAAATTTTTCGAAAACAATAGATTAGTAAAATTCATAAAACGAGAAAGAACGAAAAGCCATCGAACGTTCTTTCTGCGCGCACTTTTTTCTTATCGAGAACGAATAATTTTTGAGAGTTTTTTTTTATAAATAATAGTATCAGTGTGTAAATACAAAAAAATACATTTATAAGTGAACAAAAAAAATAAAAGTTTGTTACGAAATTTATTGCATTTATGTTTATTCTAAATAAAAAAAAGTTATTAATCTATTTGGGTAATTTTTTCAACTCGTGCGTCAGCCAAATGGCAGCCGATAGGACAGCCAAAGAACCGGTTTGATGCGAAGCTGCTATACTGACCGGAACATACGTCAGCAAAGTCGTTATCCCTAAAGCGACCTGTGAAATTCAAATAAAATTGTTATTTTATTGAGCACATAATGAAGCGTTAAACTGTTTAAGATAAAGTCTCCTTTATCCTCATCACTTCTAATGTCAAATTGTTACGTAAACAATCTCCTTAGTTACTCCCTAACAACAATGTAAAACTGTCAAAAGTGAAAGAATCTCCTTAGTTACTCCATAACAACCAATGTAAAACTGCCAAATTAAGACGACTCTTGATTATATTATCGTTAAACTTGCTGTAACCGAATACATACTTGTAAGTAGGCCAACGCTGCTAAAGCGGTAGCGGCCTTGTAGGCTTTAGGCGGCAGCACGCGTTTCTTCGATAAGATATAAAGTATCGTTATAATACTCAACGTGGTGGTACCCAATATCCTGTGATCGAACTGCACCGTCGTTGGATTTTCGGTAAAATTGCACAATTTCGGCGTCAACGCCAAAATATCGTCCGGAATCCATTTATCCGCCATTTTAGGGAACGAATTGTACACCAAACCGGCGTCCAAACCGGCCACGAACGCTCCTGTACAAAACGTAAAATTAAACCACAAAAAAAAACCCATCAATTGCGCAACTCACCCGAAATGGCCGTTATAAATACCAAACCTTTAGCGGAATGCGCTAAAATTCTAAACTTCCTATACGCCGATAGTACCGTCTTACTATTCGAAACGATACTTTGAGCCGGCGCGAGAATTTCCAAAGCCGTACGCAAAAATGTACCATATAGCACGAAAGCTAAAGTCAAATGACTAGCTAGCCTGTATTGAGACACTCTCGGTACGTCGTTTACCCCATGAAAACGATCCTCTAAACCAGACTTCACCATATACCAACCCATCAAACCCTAAAAAAAACACAACTCTAAATCGCTCTATTTACCGCATTTCCTCGCATTCCATTTACCTGCGCTCCAATCAACGAACCGAACATCAACACTCTCTTCTTCAACGACGGAGTCAATCTACCTCTGGCCCAAAAATACGCCGCCGGTAACAGGAAAAAGGCTCCGATGATTCTACCCCATTGCCTGTGCCCGTACTCCATGTGCCATATAAACTTGAACTCGCCCAAAGTCATGTTTTTGTTCTTGCTGAAAAAAAGAAGCGCGCCTTGACTACCGTTGACAATTCGAGTCATATCGATCAAACGCCATAGATTTTTCGTTGGGTTTAATGCGATTTTACTGAGAGAAGAAAAATGCCTCCGCAGCAGCATAGACACGATGGGTCCAGGCACATCACCAAAATCACCGAGAGCATGTTCATCCTGCCGCCGCCGCCGCCCAAATACACCATCAACGAGTGGCATTTGACCAACAATTTAAGGTAAACCATCATCATCAACCGCTTTTATCGAAAATCCTGATAATAATCGTTGTTAGAACGAGAACTTGCTTGGACCAACAACGACTCGCCGATTCGGTTATAGCCGAAAACGATCGAGCAATCGAAGAAATCAACGAAAGAACCGAACACAACAAGAAAGTCACCGATAGGGCCATCGACGAGAAAATCAAAGACCTCGAATTCAATATATCGGAGATCGAAAGGCAGAGAAAAGAGGTAAATTTTACCAAACATATCCTGGACAATTCTTTTACAAAAAGTCATCAAGAGACATCTACTGTTTGAAATTTACACTACTACAACGATGTTAAGATACAATTTACTCATCCAACCAGTACACTCCCCAAAATTTGAAAGATTTAACAGGTGTAATAATTGTTGCATAACCAAACTACCAACCTTCACCAACACAACTTCATTCCTGTTGCTTAAGCATCCATAAAGGATGAAGCACTCGCTCAATGGACGGCCTGTTTATGCCTCCAGAGGCCACAACAGGCACTCAGATTCTCAGAATGCTCTAGCAACCCCTGCAAATGAGACTAACCTCTAAACCTAGATCATCGAGTTAGCACTAATCTACAGCTATCTAAGTTATACAGTTCGGTAGGACCTTGGGAGCGCTCAAACGAGTGATAAATCCGTCGCTTTTTGCCCGTAGCTTTGCAAAGAAATCGAATGCCTGGGCGTCTACACCGATCGCATGCACCACTGTCTGAAATTCATCGAAGACAAGGCCGATCCGGTGAACGAGAAGTGTCTGATACAACGCGAACGGCGCGTCGGCATCGACTATTGCGTCGACGGCGTCGAAATCGAATTGAAGAAAGAACGACGCGTCATCGAAGGGGCCGTCGCGATGCTGACGAGAACTTTGGAACAAGCCAACGAACAAGTGAGAGTATATACACGACGAGATTAGGTTTACGAGCTAATGCATTCGGTGTGTTAGATGAGAAGGTTGCGATCGTACTTCTACTTCATCGACAGAGATTTGGACGATAAGGAACGATCGAAGACGATCGATTTGTTCAACAAATCCCGGACGAATACCAGCCTCGAATTGAGCATCTACCACGGCTTCGCGCCGCTCGATCCCTCCAACATCACCATGCAGGAATGGGAGAAATTCTGCATGGACAACATCCAGAACGCCGCCAAGGAAATCTACACCTGCAGACAGGTAAATGCGCCTCGATTAACGCTCGATTAATAATTAAATCGATTGAAGTTGCGCGTGTACGTGGACACTCTCCTGCGACAAGCCGTCTACGATTTGGTGACGCAATTCAACGCTACAAACAACGCGTTCCGCAGCAGGATCGAGGAATTGAAGGACAGCAAGACGAAGATGGAGGTGCATCACTCGGAGGTGATGCGATTGGCCAACGAAGCGGGCCAGGCCATCACCAGATTGAAGAAGGCCCTGAGCGAAAAGGAAGGTCACACGGCCTTGGCCCATACTAGGTGATAGGAGCATCGTGTCAAGTAGAATTCGGCTGATGATTTATCGGTTTTTGTTTTAGATTGGGCAACAGGGCGCACCGGCCGTCGGCGGAGCTCTGCAGGGACCCGGTGGAGTTTTCGTTGGTCAAAGAGGTGGGCGATTTGCGGCAGAATTGCAATTTCCTGCAACAGCGATTGGCCGAAGCGCACGCCTCGTTGCGGTACCTGTTGAAGACTCAAATACAATTGGAGGAGGACATCAACACGAAGACGAACACGTTGAAAATCGACGAGGTCGATTGCATGACGCTCAGACAGGAGATGGACTATCACGATTTTTAAACGATACTTGTGAGAAAATCAATAAAGCGCGTGGGATATATAGTTGACGAAAAATGGGATCTTACATTTTGTATTCCGGAAACTGCTTGTACCTTTCGAACTCTTCTAGCCATTCGGTTTCGGTTCGTGGCATTTTTTCACCCAATAATTTCCATGTAACCATCGAAAGACCCGATTCCGTTAGTCTCGTAACACCACCTGAACAAAACCATTAATAAATCAGTTCTTAAACCCCAGTTGCACCAAATCATCCTAGGATGAATTCCTATTCCAAGTCAGACCTAAGTCTAAAATCAATTTTATACTGTTGCACCAACTAAAAATCTTTTGGTGCAACATGGTGTAACATATTCCAATCTTAAGTAGATCAGACATTTAAGTCAGACTTAGATAAAATACAACCTAGGATAAATTGGTGCAACGGGGCATAAGGGTATCGAAACGAACGAATATCTTGCGTTAACATTTATTCCCTCGTAAAATATATCACAGCTACTATTAGTGAGCGAGTCGTGGTGTTTATCTGACAGTTTTCTTAACCACCTCGCTTAATACTACGCAAATCATCGATATAACGGCGATATAAACGGCTACTGTACCTAATACGACCGCTACGAACACCATTCCGCTGCACGATAATAACCAGTAACCCACGGCTTTTTTGCTCTTCGCGGCGTCCGAGCTCAACTTCAGGGCGATCGTTCCGCTTCCTCTGAGTAAATTACCCGCCTGAAACAGCGAGGACGATCGGTAAGAGTTATTTAAAATGAAAAAATTAGAATGTACCCTTAGGTTTTGCGGCGCAAACTTCGCCCTGGAGAACGGAGTGGTGTAAAATCTGCATTGGGGGCTTCGTATACTCCTCGTTTGTGATGTTAGGAACGTTTTTAGCGGTGCGGTAAATGCGGAGGAACGGCAAAACTTCGATAAAGCGATCATCTTTTTCGGCTTAATTCAAATATCACAAGTCGCCATTTATTTAACTTTGACGTTTTGTCTTCTTCTTTTTTATTATTTATATGATGCCTCTATCTTAAATAACAAACAGCCATTTCTACTCTTCTACTCTATCTGTCATCTGTCATGTTTGTTGTCTTGTAGAGGTTAGGTTTGTTTGTTTACACTTATAAAGCATATTTTAGCAAAATATGAACAAAAATAAAGAAACCTCAGTGAAGAAGAGCACTTTTTCAAACACCGAGGGAGACACGCGAGCTACTAAATCTAAAGAAAACAAAAAACCGGTCAAAATAACGTTGGTACGTAACGGAAGGATAAAGCCTCCAGCAGTAAGAATTATCAAAGACGACTTGAAAGTTCGCAACAATGCGAGCATACAAACTGATAGTGTTAAAAGACAATCGTGTACCTGTATAAATGCATTGGACGAGCCTAAAACAAACACTTTAAATCGGTTGGTTAAAAATATCGAGCGGCTAGGAGTAGACGACAAGTGTAGAAAAAATCACGCGATAGCAGCAGACGAAAAGGTAATTTTACCGCGCTTATATTATAATAATGTATTAGGTAATGTTTGTTGTAGGTTTTAAAGAATTTGAATTTTCCTTACGATCGGGCTATCTATAAAGATCTGATTCCGTTGGTGTGTGAGAAAACTCAGTATCCTCCAAGCAGCGTCAGGAATCCCCTGCCTCAGAAAGACGTAGAACCAGCTCTCGCTGATTTCGTAGAAATTAAGAGAATTCCCGATTATTTTATCCTCCACAGCTCTGATATAGAAGACAAGGTTTATCCCGTTAAAAATAACAGTATGAGGTTGCACAAACTTCTAAATAGGTACGATTAGAATGATTTTCACAGGAGTAATTGACAGAGGTTGGTTAATTTGTACCTACGAGCATTTTATTAAATTAATTTACTACAAATAAACGCTATTTTTTTAACAGGAATTTCGTGTGTTCCCCTTTGACCAGCAAGCTTCCGTCTTTTTTATTTTTAATGGAAACCTCCAAGAAGGCCATGGTGTTCCCCACTCTCAATGTATCGGCTTCGATTTGCACCTCTTCGCCCTCTTTGGCCCCTTTCATGAAGGTCATGTTTATGTTAACGGAGACGCTCGCGCAGTTGGCTCGTTCGTGCGTAAAGAGCGCCCAACTGGAGATGCTGTCCACTAAACTGGTGGCGAAGCCCCCGTGCATCGAGCCCATGGGATTCGTGTGTTCTTCCTCTATTTTTATCGCGGCCACGCATTTTCCCTTGCCCAGTTCCAGTACGTTCAGGGATCTCATGCATTTCTCGAATCTCGGCGTCGATTCCAGCAGGGATTTCAGGAGCTTCGCGTCGAATGCTATTTTTGCCATTTCGCTAATATTAATAAGTACTTTGTTCGATTTGAGTGTCGTTCGATTAATACCAGTGTGGTTGTTGTGTTATCATATAAAGGTCCTTGAATGTTGAGCTATTACACAACTGATTTTTATGTGTAAACAAAATTTCAACTAATCTATGGTTAACAATTCAATGGGTTTATTATATTTTAGTAAAGACGATTAATTACACCAGTAATTGCAACTGGTCGTATTTATTTTTGATTTTTCTTTGGTTATGTCATTTTTGACATTGAAGTTGAAATACTGCCTAACTTCACTTTGACTTTGTACCACGGTCGTATATTTGTAAGGTCTGGAAACTGAATACTTAAAAAAAAAGAAGCAAGTTGGGTTGACACTTGACAGATCGACATCTGTCAAATTTGTTTAGGTTAGCTTTATCGTTAGCTTGTATTGAATGAGAGAAATGAATTAAATAGGCGAAAAAAACAAATAAAAACAATGGAAAACGATACGAATAACGTGGAAAATCCGGAGGCGGTCGAAGCGAACGCAACGCAAGCGGTCCAACCGAAGGAAGAACCGATCGCGAAAACCGCCAAAGATTTATTTTCCGATTTCAAAGCCTCCGACGAATCCGATTTCGAGGATCTCAATGACCAGGAACAGGCCAGTTTTTCCGATTCCGACGAGCCCCTTACGAAGAAAATCAAAAAGAAAAAGGACTTGAAAAGAAAACCCAAACCCGGACACGAAGACTCCCCCAAAAAGAAGGTTCGTTCGAGTTCCTTACTTTATCTCGTCACATCCTCTAATTCCGACTGTATTTCTTGCTAGAATTACATACAAAAGTACAAAAAAGAATGGGAATCCATACCTGCCGTTAAACCCTGGATATCCGAGAGCGTGCACGGGCCCCATTACTTCTACTGCAGGTTCTGCAAAAAGGACTATAAATGCGGTAAAACCGAAATATTCAAACACATGAGCGCCATGAAACACAAAAAACACCTAACCAACACCGTTCAATCGGTGCAGAATAAGTTCCTGTTCCGTGGTCTTTTGTGCCCCGTTATAACGCCATTCGTAAAATCCAGGTAAATTTTGTAAATGTATGATGATTTAAAATATTGAATAATAATTCTCGTATGTGTTTTTTTTAGAGGTAAAGAAGTGAATTACAAATTAATCAATCCCTATGCCAAGTTTTTGAAGGCTTGCGGCGTCAAGGGGATCTTGTGTGAGTTGCCTAAAATGGATTAATTTGTTCAATTTAATAATTTTCTTCGCGTTTTTTTAGTAAACGATATAACAGGCGAAGGAATGTCTCTGACGACTGAAGAAAGGAAACAATTGGTGGAATTTTGGTACGATATTTGCAAAGAAAAGAACCAATTTCTGATGGTACAAGTCGGTGGGGCTCCTTTGAAGAGCGTCATCGAAATGGTAATGTTTGTATCTGTTTTATTAGTTACTCTAGTTTATTATGAGGTTTTCGTAGAATGAACCATCTAGTACTATTTAGAACTGTATTTAATTGTTGTTAATATCGTACCTATAATTTTTTTCTAATTAATTAATTCATTTTATTTTTTCTAGGCGGTGCACGCCGAAAGATTAAAAGTAGGCGCTATAGTTTTAATGGCGGATTTGTATCACAGGCCAAAAACCCATTTGGATCTCATTAGATACATAAAAATTATATCGGAATATACGGAAAAGGTTCCCATATTGTACCATCACTATCCAAAGTATACACAATTGTACGATAGTGAGTATTTGATTGATTTTGGAGGGACTATATAGAAAAAATTCGATTCTAATTGACTTTAGAAAGACTATAAAAAGACTCCATTTATACTGCAGGTATATTTTCTATTTTCTAGTCGATATGACCGCCTTTCTGCTGGATATAACCGGCGAAGTGGAACAATTCGTAGGCGTAATTTATACGACAAACGATCTACAGGACGGACTCACCGCTCTCACATTGAATCCGGAAAAATACGTCGTTTTTATGGGAACAGACGAGGTATAATTGGGCCACCCTGCATAATACATACCTTTTTTTACATTAGACAGCGTGATCCACCCTGTATAATGATTTTAAAGAAAGCTTATCCGTTCTAAAAGGTCCATCGACGAGAGTAGAGGTAGAGTAGACCCGAAAATTGCAGTAGAAAATTGGAGAAAAATTAGCAGAAAATCCGCTAAAAATAGACGAAAATTTTGAATTTAAATTAATCAAAGAAACGAGCGAAGAATTGCTCTAAAAATGCACAAAAATCTTTCTAAAAACTACTCTACACCTACTCTACTCCTACTCTTCTACTGCTACTCCTACTCTCGTCATCACCTTTTTTAGAACTTATAAACTTTACACATTGAAGTAAAATACAAAAATGAAATTGTTTACAAAATTGAAGTAGGCTAATTCTAAGCGTGTTTGTGTGTTTTTAGGTAATGCTAGGAGCTGTAGCGAGCGGATTTACTTGTATAATGGGCAATAGCATAAACATTCTACCGAAATTAGCCGAATCGATTTGCCAATGTATCAAAGATGGCGAGATCAAGAGCGCGCAGGCATCGCAGAACCTCCTCAAAAAGGCCATCGATAGTATCTATTGTAACGGTAAGCAGTTGGCAATACCGTAAAACCAATACCAACTTGTTAAAAATAAATAAATTACCGTTTTAGGTGATATGGTGTCTACGTTGAAAGCTGCAATCAGTATAATGACTAATCTTCCTGTGGATACTGTCAGGGAACCGTTACAAACCGTTTGGGAAGGAACCATTATCAAAATGAAAAATAAATTACACGAAATCGGTATTATATAAAAACTAAATAAGTTAAGTGGATTTTTGAGCGAGTAATTTACTACAAAAAATAAATAATAAATCGACTACTTTGATCTAGATGTAATTTTTTTTTAATTTTCACGAGTTTCGTTATGGAACTTTTTGTTTTTTGTAAATACTTATCGAAAAAAGATAGATAATTTTCTAATAAAAACAAATACTTGAAAAGAATTCGTAATTGTTGTTACCCTATTTAGAACTGTCCGGTATCATTTAGAACGCTTTAAAATCATTTAGAATTACTTAGGAATAGTCGATTAGAAATTGATTAATGATCAATTAATAATCTTATATCTCGAACACTACTGAATGTAGATTACCTAATTTCTGCAGACCGCTTAATACTTATTATAATAAACCTAATAATGCACTGTTCTCATATCTAAAAGTTTCCAATTCAATTTTATCACCTGTTATGGCAACTATCTTCTACCCGAAGATAATAATACCAATCTTATATAATACGAGAAGTACACGAGGTAAAAATATAGGTGTTTATTTGACCTTTTAAAATTAGTGACTGACTTGTTTCAAAACGGTAAATAAATATACAAGGGGATAACAAAATCAACTAATACAGTAAACTATTCCTAACATCGCCCATCTAAAATTAAAAAAAATAATAATATTTAAGATAATAAATATATAATTATAAATATAAATAGATTTTATACATATTTTTTCCGAATTTAAACAATTTTAAACATGGCAACGTTGTCTTATTTGAATTTTAAACAAGATGAAAATGAGGTTAGTTTTTGACATTCTTCTGCCATTTGAAACGCTCCGGAATCATTTAGAACTGTCTAAAACAATCAAGAACGCTCCAGAACTATCTAAAACCGTTTGGTTATGAAAAAAATCCTGAATTACTGGTGGTTATAATGTGTTTTAATAGAAAATGAAAAACGGCAACGAACTTGAAGGAAACGAAACACGAAAACGGTGAATTATTTTTCTTCTTATTTTTTGTTATTAGGTGGCGGATTCCGCAGGGGCGTTGGGGGGCGAAAGATATACGACCTTTGGTATTGGTACTTTGCTTTCTTCTCAGACGGTTTTAGAATCTGCAAAAAAAATACATTCTGATTAAACACAAACTGAAAAAAAAAAATGGAATAAAAAATGCTATCGAGAATGAGAGCGTTTTCAGACGGTGCAAAATTGCATTTGAACGCTTGTATTTTAACTGCAATGCAATAAATTGCACCGTTTGGAAACGCTCTAACAGTCGAAATGGATTATATTCTACTCACAATAAAATTGTTCTTTTAATTTACTTGTACATAATCCGCTGGGCGTGATAAAATCGATTATAAAAATAAAACTTTATTTATATAGACAATACAAAGGCGTATACAACCCATTCTAATAAAGGTATATAAAATTTTTTTTAAAGTCGAATTCATTGAATAAAACTCGCAAATCTCGACTACGAATATCCCATTGTAGATGTTAAAAATTTTATTTCGCTTTTCTCTCTAACGGCTTGATTATCTAAAAAGATAAATATCTTTGAAACCAAAAAAGAAAATAACTTTCGCTCTCACACCTTTCGACAATCTGCAATTAATTAAACGCTTTTTCGCTCGAAAATTACGCCATAATCGAATTTCTACCTCATCAAATGTAGCTTAGCAGTCGACATATATTTTACAAATGCCAATGACGTCATTTTTAGTCATTTCCACGCAGTTCCAAATTTCCCTATTGATAGATTTTTGACTTTTCTAGGGTTCTAGATTGATCTAGACAGTTCTAAAGGATTCAAGACAATTCTAAATGATTCTGGAGCGTTCTAAATGATTCTAAAACAGTTCTAAATGTTTCTGGAGTGTTTCTAAATTGATCTAGACAGTTCTAAAGGATCCTAGACAATTTTAAATGACTCTGGAGCGTTCTAAATGATTCTAAACAGTTCTAAATGTTTCTAGAGGGATCTAGATAGTTCTAAAGGATTCTAAACAAATCTAAATGATTCTGTAGCGTTCTAAATGATTCTATACAATTCTAAATGATTGGGGAGTGTTCTAAATAATTCTAAACAGTTCTAAATGTTTCTGGAGTGTTTCTAAGTTGATCTAGACAGTTCTAAAGGATTCTAGGCAATTCTAAATGATTCTGGAGCGTTCTAAATCATCCTAGACACTTCTAAACGAATCTAGGCAATTCTAAATGACCTTGGAACATTCTAACTAATTTCGATACATTCTGACGTACTCTCGAAACGTCTCAATAGCCGAGCTACATCCGTCGAGGTAGAATTATACGCGCTTCGCATTAAATACAATTCGGATTAAAAAAAAAATTTACCTGAAAGGAGCACATGAGCGTCTCGTCGACGCTCATCATGCCGCCGGCGTTGTCGAATTCGCCGCAGTAATTCGGCGCCGAAAACAACGTGACCAACTGTCGCTTGGCGAAGAACTCGTAGCCGTCTTCTACCACCTGATGGGCGCGACAGATCAAATCCAAATCGTGCCGGTTCAAAAACTTCGTCACGACGTCGGCGCCGAACGTGAACGACACGCCGCGATCGTTCTCGCCCCATCCTTGCACGTCCTTGTCCGGATCCGACCACAGCAAATCGCACAATAGTCCTGCAAAAACATTTCGCAAATTTTTACCCCATTACTCTGTATACATACATATTAGGCGTTAAATAAACTTCAGGGTGTAATTCTTAATAGCACACGAAGCATAAACCACGTTCCATCAGAGTAACGTCCTTTTATCTGCGTTTAATTCAGCTACTCGAGCTGTTACGATTACCCGAAACAGTAATCGTATAAGCGCTCGTATGAAATGTAACTCTTGATATCGAACGGATTTATAAATAACGTCCCATCTAATTAGCATCCTTTTATAAGAGCGTTATTCAGCTACTTGAGCTGCTCGATTAACATCATTACTATCGCCTGGATCCTTTTATATGTGTTTTATTCAGCTAGTTGAGCCTGTATTACCTGTATCGGGTACATCGGTGGGTCTCATGATTCTCCTGATTTGCTCCATGCCCTGCAAATCGGGACTCAAACCGCCGTGACAACAGAAGATTTTCTCGTCGATTATCGCCGAGATGGGTAAGCAATTGAAGCAATCCGTGAACGTTTTCCACAATTTTATATTATATCTTCTTTTACCTAAAAAAAAAAACGTAGCATAATTAATCAGTTAAAAAAGTAAGATTAGAAATCGTCCATACATTCATCGTAAAATCCGTATATTCTATTGATCGAGGCGCATTCGTGGTTGCCCCGCAACAAGAAGAAATTCTCGGGATACTTGATCTTGTAGGCCAACAGCAGGCAGATGGTTTCGAGCGACTGCTTGCCCCTGTCGACGTAGTCGCCGAGAAATAGGTAATTCGCCTCGGGCGGGAAGCCGCCGTACTCGAACAGCCTGAGCAGATCGGTGTATTGGCCGTGTATGTCGCCGCAGATCTTCAGCGGCGCCTCGAGCTCCAGCAGGATGGGCTGTTGCAGGAAGATCTCGCGCGATTTGAGACACAGCCCGCGCACCTCGCCTTCGGTCATGTGCACCGATTTGCCGGGGCGCATTCCCCTTACTACGATTTTTTACAAATAATTATTAAACGCTCCTCGTATTGGACTATTCGTTAGAATTAACAACAAAAGCTTTCTCGGTCGATTCGATTTGGACTACGTTTATAAATAAACAATAATTGGTTTTCAAGGTTCACCTATATTGATTTTACTAACTACTTGTATACAAAATAAAAAAATATTACATAATTCCAAATCTAATTGTGTTAATCGTATTAAAAATGATATCATCGTATTAAAACAACTGATAACGTGTACAAATCGTGATAAAAAAGCAACACAATTAAAGCAGGAAGGTAGTAATATACAACAAATAACTATTAATTAGTAATTATCGAGATAAAATGCAATTAACGACTGCCTCTACGTAACTATCATTAAGCATTCCGGATAGCAATAAAATGCATCGAATTGGAACAAAATGTGTTTTGTAATTTTGTTGTGACAATAGAGTAAATTCCTTACCTTCGGATAGAGTGAATATATCTTTTATTTTCGATGACTTCTTTACGTCCTGTTGGGCCTCCCGTTGGGATTTATGGCCTTTTATAATATATTTACCCGGTACATCGAAAGCAGCACAAAATATAGGCAAACTAGGTAGAATGTGGAACGGATGCGAGATTTATGTTTATAATACAACTAGGAACTTTAGGCAAATCAAAGAGGGCGTCCAAGTAATTTCGAAAAAGTTTGAAACTGTTTAAAGCGATTTTTTTAGAAAAAAGTGCACCAACTGACAGATACATCATAAATGTAGAAAACTAATTTTGGCTATTCCATAACCATGCAGTTTAGATGTTGTCGATTAATAAATGTGCGAAACGTTGGAAATTGTGTATTTTAAATGAACATGTCCAAAACTCACCTTCTAGTAATCTTTGTATTACATTGTCTACATTTAATTCGGGCTCTGCCATTTTTCCTCGACCAACAAACTCGAGCACAGCACAACAAATATAAATGTCAAACGTCTAAATAAATTTTAAATGTCAATTCACTTATCTGTCAAACTCTAAATACTTTAATTTATTAAAAAAAAAGAAGAATTTTGTTTTTCAATCAACGAGATATTCAAGAAATAATGTAATTACATTTATCTAAACCCTCTAACCAAATAGTTAAAATATAATTATAATTTAAGTACAAATAAATTACCATTTTTAAGAAGTAATAAAGTGGCTGAATATAAAGCATAATTGTTACTAACTTCAATTCTTTTACTACTCAAGAAAAAGAAGAATAACGTAACCTCAATTCCACTCAAAGTTTAATATAGAATTTAGATTTTAATGAAATAAAGTTAAGGGAAAGATATAAAATGTCCACTAGATGGTAATTTAAATGTACAATTCACTTTCTCTTCTTAATTACAATTTCTTTCAGGTATCCCATATATCAAAAGGGGAACCCTCAATTGAGGGTGTTCCTGCCTAATTTTTGGATGAAACTCGTCCGACCTGTGATTAAACAGCCCCCGAATGTAGTACAATTTTCTTGTTCCATGGAAATGACGAAACACGACATTAAAAACTATCTAGAGAAAATATACAACGTTAAATGCGTAGACGTACGAACCAGAATACACATGCCGAAAACTAGATTAGAACCTACATTTGGCTACGTCATCAAAGACGATGACGTCAAATACGCTTACGTCACATTGGTAAGGAAGTTTCGAAAGTCTATTAAAGATGTTTAAAGAAGTTTATTGTAGCCCAAAGGCGAAGAATTCCAGTTCCCCGATTTGTTCGAACTCGACCAAACCAAGAAGGACGAAGAAGCGAACCAAGAGAAAGCCCTCAAGCAATCCCAAGAAAGTTACGATAAGTTTTTAGAGAAGAACAAAGAGCGAGAAAACATGCCCGGTTGGTTTTCCGTATAACAAAACAAACGTAATATTTTAGATGTTTATTAGTAATAAATAAATTCACTGGAAGTACACGTTTTTAGTGAATATCGCTTCACTTTTTGCTCGATTCTATTCTAACTTGTTCGATTATTCCTGGCTGACCCGTCTCCCTCAACTTCCTAACATCCCTTTTACCAAACAGAAGCTTCTCTAAACCGATTATAGGCGCTTCGAACACCATAGTCAACAGAAACCCGAAGCAGTAGGCCATGACAATGTCGCTAAACGTAGCGTAAATCTACAAAAAATACAAATTATGCTTTCTATATAGTTTCTAGAATGAGCCAATAAGAGCTCTCGTTGACTAGTGAAGTTACTAAACCTAGCCAATAACAGCGCTCTATTTCAACTATCGCTTCTATTACCAGCCAATAAGAGCTCTCGAGTGACGTCACATCCTTCGAGGGTGTACTTACTGTAGTAAACACTGAAGTATAATTAGCCTGTCTCAATGTAGCAGCTGTGTACAATTGAACAGCCCCGTGACACAAAAACGCGCTGTAGCTGATCCTGCTGAGCAACACGAACGGTTTCCACGACAAAATCGGCTCGATCCAAGCTAGAACAAACGATCGTAAGTACTTAAATAATCAAAATGTATCTACAAAACTTACATCCTTTGCCGGAAGACACCCCGATGATCAGCCAAGCGTTGCCCAAACTGAAGGTGAAGTGATGGAATCCTGCGTAGGCGGCGGATACGAAAGAACTACCGGCGAATTCGGGCAAATAGAAGACGAAACCCAGTTGGATGGTGGCCAAAATGGTGACGATGGCGGCCACCCAAGCGCTCCTGTACAACCATTTGGGCAATTTGTACGCGGACACTTTCATCTTGTACTTCGCGTACCCCGTGAGGGCCCCCACGAAATAGGGGCTGGCCCGCATGTGGGTGGGGATGTAGGTGTTCTTGAACGTGGAATTACTGATGGGGTCTTTCAGCAACCTTAAAATTGGACGAATTCGTAGTTTAAATCGAATGGAATCGGTTCATTCGCTTACTTCATGTACAACAATAAAATGGCGCCTTCGCTTCGCACGTACACGGAAGTAATCACCACCAAAATCGAGGAGGCGATCAGAAGAACCACAACGGATACGCCCAGAGTCGGGTACTTCTTCAGTACGATCGCCAACGGGGGGATCAGCAGGAAGTAGTGCATGTCGCAGGCGATGTACCAAGATTGGAACATGCACTGGAATCGATTCGAATCAGTCGAAAACAGTGCGAAAATCGTTGGAAAACTCACCAATTTATCGGCGTTCACGTAGTTGTTGATGTACAAGAGATTGGTCCACCAGTTCTCCGAGCACCGCTCTTTCTCCACGCCTATCCTCTCTTGCCAAAAAGGCCCGTCGCTCAAAGTGTAGAAAATGGTGCAGTAGAAGGCCAATACGACGGCGTAGGTCGGGGTCATTCTGGAAATCGAAAAGCAAGTTAAACCTTTCCAGAGGAGCATCCAGCCCAGACATTTTCTTTTGGTCTCAACAAACAAGACTTATCCTCCTTTCTGGAGATGTTGAGACTCTTTGAAATGGTTTGAAAAGGGATTTTCTTAGATACCAAAGACGAGTTTGTAGTTAGGATACTTCCTTAGTATCTTTCTGGAGAAGATCTGGTGATTGCATACAACACTTTAGATACCAAAGACTAGTTAGTAGCACTTAGACTGTTTGGTACTCCCTTAGGATCCTTCTGGAAAGGACCTGGAGATTACTAAGGAGTTTGTAATGCTTAGTAAGACCTTGGACTGCCTTTTTTAGGTTTATCCAGGGAAGTTATGTGAAACGATGAGGTTTTTTATAGGTTGGTGCTTACCTGAGTAACCTGTGAATGTATATAACGAAGACGTGGGTGAATTTGAAGCGATCATTAACGGCGCAAAGGGTGAAATAGCTGGCCAAAAAGCCGGATATCACGAAGAAAGTGTCCACTATTATGGGCCCGTTTAGGATCAAGGCGGCTTCGAATCTGGAATACATCTAAATGGAATTTTAGACGATCGTATTGTGTTTGATAAATGGATAAAAGTTACCTTTTCCAGAAGTAGGGGGTTGCTGATCGGCGCTCCGAAGATGAACATGCACCTGTGGCCCATTATTATCAGAAACATGGACAATACTTTGACGCCTGCCAGGCAGTCCAGGCCATCTTCGTTGTTGGTACCTGTGGCTAGTTTTTTCAGGTTTTTCGGTACGGAAAAGCACAGGAAAAACGCGTGGAGTTTCCCTAAATAATCTGAATTAGAACATTATATTCTTTGGAAGGCACTGTTAGATTTTTACCTGGCTTTGATTCCCCTTCACCGCGAGTAAAAATGTCATACAGGGAGCAAAACATCACCAATCCCACAGAAACAGCTATTAATATCCTGTAATAAAAGCTCGTGTAATAATAAGTATAAAAAATCATTTTGTAATACTTACAAAAAACTTATATCACCAGTTGAGAGTACGTAAACTGACTTTACTCGGCAACTGTTGTGGAAAGTGTCGAAGGTTAAGGTGAAATCATCGAATTTATCATCGTTTTCGATGATTTTCAGACTGTTGTTTAGGTCGCTTTCGGTACAAGAAGACGGTATGCACAGAGACAGGTATATTTCGCTTCTGGAAGCCTTCGAATTTTCCTTCGAATAAGCCTAAAAAAGTCAGGTTTTTTTGAATAATCATCCCTTAAATGTTAACAGGGGTGCACAGGAACCCACAGAATTTTTATTCTGAGTCTATATACTGCCATTAATCTACTCTGAAACCGCTCTGAGTAAATCTACTTCCCTGAATCTATTGCTCTAAATCTAAATCTTTTCCAAATCTACTCTGAATCTACTCCCTGAATTTACTCTAAATCTACTCTGAAACCTCTCTGAATAAACCTAATCTGAATAAATCTACTGCTCTGAATCTACTCTAAATCAACTCTTAAAAAATCGACACTGAATCTACTGCCCTGAATCTACTGTGATTCTACTCCGAATCTAATCTGAATCTGCTCCAAATCTAATCTGAATCTGCTCCAAATCTACTGCCCTGAGTCTACTGCCCTGAATTTACTCTAAATCGACTTTGAAACTTCTCTGAATAAACCTAATCTAAATAAATCTCTAAATCTACTCTGAAACTACTCTAAATATACTCTGAATAAATCGACACTAAAACCTCTCTGAACAAACCTTTACAACCTCTACTCTACAATATAAAATTAGTTTATTTTTATAAAGGGATAATTATATTTTGGCGGGGAATCCCAGATCTATAATTGAACTCACCAGCATTTTGCTGAACGCTGAAACGTTGTAAAAATCCCCGTATTTTCCGAACTCGTAGTCGACGATTTCCTTCATTTTATACTTGAAATTCGGCGCCACTGAGATCCTGGTCATGCAGTATTTCCCGGCGAATTTCCCGGCCTCCTGCGGCACCTCGATGTCCAAGCACTGATCGAACTGGCCCAAAGAGTACCCGGACCCGTACAACACCCCGCTGGGAACCTTCCCGCTGGCATCGTACACTAAAAAAAAATATTTATTTCAATTTATTACATTTTAACGGGTAAGTTTTGGCTTACTTTCCGACGCCCAAAGGGCTGCATTATCCAATTGCTGGAGGTAGAATTGAGTGTGGTTCCTGCAGAGGGTTCCCTCGTCTCCCAGCTTGGGGAATATCTCGCTGGCGATGTCCTCGTGCAGGAAATCCTTGAAGGATGGGCCGCAGGAGACGCTGCTGAGCAGGATCGCCGAGTACACAAAGTGCTTTAGCATGGCTTCTTGTCTAGTTGAATAAACTCGTGTGAATAGAAACCCATCGAACGGGTCGTTTATATAAACGGGTACAAATACGTTTTTAACGACATTAATTAATGGATTAGCGATAAAGAATTGGGTGTATTAGGAATTTTGGAAGCGGTCGAAGTTGGCTGGTTTTCCGGTGGATTATTGGAGGATTTCGGAAATTGTTTCGAAATTTTCCGATTTGTTCGGTTCATTAGTCGAGCACCTCGAGGGAACTTTAATTACCTGCTTTATCGGAGATAGAAAAAGGGAAAATTTTACCGGAATTGTAGGAAAATAATATATCGATATCGAATCGTTCATAATCAGGTTTGTTAATTTTTTTTAACCCAACTAGTACCCTTGAGGTGAATTTATAATTGCCTGTACTTGACCCGTGTTTAATAAATATTACACACTTAAATAAGGAAGTATTTATGAAATTCAATAACATTATAAACGAATTATTTATTTACAGTTAACAATTAATAATATTTACAGAACAATTAAAACGCAATGAAATTGTTCGTTCGAATCGTTTCGAAAATTTCGAGTTGTACCGTTTTAATAATTAATTAGGTTTTCGAAAAAATGGATAATAACAGAGTTGTTGTACGTAGAAAAAGACTTGGTAAATGCGGCTATTAGAAATAATGATGGTGGACGGCGGGGTAAATATTTTTGTCACGAAAAACTAATTTCAGTTGATTATAGAGAGAATCATGTTTCTATTGTGCGAAAGGGACCCTTCGTTTTATTAAAATGGCGGTCGATTTAGACGAAATTGTCGAGACCTTTCCGCTGGAAAAAGGTAAATAACACCTTAATAATTCAACGAAATAGAACTTTCATTAAAACTAATCAGTAAAGTTCGAAATTCATCCAAGAAGTTTAGCTAAATATGCACTAATAACTTTTCACTCTCATTTTTCGTAATATTTTTGAAATTCGGGTCGAAATGTATTTTCTGTATTCGTTTTTCAAAAAAATTTCAAACTTCTCGTCATTCTCATTATTCTTTTTTATGGTATTTCCATCAAGAGATAATGAAATGAAATTATAATTTAGTTAAAATCTCAAAAATAGCTAAGTAATTACCGGTAAGGTAGACTAGGGCAAATGTAAAAATGGGGTAAATATAATATTTTTACCTATTATGTTATTGTTTTTATTATTTTTATAGTTCTTTTGTGCATTAGACAGGGTTTGTTTCTTATTTTTTCTTTATTATTTTGTAGCTCTGTTATTTTTTGAAATAAATAAATAAACAGCATATCAAATTTTAGAGGAACCAAATATGTATTTACAATTGCCCCATATGTTTTTCAATATAATTGTATTGCACTTTAGAACCCATGGTACGGGGTAAATGTAACATATTGTCAACATTTTAAAAAATATGTAAAATCGTTTTCTTCCTTTTTCAAAAAAAAACTTTTTAATACCTCGATTCTTTAGTTCAGGAAGTTGTGAATTTAATGTGGTATCAGCATTTCTAATAAGAGAAAAAATAAAGCCACATTTTAGGATATAATTTGAACTATTCAAATTTTACAACCGATTTGCCCCAGTCTACCTTACTCAAAACATGCAAAAATTGCATTGTAAACTGATCTTAACACTTCAAATAAAACAGTCAGAACAAATCCAATTTGTAAAACTAATATTTTTATTAAATAAGTACTATTTAGTGCAAATATTTACACAACATCACAGATAAAAATAGCTCTTAATCCAATCCACACCAACAACCCCCAATCTAATCGCAGGTCTTGATAAGCGGATGCACCGCCATCGACGGCCCCAAACTACCCGCCGTCCCCATAATATAATCGTGGAAGTTGCTCTCTATAGCCCACATCAGCTTCTTGTACCCAGGCACCACCTGCGTGGCCAGCCTGCAATCGTCGCCCTTCTGCACCAGCAGGAAGTTCTCCGGCTTGAAGGCCGTCTCGCTGTTCCAGATGAAGATATCCGACTCCCCCTTGTACCGGAAAAATATGGCAGCCCCGTTGTCGGACCCCAGCAGCACGATTTTCCCCGATAATGGCTTCGAACCGACGTCGATGACGGCGCCGCTGGCGCGCGCCATCTGCAGGAAGTGCGTTTTGATCGAGAACAACCTCGGGGAGGACAAGTAGGTGAAGTAGAGGACGTTGCCGCACGGTTTCCTCGCCAGTACCATGTACAGGACATCCTTAACATCCGTGGTTGAGGTGATTGATACAGCTTTGGGTAGTACCACTCTGAAACCGCTGTTGGTTTTCAAGTCGATGACGATGATAGCGCCGGAACCACCATCGGAGATGTAAGCGAAGGGGTTACCCTCTTTGTTGTAATCGACTATGATGTATTGCAATCTGCTTTCCGGTGTTACGAACGGTTGTAAGCTAACAACTTTCACCACTTGGTTGGTCTTCAAGTTGATTCCCACGATTTTCGGTTCGCATCTGCGCACTGGTTGCTCCAAAGTGTTGACCAAACCGATGTCCAACAACCAGAGTATCTCAGCACCGTCGTTGAAGAGGTCTACAACGTTCTGGAAAGCCTCGCAATCGCCTTCCTCCTGCAGGGGCCAGCACGGGTAGGGCACCAAAGTGGCCTTGCAGGTTCTGGTCTTCAGCGAGAACTTGGCGAGGGTGAAGGGCACGCCGTGCTTGTAGCGGGGCAGGGCGACGAAGGCGTCGTCCTTGTAGATCTGCATCCTGGTGGCGATGACGTTGCGGGGCGTGTAGCGGCCGGTCATGCGGAAGATGTTCTCGGTGCTCTGGCAGGGAAAGGCCAGCTCGGTGCCGGTGAGCTTGAAGCTGAGGTCGGGGACGAGGTTCTTGCAGCAGTTGGCGCGGGCGCCGACCACCAGGCAGGACGCCAGGAAGATGAACGAATAGAGACTCATTGCGTGACCTGTGGATACAAAATTTTCATCATCTTAATATTTGTTTTTTTCTTGGGATTAATACAATTTTTCTAAACGATTATTTTACTACACTACTGACCTTCCTTGTATCAAATAATTAATTGTTAATTAAATTATCGAAAAAAAAAACTGGTTTCGCTTATTGGTCGTTGATTGTTATTTAACAAGTTAATTAAATATCTTAATCGTTGAGGAAACGGCAATTAAAATGCGATTAAATTACGTGAAACAAATTTTTTTTAAAAATTAATATAAAATTCATTGTTCTAATTACCTGTCTGTCCCCTGTTCGATGCGAATTTTAAGGGGGAAACAACTGTAGAGAGGAAAGTCCGCAACACATTTTTATATATCGTCGATTCCGTTTGTTTGAATTTCCATGCATGACGAAGTCCCAAATATTGTCTTTGGCCGGCTCCGCTTCCTAGCCTTGAATTTTTCTAATAGTTTATTTATAGTTTTTAATTCGTTTCCATGCACGGGTTAATGGAATTTGTTTGTGTCAATGCACTCGACGGTTGTTTTTATTTACTACGCGGTTTTTTTTTCGCAACGAAATTTCGAATACCGAATGCTATAAAACTATAAAAATCTAGTCGTAAAATTGATTATTTCTGTATAAGACCATCATAAACCCATCTAGAAGATTTATTTACTTATCTATGAGAGTCGTTTACCTTTATATAAGAGTCATTTACCTATCTAAAAGACTCTTTAGGATCTAGGATAGTATTTTCTAGAAGAATCATTCGCCTATGCGAGAGAATCATTTACCTATATAAAAAAGCAATTTACCAATCTAAGAGAGTCATTTACCAATCTATAAGGGTCATTTACCTATTTAAGAGAGTCATTTATCTATTTAAAAGAACCGTTTGCCTATCTAAAAGTGTCATTAGGCTCCAGGATAGAATCTTCTAGAAGAATCATTCACCGGTGTAAGAGAATCATTTACCGACATAAAAGAGCAATTTACCAATCTAAAAGAGTCATTTACCTATCTAAAAGAGTCATTTATCTATCTAAGAGATCCATTTGTTTATCTAAAAGAGTCATTCACCTATCTAAGAGAGCCTTTTACATACCAAAGAGAGTCATTTGTCTATTTGAAACAGTTAGTTATAGTCAATTAGAGTCAATTAGTAATTTATCGAATATCTACTGAAAAAAATATCTAGTTACCTTGCTCAAGAGTCATACTAGAGAGTCAATTAGCTAATTATGAGTTAAAAAAAGGTGTCTAACTAAAATTGCGAAAATCATACAACTATAATTCTTCATACGTGAATAACTGATTGAGTGTTTGTGAAAACAGATAAAATTAGAGATATAGGGATATCAAAGGAAAAGAATTAAATAAATTGACTGAAATAGAGTGGTTAATTTGTTAATTTATTTTAACAATACTGTAGAAATAATGTGGTAATTTGCATTTCTTTCAATTTTAATTAAACGGTACCTAATTGATTTAGAAATTTCCAATTTCATCTGTTATTATTTATTAAAAAAATATATATTAAATAGTTCGATAGCGGCACGTACTCGACGGCTCGTTCAACTTATTGTTTTTGTTTAGCGAAAATTTTAATACATATAAAAAGACAGCCGTTAATCTGTTCCGCATATCATTTTATTCTTGTCTCGCACAAGAGGTAAGTCGAAAAACAAAAAAAACACCCGCCATTTCTAACAGACTGTCACCTGTCACTTGTCGAACGTCGCTCGTCAATAACCATAACAATCACGACCAACTCGATGAAATTTCACAATTTTTTCGTTGCAGAAAAATGATCTTCAGAGCAGTCCTGTTCGCGGCGTTGGCGCTCATCCACGTAGAAGCCCAAAACACCTGCGACCTGGTGGAATGGACCGGCGGCCAATTCGACTGGCCCAACGAGGCCACCAAGTCGATCTTCAAGTCCTCCGGCCGCTACATACCCAGGAACATCATCGCCACCAGGGCGCAAATCTACAAGGACGACCTCTTCGTGGCCCTGCCCAGGTACAAGCCCGGCGTGCCGGTCACGCTCGGCAAGATATGCACCAAGCAGAGGACCTGCGAGGCCGTCATCGAGCCGTTCCCGTGCTGGGCCAGCCAGGACGAGAACGATTGCAACTCCTTGCACTCCGTCGTCGATCTCTATTTGGACGAGAACAACATCCTCTGGGTGCTGGACACCGGCGTGGTGAACTCCTTGGAGCAACCCATTCGCAGGGCTCCGCCGAAGGTCGTCGGAATAAACGTGCTCACCGGCAAGAAGGTTAAAGTATTGGACTTGTGCGGATTGGTAGCGCAAGCCTCCAGGTTGCAGTACCTCGTCGTGGAGTACGCCCCCGACGGTAGACCTTATGTCTACGTAAGCGACGCCGCCACCAGGTCTATCCTTGTGTTCGACGTCGCCGGTAACAGAGGCTACCGAGTAGTACTTCCGAAGATCGTGGCCGGTTGCAGGAGAGACGTCCTCTACATAGCTCTCATCCACAAGCCCAACTGCTGCAACTACTTGGTGATTACATATCTCTCGGGCACCAGGATCTTCCAGATCCGCACCGAGTACTTGAGGGCCGGCTGCGCCGCCGGCAAGATCCAGGACTTGGGCCTGAAGGGCGGCAAGATCGTCGTGCTGGGCACCGATCTGGGCAACGCGGTCTTCTTCAGGTTCGAAGGGAAGTCTGATATCTACAGATGGGAGGTGGGCAGCGCCTTCAAGGACTACCAGCTGGTGTACAAGTCGCCGGAGAATTATTTGGCCACGCACGCCATCGCAGACGTCGGCAGGAGGAGGATCAGAGTCTTGGAGAGCAACTTCCCGGATTACATCCAGAACACCGTCGGGTGCGGGGCCTCCCAGAGGGTGGCGCTCATGATAAGCTCACTCAATTAATTCTTGTGATATGTACATTATTAGTTAATAGTAAACATTTATTTTTAACAATTTGCTTCTGTCTATCCCTTCTATATGCCATCGCAGTGATTTTTTTTTGTAGCGTCATTCCACGAAATATTGTTTATAAATTTCATTATGCAAATTTCGCGAATTCAACATCAGCAAAAAAATATTACTTGCATCTACTACAATATTAGCGTTATTAGTTATTAAAACAATGTACAACGCGCTCCTGCTATCTGTTGGTGTCCTAGTTTCGCAAATATGGCGCATCTCCTGCTGGAATTTGAGCGATTTGGGCGTGCAGGATGATTATTACGTGAATAGCATAGCCTTGCACAGATCCAGAGCTTTCCTGGCTCTACCCAGAAGCGCCTGCTCTAACAAACCCACTTATCCCACTCTCATCGAAACCACCTGGCATGGAGATGTATTTAACAAGTTTCACAACACCAGGTTAGTCTCTTCTCAACTCATTTCTCAAATATCTTCTCGACTTCCTGCTCAAAACCATTCCTGTTTAACTCTCTTCTCAAGTTCCTTCTTAATTTCCTTCTCAACTTCCTCCTCTTCTACTTCAACATTCTAATCCTCATTCCCAATTCAATCTCGTTTAATTCTTCCCTTCCAGTCTTTGAAAAATACTTTTGGGGGATTAGTGTAACTATTAGTCTAACTTTTAGACCGAAGCTGATCGGTTTCCAAGATTGGAACGATTGCAACGGTATCCAGGACGCGATTTCGGTGGAAATGGAGCCGGCGAAGCCGAAACTGTGGATTCTGGATAAAGGGAATGGCAGGTGTCCGGCGAAAATGGTTTCCTACAGTTTGATATTCAACAGCATCGCGGATAGCGTGGAGCTGGAAAACGTGGATGGGAAGAGCCTCAATGTTATGGTGGTGGATAAATTGGAGCATAGAGCTTATATCGGGCAGGTGGATGGAAATGTGCTGTTGGTGTTTTCTTTGAGGAAGTTGATTTGGTGGAGACTTCGTTTATTGGATGGGTTTGTTCCGATCCAGGCTGACTTTTTGGCTATGTCGAAAACTGGATCCGATTTGTTTGTAACGGGAAAAAACGGTTTGGATTTGTTCAGTCTGAATCTGGATGAAGTGAGGAGTTTAGAAGAACCGTTACCAATCGATGCAAAGGTAAATTAATTACTGTACTTATCCAGAAGAAAACTAGCTTTCTTATAATCATTCCAGGACGTTCTACTGGACTTTAACGTAACTGTTAGAGGTCAAAAACTAGGAATTTCCACTGGAATCGAAACGGATTACGACTCTGGATTAATTTATTATCTTCCACGAGATTATGCAGTATTAAGATGGGACACAAGGTAATAATTAAATCTTCAATCAAACATATCTATTTCGGTTAACATCTGGATCATTTCCAGATACCCATCGACAGCGGAATACCACCAAGTGCTGCACCAATCTTACGAGATTTTCCCGTACGTGAGCGGGTTTTTCACCGATATCCAGGATTCCACGTGGGCTATCGCCAATCCAGATGGTTACCAGGAGTGTTCCAGGGAAAAAACTTCGCTGGAAAAGCGCGCCGTGCGCTTGCTGAAATTCAACAAGTTCCTGCAGGAAATTGAATTCGAGAATAATTCCGTTGAAGATGATGAGGATAAAGAGAATAAACGGAATAATGGGGGTAATTATAAAGAGGAAGAATTGAAGAATGAGAATAAAATTAATGCGATAGGTAAATCGTATAATAATGGGGAAGAAAAAGAAATGGAAGTGAAAGATTCTCAGTATGAAGAAATTGTTAGTACGCCTCAAACAATCGAGGCAAAAGAGGAAAATGAAAGAATTGATGAAGTTGATTACATAGCAACAGAAAATGACGAATTAGAAGGTAAAATCGATAATGAGAAACCAAATAATAGTGATTATAATGTAAAGGAAGAACTGAAGAATGAAAATAAAACTAAAGGAAAAAGTACATCGCTCACGAATGACGAAGAAAAGGAAATGGATGTGAATGATTTTGAGTATGAAGAAATTGTTAGTACGCCTCAAACACTCGAGGTAAAAGAAGGAGATGAAAGAACTGAAGATGTTAAATATGAAGCAGTAGAGAATGACGAATTAAAAGAAGAAATCTACAACGAGAAACTAAATAATGGTGATTACTATGTAAGGGACGAATTGGAGAATGAAAATAAAACTAAGGATAAAGGTATGAATGATGAAGAAAAGGAAATAGAAGTGGAAGATATTGAAAATTTCGAGTATGACGAAAATGTTAGTACTGATAATAATAGAACTGATGAAATTGAATATGGAGCAGCAGAAAATGACCAATTAAAAGAGAAATTCGATAATGAGAAACGGAATAATAGTGATTATTATGTAAAAGAAGAATTGTACAATGATAACAAAACTAAAGCAGAAGGTAAAGCGTATAATAAAGATGAAGAAAAGGAAATGGAAGATATCGGAAATTTCGAGTATGAAGAAATTGTTAGTACACCTCAAACGTTCGAAGTAACAGAGGAAACCGAAAGAATTGATGAAACACTAGAGAACAACAATTTAAAGAACACTGTAACCGATAAAATCGATGTACAAAAAACAACTACAATTGCACAAGAATCAACAGGAAACAATCCGATGGATTTCGAAACTCTAATAGACGCGGTAGAAGGATTATAAACAATAAATATGTAACTAATTTCAAAATTACAATTTTATTCACATCTCGATATTTATTACAAACACGAAATTAACGACCTTGCACTTGCACGTTTCTTCCTCGGCGCATCTAACAAACTCCTTATAGTATTTCGGTAGAACGATTTCGGTGTTATCATCGTTATTATAACTCGGGACCCGCCCGTGTTGTATTCTTCGCCCATTCACCAAAACATCGAACAACAAAAGGCACAAAACCCAGCGTGTCACCGTCATTATCCGGGCAATTTCGGTTCGAGAAGTGGCCGTTTAGAAGTCCGGGAAGCCGCTTTTTGTTCGAGGGGAAATGATTAGAAAGGTGCACGATTGGATGGATAATAAGGTGGTGCGATTCGTACCCTGTAATTTCGATGAATTCGGGTTTCCCCTAAGGGTTGGAAGTTACTCCGCCTACGCGAAGGCGGCGCGTTACACCCGACCATTTATTACCGGTTTTATATTGCTTTAAAACCGATCTAAAATCTCTTCAAATTTGCTATAAAATTACCTCAAAAACGCACTAAAACAGCGCTGAAACCTCTTCAAAAACCGCTCTAAAAACCACCCCTATAATCTCCACAAAGTCGCACTACAAACTCTTTAAATTTACCATAAAAACGTTCTAAAATCACCTCAAACACAGCTTTAAAATTTCCTTAAAACTGCTCTAAAAACCGCCCCCTATAATCGCTCCAAAATTGCACTAAAATCTCTTTAAAAATGTTAAAAAAACGCTATAAAACCGCCTCAAAAACACACTAAAACAGCTCTGAAATTTCTTCAAAACGGCTCTAAAAATAACCCCTTATAATCGCTTTTAAGTTGCACTAAAAATCTATCAAATTTGCTATAAAACAAGCTCAAAAACACACTAAAATAATTCTGAAATCTCTTCAAAATGACTCTAAAAACCACCCCCAATAGTCGCTCCAAAGTTGCACTAAAATCTCTTCAAATTTGCTATAAAAACGCTCCAAAAGCACCGCAAAAACAACTCAGAAGTGTTCTAAAAACAACCCCTCGAATATTCCACTAAGATTACTCTAGACACTTAAGAATTGCTTTAAAAACGCTCTAAATTCACTCCAAAAATCGCCCCAAAGTCGCAATTACTAAATTAATTACTCAAAAATTAGAAGGAATTATCCAGCTGTGGGTAGCAAATATCAAAATTTCTGTCAGTGTAACATACCAAATGTCTCACGTTTATACCATTTTTTACCTGCATTTATTAACTCCACTAATACTATTAACTGTAATCGAATCGAATATTCACCCTATATTACCCCATCATGTAAAGTTAGTAGAAGATGGAATTTACGCCCCGTTCGAAGCGAGCAATTTCACCCTAATCAAACCGAAACTGGTGATAAATCCTTACAAAGAGAAAATACAGAATTTCGTTCGCAGGAAACCCTTCGGGTCCTTTTGTTTGAAATGCGCGGCTTGTGTGGCTATAGCTCGAGAGGTTTGTTGCTAATTTATAGCTAGAATATTTCTATTTTTATTGTTATTTTTGTAGATAGTGCAAACTATTCACGATTCTATTGATAGTTTGGAAGACGGAGAGACTAGTATCGAGAGGATAAACGGTCATATCAATGGAAGTTTGAAGGAGCTGTGCCAAAACGGATTCAAAAAGTAGGAATTTGATGATGGTTGATTTATTATTCGTTTTTTTACAGTAACTTCTTCTACAATTAACTGATTTTCTACCTAGTTTTCTCTAGTAAATGCTTCTCTAATCGATTATTCTTCCAGTAGATTCTTCATTAATGGAGTATTCTTCGACTAGATCCTTCTCTAATGAAGAGTTTTTCCTGTAGACCCTTCTTTAAGGGAGTATTCTTCTAGTAGATCCTTCTCTAATGGAGTATTCTTCCACTGGAACCTTCATTCTTCCAGTAGATTCTTCTCTAATCGCTTCCCTATGCATTTTAGTTACGGCTTGAGGAAATTTAACGATGATTGCATAATTACTGATAAACTGGCCTGCACCGAATACGTTCACAGCGACATGGACGGAAGCTGGACGAAAAAGTAAACACTCTCTAATATTAAAAATTTCTGGATTTAATTAAGTATTATTTTAGGTTGAGAGAAATGTGCAAACTGTTTGTAAGTTATATGGATTTGGATAATATTCTTAACGATGCTGTGGACGATTTGAATGCGTTACCGCAGAAATTGTGCAGGTAAATTTTATTATAAAAAAGTAATTAAAAAAAAATGTAAAATTTGTGATTATTTTAGCGGTTCCGGTATATTTCGAGATTGCGTTAACGTCGGCGCGGAAAATTATACAAAAGTGCTGGAGTCTTCGAGCGGTTGTAATTGTCGCGGTTTAATTAAAAGTTTATTTTACTAAAAAAAAATCAATTTATTAACTAATTTCAGCTTCGATACTGAACTATCCCAGATCGGTGGGTTTCACTTCCTTAGTGGTGGCGTTCTTCTGCGTGGTCTCCTGCAGCAAATTCCTGCTGAACCAGGCCGGTCTCGGTTTCGCCATCTCCACGATTCTCTTCCCCTCGTAATACTCTTCGGGCTTCTCGTTCTTCTCCCCCTCGTACAAAACCACCACCTCTTTGTCCACCGGCTCCAGTTTGAGCTCGTTTTGTATCTGCTCCTGCATCGCCCTCGTCTCCTCGATCACTTTCTTGTAACATGTGGCTGTAAAACACATCGATCGATCGAGGCCTTCGACTATAAGGGGATTTCGGTTAACTTACGGCACAACACGCCGGCTTCGTGATCGTCCCCGCAGACGGTGCATGTCTTCAAATCGGTCTTGGGCTTTAGTAGTTTCCATATGTAATCGGGATGGCCGAATTTCCTTTTCAATCGTTTTTCCAGGGATCTTCGACTCTTCGGTACGGCCCATAAGAACCCATCGCCGATAAGAGATTCGATAGAAAACGGGGCTTCTCTCGGGGGCCTCTCAATTCCAACGCCTGCCAAGCAATAGGCATCTAAAAAAAAAGTGAGGTTATATTTTGGTATTGTATTATGTAATTGTGGATACCTGGAGGATGTGGGTGGTGTCCTAGTAACACATTAAGAGTTTGTTGGAATCTGCGGAACGCTAGATTTATTCTACTTGCTATCGATACACTCATTTTGTAGTGTATTTTATTTGTAATATTTGTTAATATAAAAAGTAAGGTTATGTTGGTTAATAATTGCACGCTCTGTCAATTTTCGTATCATTCGTACTCCGTCTAACCAACGCATAGTGATATACGCATCTCTTTTTACGTCAGCTGTCAAAAGTCACGTTTGTGTCAATGTCGAAGGCAATGCAAATGTTATGGGAAATAGAAATGAGAAGTGCATCGGTAGTGGGACTGTGGAAAGTGAAAAAATCGTGCCGTTGGATGATACGGCGCGGCTCCTCGTCGTGCGGCCGTCTCACAACAGTCTCGACGATGGCTTCTGCAGGGTGCGGTAGATTGTGCGCTCGGGTGCACGAGAAACTGTGTCAGTGGGGACAATCGCAAATTTCTCGAAAACCGTCGAGTGCGCGCGGCAAATTTGGATTTTTCACGCCGATCAGGAATTTCTCGGACGACGCCACTAAGGTCAGGAAATTCTCCTCTTTATTTTTCATTCATTAATCTAGCCGCCTTGATCTCTACGAATTTGTTCAATTTACGAAAAATAAATGTTGGCTTTTATTTGTTGTACTCTCCGTGCGGAGATATTCGAAAGTTTTTATCGATGATGGGTTTATTGTATTAATTTCTCGTCCTACATATTATGCTCGATACGCAAGAGAAGCCGAGATTACGGCCGGTTTTTGAGACACCTGTTACGCGTGTGCCCCCTTCGTGTGTACATCTTTCGAGCTTTTACTTTTCGGACTCATTTTCACTCTATTCGATTAATTGGCCGGTTTTAATGCCATTGTCGGGCTGATTTCACTTAATTATAAATCGAATGAAACGAAATCCCATCATAGTTACCTGTGTAATTCAGTACACATTTGAAAATTTAATAATGACAGATTGACAGGTGGCAGATTCAATTCAATAATTATTCTTATTCATTTACCTAATTGGGCATTGTTATTATATTGTTCACATCTAATTCGCATTCTTATTCTGTTTTTAGGCTGATTTCACTTAATTGTAAAACAAACTGAAACTAAATTCCATTATAATATACCTGTGAATCTAGTTTACTTTGAATTAAAAACCTAATGACAGATTGACAGGTTCATTTATTATTCTTATTCATTTAATTGGGCTTTCTTATATTCCATTTTTCACATCTTATTCGCATTATTATTCTATTTTTAGTCTGATTTCACTCAATTGTAAACAAACTAAAATAAAATCTCATCATCAAAATCTGATTCGCTGTAGATTGAAAATTAAATGACAGATTGACAGGTGGCAGATTCAATTTAATTATTATTCTTATTTATTTAATATTGAATTGGTCATTGTTATTCTATTTTTCACATTTGATTCTATTTTTAGACTGTTTTCACTTACAATTAATTGTAAAAAAAGTGATATGAAATCACATCCAATCATACCTGTGAATCTAGTTCACTTCGAATTGGAAATTTAATTTTGACAGATTGACAGGTGGCATATTTGGCAGTGGCTAATCGGCTGAAAGGTCGTTTTGGACGTAGCTGGTCGACCAATGTTGCGTTATTGAAATTAGAAAATCGTCGCATACTAATCGTGAAAAAATTAGCTAATAATATTCAATCACAATCTCGCAGTTTTCCATTAACATTCCACAAATTTTCGCATATTAGAAAATACATAGCCCATCTATAAACCAATCTTATTCACTTATTATAGACATTCCACAGCCTTTTTAGACATGTTAAAAACGTTATTTTCCCATCGCCAAAAAAATTTAAATTCACCGTTTGATTTTTGCGGCCCGTTCAATTGGAAATTTCAAACGCCTTTCGTAATTTTCGTGGCAATTAAAGTGAGAGCTGGTCCCGCCCAAAAAAAAAATTCATTCGCCGTAAAAATAACGCCGAAGACGATTCGGCCCGGCAGAAGGTCAAAAATTGCCCAACGTAAACGAATATTTTCTCTTAATTATACGGAATTTGTCAATGCGCTATTAATGAGAAAACAATAAGTTTCGTGTATAATTTAAACGTTCTGTCATAAATTCATTGATAGAAATGCGTAGGTAGAGAATTGTGAGCTTTATTTTAGATGTTATTAAGGATTCCCATAGAATTATTCTTCGTTTTTTATAACTTGCCTTGTACTTGTCGGGAATTTGTACTTTTTTGCGTTAGACTAAATTGCATATTGTATTTACACGTAGACGTATTATATAATGTACCTTTAATCTTATCTATTTTATATAAAAAATTGCTATCAATCAAATAAACGTTCATTAAAGAGCGCGATTAGGAAAAAAAAAAGAAAGCGCATTTATTTATTTTGCTTAGACCAAAATGGAATTATTGAGAAAGTAAATTCGAGTTGCGTATGTATTCTAATGCGAAAATCGGGGCCATTGTGTGAAAATGCGAGTTTTCCTTTTGTTTGAAATTTGTTGTAAAAAAATTAATTATACGTTAGATTTAAATTCTACCAACCAATTAAAACGATTTTACGAGTGAAAAGAAAGCGATAGATAATTTTTGTATGGGCGATTTTCATATAAAAACTGGGTTTAAATTAGATCGTTTCTATAACGTCTCCTAGCTGGCGCAGTTTTCACTCGATTTAATCTAAAATGTCCTTATAATATGCGCGGTGTTTATGGAGGAATTTATTGAAAACAATTTGCGAAAAAATATCAAAACACATCGCCGGTTAATTTAAAACCTCTGGGTGTGCCGTTTTGAACTTTCACTTCATCTTCGATTTTTTTTTTCCTTGTTCTGCGCGTGTTTATTAAAATGAAAATCGATTGCATTTCGCGTAAAACCCATCCTCTACTCGAACGAACGCTATTTTTGCACAATTTACGATGCCTTTACGATGATAAAAAAAATGCGCAACATTCCGTTTAAACTCGTGTTTACTTTATTGTTTACAACTTATTGGATAACAATCATCACGTGTGATGTAACGAACGATGAAGTAAAAAAAAATGGATGTACGCAATGTTTATTAAACGTCCATTTTCGCAATGGTTTCTTTACATATTATTCACCCTAGAAATCTCATACTCATGGCCTTTACTATCGCCACCATCCAGCCACCTAAAATCCTGTACCATATTCCGAATTATCGGCATAAAATCGGTAATTTTAACGTTCGGTATTTTTATTACAATGCCGAGTGAGGTGCTGTGAAGCAGCCGAACGTCTCGGGTTACTTTTTAACCCACATTTCGCGGAATGTGAAAGCGAAATCGCCATCAGCTCTCTAAAAAGAGACTCTTTTTAGAGGAAGAACCGAACCTGCTCGAGCACCTGTTGCACCGATTAGCCGCTCATATGCGCGTAAATAAATACCAATCAAAAAGTTTGCGATATAAAATTATTTTTGATGGTACGGATCGCCTGGAATAGCTGGAGACGTGTAGTATACTCGCGTCTCAAGCTATCGATGTCGCATTGTAAGTAAGTAAATGGATCAATTTCGAAGGAAAATCACGGTGCATTTTATATCCACCTTGGTCCGTTTGCGCTATGCGCAATTATCGAGCAAATGCAATTTTTTTTGCAATAAAAAGAAACCGAAACGTGATAGGTGGCAAAGATTAAAAAAAATGACTCGTGTTTCATGAATCTCAAACAATTGTTCGCTTGCAAAATAATCGCGTTGAGTAAGTACCTACCGGACTTAATTATCGTTTTATCTTATTACTTTTTTTTTATTAATAACAAAAAACCGGTATTGCAATAGTGCAACGAATATACAATTAATAATTTTTTTGCGTTAAATGTACAAGTATGCTCAATTTTTTTGGTATAATATGAGGCCTTTGTTGGGCGGGGACATCCAGCTAATGAAGTTTCCGCGTCCAGTTTGCATGTTGCAAATTTGCGGCCTCGGCCGAAGCGGTTATTCAATTCCGTGGGTTTGATTTATTAAGGAACTTGTGGTAGCTAATTGGGATCGAATGATTGACAAATTCGTTCTTGACCTGCCTTCAGTCTGGGTTGTTGTTCTCTCACGGAAAAAGGTCGATTAGAATCTCGATGTGAAAGATTTTTTTTTTATAATAAATAATACAATGTTGTTCGATTAGAATTAATATGGGAATATTCAAGGTAGCGCAACAATGATGGAGAGGATCCATTATAATGATCTTCGTATAATAAATATTGCACAATTTGAGCGGTCGTTAACAAAAAAAAAATAGGCAAACATTGAAAACATATTGCAATCGATTGTTGTTGCTTAAAAATTCGACCTCGATATTCGAAAAATCGATTACTAATGTGTTATGAATATTTTTGTAGTTAGTTTTTCAAAAAATTCATATTCGCTTAATCATTCCACTCATCTTACAAAATTGCCTAAATTAATATTATTAGCTTAATAATTACTTGTAAATAAATAAACGCCAATAGAGCGAAATGAAATTAATTATTGTAATAGAAAAAAAATCTGATCAATGATAAGTAGAAAAAAATTCGTGCCGTATTAGAATCAGAATCGAGATTTCTGTGCCAAGTTGTGATGAGTTATGTAATATTTTTAAACCGACGCTCAAAAACTAGTTGATCAAAATTTATGTTATTGCCTCACATTTATGATGTTTTGTCCGGCGTTGCCACGTTTTTCAATTTTCCTAACTACTTAATAAAATTGTGTAATGTACCTAATGCAGTTTGCAGATAATCCGAGCTTTAATTATCCAAAAAATTTAATGATTCTTCTTTTATATAAGGCCTCATCTTCGGTTATTAAATGATTTTGATTAGATATGACAATCGGATTCTATATAGCATTAATAATCGATTAGAAAAAGTGTGTAATCGATGGCACAGATTATTCCGAAAGGTCAGAAGGTTAAAATTGCGCAATTTCGCTTAAATAGCGCTAATAAAATATGCGCAAAGTGGTGCAGGAGTGTAGTAACAACAATTTAATTTCACATTCTCGGTAAAACTCGGCGATACTCGCGATTTATGTGTGTAATAAAAATCCGAAATTTCGCAAAAGCCATCGAACAGAAAAATCTAATGTCAAGTTAATTTGCTGTAACCTTAGCCCACATAACACTTTTTAATTTTTTTTCCTCCACTCGTTCGTTTCCAAACAAAAGGCTCATTATAATGTTATCAAGAACGAAATGTTTATCTCTATTCTATATCGTAGCCGAACAAATTGTTTCTATTCATATATATTTTTTTCTCTCCATTTTTTTTAATAAATAACGCATCTACTTGATGAATAAAAGGACGTTAATTATGGTTGTTTCGCAATATCGCCCAAGGTTTCCAATCGGAATGCAATTATACGTAAAGTTACTTTAATTGGCCAATTAAAAATGTACACGATAGTTCGAATAAATTCGAAAAAAAACTGCACTTGTAAAAAGAAATTAGCAATTTTATTCGGTACCTACTGTGAAATTATAAAATAATTAAGTTGTTTAGACAAATCGGTAGCAAAATGCATGTAGTGAGTATACGAGGCGACTTCTATTGTTATCGAGCATATATTATTCAAATGAATGAATAGATTATTATTAATAAATCTCCTATTGTGAATAGGGCAAGTTATTATACTATTATAGTATCTACAGAAGAGTTAAATTTCACATGTTACCTGTATAAATAAAAAAAAAAGAAACAAATAAAAAGTTCGAATTCCATATGCGATCGTATGAATTAAACATTAATTTAAACAATGTTAATGCACCATGAAATGAACAGGAGCGTTTCAGAACGTGTTATTGAACTGAAAGTTTTACTTGTTTTTACCAGTTATAAATTAAATATAAGAGAAACTGAAATGGAGGCTTATTAGAATTAACGACGGGCATCAAATGCTCATAAATAAATGATAGAAAAATTTACCTAAATTCTGGATTTTAAATACGTTTTGCGATTCGACCTTTTCGTGAGAGCAAATTAAAGCTTTGTACTTTCTATTAAAAAACTACATTTTTTGACGAGTGCTTAATTATTTTTTTCCTTTCTAATTGCATTAAAATATGATAAAACTATTACCTTGTAAATAAATCGTAAATATGTGCAGTAATTAATTAACCAACATTCAGGATGCATTATTTGTTTTTTTTTTCAACCGGAAAACGTTCATTGTTTGTGTCAGTGACTTTTGAACTAACCGCAAATGTAAAGTTTATTATTTCATTTATCATTTATCAACAATAACTGACATAACAATAAAAAAAAACTTATATTTAATTAACATTATTGTTTTGCTGTACGTTACAAGTTCATTAACTCAATTAATAGGTACAATAGAGCGGATTGTCTATCACGCAAGTTTCCCTTTAGCGATAAATACTCGCAATTCTGATATATAAAATAAATAAATAATGAATTTAAATCTAACCAGCATTATCGAAGCGCGGCAATTTCAATCCGCAAACTGGCAAACCTTGACCGAAATCCTAAAATTGCATTCTCCTGAAGTTCGTTTACCCGTTAATAATTAGAATTAATTCGCGAGCAAAGTGAAATAAATAAAATCGACTCGGGATCGATGTATATTTTTCGCTAGAAGTTGGTATAAAACGAGTTGGTAGCGCCGATTTGGCTTACTTTTAAATTTGACGTTTGACATGAATTTGGACTGAACAATTGAAGCAACCAAGGCCAAATTTAAGGGGATAAAAAAACGAGCCGGTAACGAACCTTCAAATTTGATATTTGACGTTAATTCTGACTGAATAATCGAAGCGACCGAGGCCGAACGCATGGAGGATTAAACGTCTATAAAATAAATTCCTGCGGTATTAGATAGGCGTCTAATGAAATGTATAAATTGCGATTTTACGTATTTCAAAAGCCAAGCGATTCAACCGCGCCCCGTTTGAAATATTATTGTCAAAACCGGTGTCGCAACGAAACCAACGACAGCGAGAATTTCATACCGACCGAGCCTCGCGGGCCATTTAGTTATAAAATAATTGATAAACATGTCGAAACCGACCTTGTTCTTCTAAATTTCATACCAAACGTTTCATTTTAATCGAGTTTATTCCAATTCAATCCCTACGACTTGTCAAACGTCATTAACGTCAGTTGTCAAACGTCATTACCGTCAATTGTCGAACGTCATTACTGTCACCTGTCATAAAAAAAATGTCACGATAGCGCTGTGGAGAGTTCTGATGGGGGAATATATTTGGTGTGTTTGTTGCAGGCTCAGGCGTTGAAGAACGCCGTGGCGGCCGCCGCGACGACGGCGTCGTCGGGATGTTGGCACCCCTGCGTGCGACCGGAGGCGCCCGGAACTGCCCGGACTTTCGCGACGATGAGAACCCAACAGCCCGGCTCGTTGCCCGATTATCAAGTCGATCCTTACGCCCTGCTCGAGGACGATCTCAGGGACGTTTACGAATATATTAAAAATGTAATTATTTGATTTATTTTTTTTTTTTTTTTTTTTTTTTTTTTTTTTTTTTTTTTTGAGTTGGTATTGTTGGTGGTTTTACGGGTAGTTTGGTGTATCTACTTTGGCTAATTTTTACATCGATTTTGTTTCTAAAAAAATTGGGAAAACTATTATTCGAAAATTGCTATTAATTACAATTAACCTTCCTTTCAAAAATTGTGTGTCATTGCCGACGGTAATTTCAGTGAAATTATCGCTTATCACGATATCTAATTGCACTTAAATGTCAATTTTATGTTTGCACCTATTGCGCTTGAGTTAATAGAGTTAATGTTCGGAAGTTTTGCCATTTTTTGGCGGGAAAATTATTGAATTTGGTTTGTTTAGGTGCTCAGGAGAAACACATTCCAGGATAATTTGTACGAAATAGCCACGTATTATTTCGACGGACACGGGAAAGCTCTTAGACCAATGGTTACCATTCTAATGGCCCGTGCAATTAACTATCACGTGTACAAAGAAAACAGGTAAGTAAGCCGATGGAAAAAAAATTTGATTAAGTTGAAAAAAATTACTTTTTTCCTGTACTATTAAAATTGGTTAATTGTGCGGTTTTCGCGGTTTTCTAGAAAATTCATCCAAAAATTACTATTTTTAATAGTCATTTTATGTGTTGAAAAAGTACCAAATTTTCGCTAAAAAATCGAAAAAAAGGTTAAAAAATGACTCTTTTTCTTGTACTATTAAAACCGATTGAAAGTGCGGGTATAATCGTATAAACTTATTACTATATTATTTTTCCATAATCATTTTATCTGTTAAAATAACATGAATTATTATAGCGCTGTTCAATTCATAATAAATTAGCTATTTATTGGCCAAAAATCAACGATTTTTCCTGTTCTATTAAAACCTACTAAATAGTGCAGCCAATTTCATAAACAACTACCCAAAAATGCCTTATCGAATAGAACATTTTATATCTCAATCACCGGTCGAATCAATAGTGCAGTCAAATTGGTTAAAAAAATCGGAAAAAAAATCATTTTTATGGAACAAGCGCAAAATCGAAATCGACCAATAATAATAGATGGAAAACGCTTCGAATTAGCTCGGTTGTTAAAATCCCACGGCACCCGACCGCAAAAATGATTAATCTAATATTTAAACGTTCGAAAAATGTGAAAGTGACCCCGCCGAGGATCGTTCGAGAGTGAAAGAGAAAACGCCGGATCGCCGTGTCACGTCCTCCCGTGTGTTTTGGCTGAATATATTTTTTTTTTTCGTGCGTTTGTAGCTCGACGACCTTGCCCCTGTCTCTCCTCTCGCCATTCTTCGCGATTCCATTCATAAAAGTTTCTTAATCGTCGCTCTATAGCCTGTTCTCGGGCGTTTTCGCGTCGGTACATTTGACAGGTGACGTTTGTATGACGTTTACTATTTTTTTTTGACATTCGGTAAAAACCAACAGCTGCGGCGGTAATTTAAAATTGAGTAGAATTTGTTTCGAAACGGCGATTAAATTCAACTAGTCGTAAACCTTGAATGCATTTTAAACGGTCGATTACTTTTTAGTTTTTGCGATTGGTAAACCTGCTTGTCGTTTATCGAGATTTTTAACGTTGGTAGCGCTGTAAATATTCGCGAATTACAAGCGTTTTAAAGTAGGCATTGGTCAAGTATACTCCGTTCGCTATCAGGCAATAGGAATACAATTTTCTTGAAACAGTAATAAATAAATAGTAGGCAGTATTAAAATATACTCCGTTCGCCATCAGGAGGTAATAATAAAACCTAATTTTGTATGTATCTAACTCCATAAATAGATACTAAGTACAAAATAAAATCATTGGTTTCCTTATCAGTATATCCTCCACACTATCGGGACAATTATTAGAGATGATTGTTAATTATCTATAAAATTATTAATCAATTAGTGCCTACTTATTGACGCGTCTATAATGTAATTTTTCTTGATGATTTTACGGTTCTCCTGATGGCGAACGGAGTATAATTAATTGCGTTTTGTCAACATATCAATTAGCATGCGAGTTGTCGCAATTTTTTTTCGATTTATTTAGCAATTATTTCGTTGCGAAATCGGCGTATTCGCGAGAAGTTAATTGACTTGACAGTGAAAAACGGTTATTAATAAATATTTGGAATTTCGAAGTGTTTCATTACGGCTTGTTTGCACGCTTTATTTAATAATGCTTCTAAAAGTACTTGGGTAATTCGGGTATTTTTAGATCCTAGTAGGTACTGGAAGGTTAGGGATTTTGTAATGTTGGTAGTAGGTAAAATGTATCGAGTATTTTGAAATTTGTATTAGCAAAATTATATAATTTTCGCTTGGTTAAATTTGAATAACAAATAATAGTTGTAAATTTCCTGCACTATTTTGTATGGCGAATAGTTCGGTAGAATTAATAAAAAAAATTGGATAACATTAAATCATACTTTCTAATGGAAATATCGTTGATAATAGGAAATTTCTTGAACAAATTGTAAACGTTTTGTAATCTTTAATCCGCGAAGAAATTAGCCATTAGCGCATCCTTGTAAAATTTCGTGAATAATTTTTAAATCGCCCAAATAATAAGCCAATTATTTTTTCACGAAAATTAATCGAAAAAGTAAGGATTTAAGGAGAAAGAAGGATTTTTTATAATTACAGCAGGAAGAAAATTTTGCAAATACGCGCCTATGGCGTCCATTTTTATTCTTACGTACGCTTCACAGTATATATTTATCATACATAAAATATGCCTTCTACGGTCATCGAATTATGTAAAAAACGTGTCGTTATAACAAAACTTCAACCTATTTTCGGAAAACCGTAATTCGATAGAAAGTATTGGATAATTTCCTTATTACGAATATAACTTGACATTTGACAAGCTCATATATAGCGTTACCAACGCAATTTTTGACGTCCACAGCCAACTTTACATTTATAAAAATATCGTTTGACAGAAACGAACTATTGCCCGCCCAAAGAGAGGTAGCCATGATATCGGAGATGATCCATACGGCCTCTTTGGTCCACGATGACGTCATCGATCAATCGGATTTCCGCAGGGGCAAGCCCAGCGTCAACGTCAAGTGGAACCACAAAAAAGTAAGTACACCGTGACGTCATCGACTGGTTAAAACGAACGAGCTATATGCAAATTAATTTATTTATTATTCCTATCGATTTCGGGGGCGAATTAGGAAATAGTTTTAAACGTTATTCGGCGCTCGTTTTGCGTTGGGGAAACTCGAAAATATTTTCACGTGCTCTTGTCTATATTTAGCGTGCGTTTTGCCCCGGTGGAATTTCAATTCGATCGCCAAATCGAAAAATTTTCGCCTAAAATTCCAGCCGAAACTTTCTCCCGTTCGAATATCTAATATATTGCGCTCGCGTACTTTAATTTCGTGCACGAAAATTGGCTACAATGCGATGGAAATAGCTGGAGACTTAACCTGTTTCTAAGAAAATTGGATACAGTACGATGAAAATAGCTGGAGACTTAACTCGCTTGTATGAAAATTATGTACAGTACGATGGAAATAGCTAGGAACGTAACCTGCGCGAGTTTTTGATGATGACAATCTCTGGCTCGTTGCTTGAAACTCGGACTTTCTTGTGATGAAAATGGGCTACCTTTTAATGCAAAATTCCAAGAGATTTATATGACAACATTCTTTCTAGCATGTTTGAGGGAATTACTTGCGCATATTTTGCATACATTCCGAGCTTTACTCGTCTCCAGCTATTCTTGTCGCATTGTAGAATTAATATGGGTGATCGTAAAATACATATTTTTTTTCTTCTTTTTTTTTAAGGTGACGATGGCGGGCGATTTTATTCTGGCCGTAGCTTCAATGATGATAGCTAGGTTAAGAAATAACGATGTTACATCGGTGTTGAGCCAAGTACGTACGCCGTTCGATTGGTTAATTATCTGTTTAATTAATTAATTATTTTTTTTGTAAGATTATTTTGTAAATTGTGCGTCTGATTCGCAGGTCGTGTCTGATCTAGTCCAAGGTGAATTTATGCAATTAGGATCTAAAGAAACGGAAAACGAACGATTCGCCCATTATTTACAGAAAACCTACAGGAAAACCGCCTCGCTGATCGCCAATTCAGTCAAATCGGTAAGTTTATATTACCCTAAATATATTTACACTAATTAAGTATCGCTCGTTCTCCTATAATACCAAGTAAACTTCTTTTGTGACGTCAGCGGATGATCCTAAACCAAGCTTTCTAAATTAGAAAGGATTGCTCAAACTCATATAAGTCAGTGTAAACTTCTTTGTGACGTCAGCGCATGATTCTCTAACTCAAGCTTCCAAAATTACTAAGGATTACTCAAACTCATATAAGTCAGTGTAAACTTTTTTGTGACATCAGTGGATGATACTTCCTCCAGCTTCCTAAATTACTAAGGATTGCTCAATCTCATTAAGTCAGTGTATACTTCTATTTGACGTCAGCGGATGATCCTAAACCAAGCTTTCTAAATTACAAAGGATTGATCAAGCTCATTAAATCAGTGTAAACTTCTTTGTGACGTCAGATTCTAACCCAATCTTCCTAATTTACAAAGGATTGCTCGATGACTTAACGACAATGAATTATTCTATTCATTTCAGGTGGCGATTCTGGCCGAATGCGACGAAAAAACCACCGAAATATCGTATCAATACGGCAAAAACATCGGACTGGGTTTCCAATTGGTCGACGATCTATTGGACTTCGTCTCATCATCGGAGGCCATGGGCAAACCGACGGCGGCCGATCTGAAGCTCGGCCTCGCCACCGCTCCGGTACTATTCGCCTGCGAAAAGGTACTTACTCTTCATTATAAATTTGATTTATCGCCATTTTTTTTGTACCTCGTCCGATGTAGCTCGAAAATCGCACTCGAAAATCGGTTCAAGAGTGTCAAACTCGACGAAGTCTTCCACCATCTTTACTCAACTCTTCGCCTATCCTTTTCTATTCGCTCTATTTTTGAGTACTCGTTTGTTAACTATTCTCTCTACCTTTCGTTTGAAATTTACAACAGTTCATCCGATACCTTTTACTTTCACCGACTGCCAAGCTACGTTCGACGAGGTAAAGGACATTGTAGTTGATACTTTGACAGGTTATGACTACAATTTGTTGTTTTTGCGCGATTTTCCTGTATTTTTTCAAGTTTACGAGTAGATTTTTGTGTTTTTCGTGCGTTCTAGATAGTTTTTCGTGCGATTTATGTACATTTATCGACAGTTTCTCCCGAAATTTTCGGTGTTTTTCGACCTATTTTGAGAGGTAACGGGACGATGTAGGCCCTTTTTTCCCGATTAATTCCCGATCAATATTTTCGATAGTTCAGCACATTGAAATTTATAGATTATGTTAAACTTACGAATAGTTTTTTAAATGTATATTTCTGTTTTATAGGGTTGTGAATCGTTGCAAATAAACACCTCTCCCGTCAATTGGATTGCAGCCTAATGCATTTCTTCTTTTTAATTTCTAAACAATGAAAGACAACATAACCTTTTAATTAAACATATCTGTCACATCAAGATTTTCATTTCAACCCGGCAACGTTGCAACATGTCGGCTTGTGACATCATTGCCTAGCGAGCGTGAATGTCCTTTAGTAATTTCTCGAACGGAATTTTATATTTTGAATCCGAAACACTGTTTTTAAAAAACACAATTTTATTGTTTAACAATGTATCGAACCCAAAATGGTTCTGAAGTCCGAACAAGAGCGAGTTAAAATCAACAAATCAAGAGCCAAATTCAATTAAAATGATTACATATTATAAAATACAACGAACAAAGAAAATGAACAACAAGCATCCCTTGGATATCTCCTAGATTTGCCAAGACGTTCCTTATCTATGAAACCTTGCGTTTTCCGCACACTTAACTACGGCTGATTTTTCTTTTTTCCAGTATCCCGAATTGAACCCGATGATAATGAGACGGTTCCAAGAACCCGGCGACGTCGAGAAGGCCTTCGAGCTGGTGCACGAATCGCGCGGCCTCCAACAGACGCAATTCCTGGCCCGCCAGCATTGCCAGGAGGCCGTCCGCTATGCCAATCTCATCGAGGAGAGTCCCTATCAGAAGGCGCTCATCGTCACCGCCGATTACGTGCTCAATCGCATGAAATAGTTTAGAGAATTACGCATGTAGTACGACGATTAGGACGGCGAGAAAGAGGGGGAGCGATCTTGAATTTTCCGCTCCTTTTCCAATACACGCTTCCGCTCGTTTAGATAGTAAAGGAGCGAGAATTCGACGTGATCGATAGATCTAGATGGCGTTAGAACTGCGCGAGTATCTATGCGCTATCTCTTTTTCTCTGGTACTACCTCCCTGTATTTCTCTTTTCATCTACCAATTAACTGCAGATAAAATAACCACCAGTGTGAGATAATGTGTGAGAGAATGAGAGTTCGTGAGAGAAGGAGATAGCTGCTACGGTACTTGCGCAGTTGTAACTCTCATAACTCATTTGTGTATATTTCTCTAGAAGAAGAAGTAGAAGGGAGATAGCGGTAGAAGCGGTAGAAATACTTGTACAGTACTAGATACTAGTATACTCTAGTAGTTAGTTCTAAGGTAGCGTTAGAACTGTGCAAGTACACTATCTTCCTCTTTTACACTCCCTCTTCTATCACTCTGTCTCTGCTACTCTATCCATCAGCCATCTTTCCCTCTATCCTCCTCTCCCCCTCTCCTTGTCTCCCTCTCTTCCTCTATCTCTCTATTATACTCGGATATACACACTCTCTTTCTTGCACTTGTGTTATTCTTATGTCCGCACGTAGGCGATAGTTGTAGTTATGAAATTATTTTGAAAATTAGTTAAAGTTTAATATTTAAGGAAATTTAAAAAAAAATATATGTATGCCCAATTTGTACGAGTTACCATTTTTATTATAATTAAATAATACAAGTCAATATTTTAGATTAGCGATAAGAGATAAAAGTAAATTATGTATTGAATATAATAGGCAAGAGGACAGGGTTTTTTGTATTTAATTAGTAAAAAAATAGAGTTTAAATTCCCTGGATAGTCATTTAAATAACAATGCTTGTATTGTATATATATTTAATTTAGAGAGAATTCGGTTTCTATTTTTTATTCATAATAATCCACAAACGAAAATCTTATTTATTAAATCGAGCACGTGAAAAAGGAAAAAAATTCTTTACCACACTCATCTTATAAAAACCTTATTATTTTTATTAGACATTATTATTAACTGTAACTCCTACGCAATTGTATATAAAAATTGTTAAAACCTATTCTTTATTGTTAAAATGTATAATTTAAATAAATATATAAAAATAATTTTACATCTCCGTCTCTCGTCTTTTGAAACCGTCTCTTTCTGCAAGGGCTGTCGGCTAAAATGCATTTTTTCTACCGAGTGTTTGAATGGTTCTGGTCAAAATTGGATTCTTTCGCTTCGATCGGAACGGATGATTTTCATTATATCTACACAAAAAATATATTATAGTCCATTCGCCATCAAGAGATAGCAATAAAAGAGTTATTACACTCCGTTCACCATCAGGAGATAGCAATAAAACCTTGTTAAAAACTGCAAATTCGAAAAAGTAAATAGTCCGTTCGGTATCAAAAAATTCCAAAACTTGAAGGCTCTTATCATTGTGCAAAAGTAATGTTTATTTTACTTTATTAGTGCCACCCTGTATACCTGGTATGTAACTATAGGCGAACCATTTCTAATCTCAGATAAAGTGAACTGAAAACAGGCTTCAACGAGGTTTTACTACCATCTCCTGATAGCGAACGGAGTATAAAAGAAAATACTAAAAGTGGAAAGTGATCTTTTGTATACCTCTGCTATTCCGGAGATTGTGCAATTTCAAAAAGTCAAGTAAAAAGGGTGCTGCTGGAACTCGATTTCGCCAATTTGGGCCTCTTGCTTCGCGAAATTCCCGTTCACCAGCGATCTCCAAAACTTTATTTCCAGTTGGAGTTTCTGCAAATCGAATGCATTTCGAACCGCCCGCGTATGTTGAATAATATTTACCTTCAATTTCAAACGTTTCCTGCACGAGCAGTTCCTCCTTTTCCTGAGTTTCTTTCCAGTTTTCTCCGATGTACCGGGAGTGGTTGATATGTTGTCAGTGATCTGTTTATGGGAAAATAATTCCTGCGAGTCATCTTCCCGCTTGAAGGCTTCCAAAGCTTCCCTGTAAAAATGTGGATGCGAATTATTAACTGATCCTGGTATATTTGCGAATTGTACTTACGTATTTACAGTTTGGCAATAATTTTCTAGTAAATAATTTAGGGAGCATTTGTTGGTGCAACATTCCTTGACAATTTGCCTTTTCGATCTCGATGGTGTATCTGAAAAATAATTGAATATTCTAATCGATTGATGGCCTAATTTTTTTCGATTAAACTTCTTCGCTTTGTACAAAGTTTGTGTGTAATTCCCGATAAATCTGTGGCAATTGAATTCGAAAAATATTTACAATTCGATAATGAATAAAATTAGTTTTGTACGCATATTGTTGCGATTGTCGACCTTTCTATCTTAGGTAGGTAAATAATTACTGTTTCTGTTTTAAAGTAGGTAAAATTTGATAAAATGGCAAATAAAAATTTACCAAAATCGATTGTGAGATACGAAAAAATCGAGGTCATCTCCCCAAAATGCAGTAAATATGTTGGTAAGATTTTTTTGAGTTGTTTTCTCTAATTATTTTGAGCACAAACAGACTAAGAAGATGAGGGATCAAGAAGAATCAAATTATTCGAAAAATTACCCAAAAAAGTAACAATTTTTGTGGATATAGTTAACATAAAATTAAAACTCACAATATGCAAAAAATGTGTGCATATACATTGCAAAAAAACACTTTTATAGAATATAATCCTAGCTTTATTAATAATTAATTAAGTGACATCTATTTTTGGATAGATTACAAGTTTATTGCCATCACTTGACTCACCAAACACATAGTAAATATTGAATTGTACAGATTACCAATTTTTTCGTTACTATTAATAAATTTCAAAGAAACCAGATATGTTTTATTATTAACTCTCCTCCTCAACACCACCTATCAAATCACCTCCAGCGCTACCAACCTCTAAACAAAATTTTCCCAGCCTAAACAGAAAAAATCCCCAAACCACACTCACCGTTATCCCTGTCGGGGAATTCCAGGCAAAAGTGTCCCAAAATGGTGGTCAATCTCCTGCCGCAGAAGGCCCGTTTCCTGGCCGTTTTGTCCACCTCTGTCAGGGCCGCACTGTCGAATGCCAGCACCACGCAACAAATATAAGATAACAGGAATACCAACGAGCAATAATACATCTTGCGGCGCTGCAACACGTTAAACATAACAAAAAAAATATCCGGTGAAATTTTTTCGTTACCATGCGGTGATTTAATTGATTAGAAAAAAATTGTATAACTTACTAATAATATTCGTCCAGTATCAGTAGTTGTTTTTTTTATATCTTCACGTCGCGATTCGTTTTATATAATTTATTTAATTAAAATACACATTTAATTGTAAAGTGTACAAGGTGATTCCCCTGTTAAATGTAATTTTTTTATAGCTCTAGTCGACTCGAAGTGGATCGTTGGAAGTAATCCGAGGCGATTTTATATCAAATTTCGATTTGCCGTCGTTACGAGAAGGGTCAATTCACCGTTGGTAACGAAATCGAAAACGAAATTTGATTCTATTGTCGAAAAAAATTAAACCCTTTCCCCTAAATTGAACTTTATGGTTATTTCATGGTTTATTTCAATACACATGCCTCGTATCTGGCGTATTACCAGACGCTACGATCGTAATAACAACAATAATAACAAGAATAGACATTGTTTATAGTTATATTTTGTTTATATTTGCGTTAGTTTTGTAAAAAGCGCGCTAATAACAATGTAGAACAATATACAGAACAGTACAAAAATTATCAATATCACGAATATGTGAATGATATAAAGAAGTTGGCCGTGATTGTCAAAAAAGGTCTGTTGGTAACCCTGCTTCATCGTATTGCCAATAATTCCCCTGAGATTATTTGAATTTACAACAGTCTAGATCATTGCAGGACTTGCATTTAAATTACGTGGAGTTCATTTTGATATATTTGTTTCTTATGATTTTTTTTTAAATTGTTTTTTTCGACAATGTTTCGTTGGAAAATACGGATATCAAAATTAGCAAATTTCAAGTTGAATTATGATTAAACAAATAGTTGTTACAGACATCGATTATAAAACGTCGAGACATTTTATTTATTTATTTTTAGAAAACAAAGCAGGGAGCTTGTTTATTTCTACTTCCTATTTTCAATTATCTGACCTTATTCAGGTTGTTTGTCGCGGAAAGTAATTCGAAAAACAATTAATTAATTATAGATATCCACATATTTAGTAAATTCCAAAATTAATTATAGATATTCACATATTTAGTAAATTCCAATTTCAAATATTTAGTAAATTTAGTAAATTTTTTTTCCAATTGGCTATTAATTTTTTTTTCGGTCCATTTCGAAATCCCCCGATTAAACCCAAAAATTACATCCGGTATTTTTTTCTACTTACCATCTATCCAATTTTTGTACACCAGGAAAACAATGAACAAACATCTATCGATTTAATCGATTAATAAACGGGAAAATTGTGATCTTTATTCCTCGAACTTCAACGCACTTATGTCAAGCCTATGAACTGTAAAACTATAAAGCAAGGATGTACTGTTGTCTTTCCTTTCCCCTGAAATTCAGGCTAATGTAAATTTCAAATTTCAACTTTGTTCAAACACAATCACGGATCGTTCTTGGTTTTCCTCCCTCCTATATTCTCGATATTAGAGAAAAAAATTACATCTACATCGCCAATATTTGCGTTCGTTAATCGATCAAACTACTTATTAAAAATTGTTTGATTTCTATAAAAAAATACATTTTTATCGGAGCCTTAATTACTTTCGAGAACGAGGTCTGTTTGATTTCTTAAATATTTTATTTGCAATTATACAAGCAATTTCGATAATAATCGTTAATCACAACAAAACTCTCGATTGGTTTGAATTTTGTATAGAGTAGAAGTGGAATATATGGAAGAAAAATGTGGAAATAAATACTGCTCCACAAAAGTTAAGGAAGTTCACAAATATTGAGATTAATGTAAAAGGTTTTTTTGTTCGCCAAATTTAGTATGAATTGTAGAGGTAAGGGCAAAAAATCCACTTAGATATGAGAGAAAACATTTAATTTCGCATATTTGAAAATTTGGTCATCAAAAAGTCTGTAACTTTTAAAATAATTACAAAATTTGCGAACTGTTGTGAAGCAGTTTATCTTCATAAACTATTAACAAAAAAATCGCTATTTTGTTTCTTTCGAGTCAAACACAATTTTTCGAAACAATAAAATTTCCTTTAATAGAACACATTTCACATCAATTCGACGCTTTACATTTATCCCTACCAATCCTCTCCAAATACTCCAAAGTCTCATCGCACTTAACAGTCTCATCGAACCTCGAATAATCGATCTTATAACCCGGTTTATCCCCGCCCAACGACATCACCGATTCGAACCTCCTCCCCCACAGCACCTCCTCCCCCAAATAACTCGACCTCGCCTGCGTCTTCTGATCAGTACTCTCCACCGTACCCTCCAAACTCACCACGATCTCCACCTCCCCGGCGATCCTCCTACCCCCGAAATCCACCAAATCAAACAGCGGCGAACCGGCTGTAATCCGATGCACGACAGTAACAGGCCACATCAGCAATGCATCAGTCTCGCAATCGTCCACACTCACCTCCAATTTACTCATAAAATTCGAAACAGTTCGATTGTCTTTATGCACCACCTGGGTGATCAACTGCGCTTTGATTTTGGCTTCCAGTATGCGACTCCTGGTGCGCATGTCGCCCAATCTGAACGCCAAGCACAGGGCGTTTCCTCTGAGTACCACCACGGCGTCGCGCGAGAACCTGATGGTTCGAGCCCGGTGCTTCGGGCGCATCAGCTTCGCGAAGAAGACGCCCACGACGAAGGCGTCCACCATCAAACCCACCACGTTTTGTACGCACATCAAGGCGACGGCCTCGGGGCACTTCTCCGTCGGTCGCTTCTCCCCGTAGCCGGTCGTCTGCTGGGTTTCCACCGAGAACAGGAAGCACGACGTGAAGCCGGAGATGTCGGTCACGCAGGGCCTCCAGCCGGTCGCCGCCTGCCGGTCTGGGAGGTGATCCGCCTCCAAGTCGCCTCTGGTGTAGGCGATCAGCCACCAGAGGATCGCGAAGATGGTCCAGGAGGCGAGGAAGCCGGCGAAGAAGACGGCCAGCGTGTAGCGCCATTTCAGGTCCACTAACGTGGTGAACTTGTCTTTGAGGAAGTGCCTTTTGGACACTTTGGTGGGGTACACGTTGCATTCGCCCGTCTTCGATACTGCTCGCGTGTATTGAGGTTTTCTTATCGTTATCCTGGAAATTTAATTTGTACAATAGAAGCTTACTTCATTATTTACTGCGTTCGTTCAATCGTTCAATCGTTCAATCGTTCAATCGTTCAATCGTTCAATCGTTCAATCGTTCAATCGTTCAATCGTTCAATCGTTCAATCGTTCAATCGTTCAATCGTTCAATCGTTTAATCTTATTTACCTGGAATTAGGATGCTTATCCAATAAAGAAGTGCCTTCTAGACCATCGATTGATTTGTTCATCTTTGATTCGTAATTGGAAAGATGTACAGAATCCATTTATATGAGTTACCTGTAGTAATAAAATAGTATGTTTTTCTATTGAATTAAATCGTTATTAAATAATTTGTGTTTGTTGAATTTAAGATACGTCCATTAAGAGAAGATAATGTTCTTCCTCTGACGTAATTGCGCTTAATTTCACCTGGCAATTAATGGAGTACTTACGTTAAATTGCGTCGAAATTTAGCTGCATTCGGGAATATTTTATAACATTTTAGTATTAATTTTTCTTTCAGTTTTCGTCGTACCTTAAATTGTGATGGGTAAGTGAACCGTTTTGGACGTGAACTGTTGGCTCGCAACAATTTTGCATTCCTTTATTATCTTATTAACAGCAATTTTCTGGCATAAAGAAATCATTTATTCTCGTCGGGCTTTAATTTTTATGTAGGCCGACAAGATGGAACGTGTGCCTCCTGTAAATTGCGCGTTATTTGGCGATTTATGAAAGAAATTTGTTATAAATTTATACATAATTTCCATGTATTTACTATTAATTGTTTTTATAAGCTTATTAACTAGTAATTTAGCCAATAAAATGGAGAAACGGCAGCGTTTCATTGCTTCTCCCGAATTGCACTAATTTTATGACAAAAGTGTTGCATACCCACTTTTTCGCAGGAATTTTGTAACGCGTTCAAACTAAATTCCAATATACAACTCTTCTTCTCAATTACGAGCGATTGAGCGAAGAAAAGAGCCCGTTTAAGAGCGTACCGGATAACTCATTGCAAACTTGTTTCATTTGAATTGCGCGAGGTTGCAAAATAGTTGCAAGATAGTTGCAAAATAGTTGCAAGATCAACTGGTTTGCAATTTTTATTTCAAAACAGTTGCTCCGTGTACGGTCGAAAAAAAAAAAACTCGAACTCATCAACGATAATTTTATTATTCAATTGCTCGGCACGACCTCCCACAACCTCTGCAATGTATACCCCTCCTTCAGGCGCTCCACCGCCAGCCCCAGCTCATCGCAGAACGCCGGCGCCCCGTCCTTCTCCAGCCCTTCATCAGCCAAATACGCCGCTATGGCGTTCGACATCTCCTCCGCCCGCTCGTCGACGCCCTCGAACTCCTCCGCCACGGCGCCGCCGCCGCCGCCTTCGAGCGCCGGCCGTCGCGACGCCGCCGCCGCCTCGTACTCGACGCCGAAGATCGGCCGCGAGGCGTACACCGCGTGCAACGACGACAGCTCCTTGTACAGCGTGCGCAGCCGCTCCTCCGGGTCCACCTTGAAGCCCAGCACGAAGAGGCCGCTCGCCTCCGAGCTGGTCACCACCAGCGCAGCGCCGAACTTCGAGTCTCTGGTCGCTATCTGTGGAACCAGGAAATCGATCGAGGATTGCTCCAATTCGTATCCAGCGGGGTTCGGGGAATGGGAACAACTCCTGGAGAATGTGACTAGGTTCTGGAGAATGCGACAAGGTTCTGGAGAATGGGACAAGGTGCTGGAGAATGTGACAAGGTTCTAGAGAATGTGACAAGGCTCTGGAGAATGTGACTAGGTTCTGGAGAATGTGACTAGGTTCTGGAGAATGCGACAAGGTGCTGGAGAATGCGACAAGGTGCTGGAGAATGCGACAAGGTGCTGGAGAATGCGACAAGGTTCTGGAGAATGCGACAAGGTTCTGGAGAATGTGACAAGGTTCTGGAGAATGGGAACGACATGCAAGAGAATATGACCGAGTTATGAAAAGGTAGGATTAAATTTAGATAAACGGGAGCATCAAAACAAGGTGTTGATGAGGCTGAATGATAACTTCAGGAGAACAGCACCAGATTTTGTAGAATGTGATCAAATGTTAAAGAATAGGACCAGGTTTTTGGAGGATAACAAATGGGAGCAACTTCACAAGAATATGGGCAACCTCAAGAGAGCTTCATTACAACAAAACCAGCTTCAGAAGAACCTAGCTACAGGTTTCCTTACACCTAATCACTAGTACTACTTTTACTGAGTATAATTACTTACAGCATCGATTTGAAGGTAGGGCAAGGATATGTTGAAGCCTTCGTTGACATCGGCGAACCAAACGAACCTGACATTGGTGACTATGAAGGTGCCCAGGCTGCCTTGGTCGCTGGATAGGTTCCACGCTCCGTGCACCGTGGAGACGACTTGCTCCAACGGGAGTATCTTGAGTTGCTTGTTGTGAACGACGGCTCCGCGAAGTTTCAACTCTCGATATAACCTGGAGGAGTTGTAGGCTCTGCAAGAGGGCGAGGTTTTTTTGGTTAGGTTGCGTTGGGTTAGGTTGTTTATTGGTGTTACTTGTGGACGCCGGTGATGGAGGTGAAGTGCCTGGTGTGGCCCGGTATTAAATTGGTGAAGATGAATTCGTATCTGGTCCCCGTGGAGATTGTTAGCAGTTGGATGGCTTGAGCGGTGCCTCTAAGTTTCTGTTAGAGTAAATTTAGGTTAGTTTGGTTTCGATTTGAGCTGGTTGACTTACCGAGTTTACTAGCTTCATGTTTGTTGATAATATGCAACCTAAACCGATGGCTAGAAAATATAGATATGACACATACTGTATTGATTAGATAATAAAATAAAAGGTACATACATAGATTAATGCGTGGGCTGCTAGATGAATACCACAAAATTCTCAAACTGGTGATGATCAATTTTCCTTTGAAGCCGCCGTTACCTTTGGTATCTTCGATGTTGTCCAATTTATCGATGATCTTCTCGCCGTTTATCAGTCTCATTTTACTGCGAAATAATCGAAATTTCTATCGGAATGTTACATTTTCGAATTGGAATCGACTCACGAATACGGTAGGTCAAATTTGACTTCTTTGTCTTCCCACTGGAGAACCATTTTTTGAAATATTTCGCAGCGAAATTTTTGATTTTGCTACCGCTTTCGGCGTTCACCATTTTATCGACCGTCGTCAGGGCGTTCAATCACAACAAAACTCCCAATTGATTTGAATTTTGTATAGAATAGAGGTGGGAGTAAAGCTCGGAATATATGCAAGAAAAATGGGAAAATATGTGCATATTAATGCAAGATATTTTTATAAAATATTAACAAGAAACAATGCCATTATTTGCCCACAATTTTTCTAATTCTTCTATTAATATTAGTGCCTCAGAAAAAAATAAATATTGAAATTAACAAAACATTTTTTATTCAAGAAAAAGATACAATTTTTAATAAAAAATAGAGTAATTTAAATTTTTTTAAAATTTTCAAAAATACAAACTAAATAAAGGTATAATAAAAAAAATTAACGTGCTATGATCATACGAAGCACTTTTCCACTAAAAAAATTGTTATCGTTAAAAATATTTTGTAATAAACTCAGTCATATTCAACTTACCATTAAATTTATTTTGATTCGAACGAATTATTATTTATATACATTTTAATAACAACATTAATAATATTATGGTAACATACTGGTAACCTCTAAATATAAACAAGAAAAAGATGTTATAAATTACAGAAAGGTAAACACTACAAATGGTAAATGACCTTCCTTCTAATTTACTGGGATTAACAATTATTTGTACATCTAATACCAGATTGTTTTTGGCACTGAGACAGAACAACTTAAATTATGACTATACAGGGCGTGTCATGACGAGCTTAAACTATTTATATATTATTAAAAACTCCTTCCCAATACACAAACAATCTAATATCATCGCGACCACACGCTATACCTCTCTACTAATCAATAAATAAATAAACTCCCCGTCGGGGGTTTCCCCCGTTCTAAAATCGATTCGCGAATTGCTGCTGCCTCAGTTCGGGTCTCAACGATAATCCAGCCCCTCCGTCGTGATGTAGCGACAAAACTTTGCTGATGAGGTTCAAATCTTCGGAGGATTTGCCGCGAAAGGCGCCCGAATTGTACAGCAAATTGCTCAACTGGTAGTTCTGCCCCGGCAGATCCGCGTTCGATCTGAAGAACCTTGTGTTCTGCGCTTGAACCGGAGGATTCGGTGGCTGGAGGAACGAAGAAAACGAGGCCTCCGCGTTGTTGTTGGACCTGAAGAACCTGTTGGGTTGTTGTATCGGCAGCTGGTTCCTGAAATTGTTGTTCACATTCGGCGTTATGGACGGCTGGATGGAGAAGCTGTTGGGGTTCCTGTTGAAGTTGTTGTTGTTGTTGTTGAAACCGAAATTGCCGAAGCCTATGTTCTGCCTGAAGACTCTGTTGCTTTGGATTTGTTCGTTGAAATTGTTGTTCGAAATGGGAAAAGGCGTTCTGAAATCCACCGGGCCTTTAACAGGAAGAAACTGTCCGTTAGCAGGCAATTTCCCGGCGTCAGCCGGCTGATTAAAGGCGACGTTAGGCTTGAAATTCTGCTGTTGGTTGTTGAAAGGCACCGATTGGAGGGGTACGAAGGGATTCGCGCGAGCCCTGAACTCCTCCTGTTGCTTCAGCAGTATCTGCTGCTGTTGCCTCAGGCTCAAATTCAACCTATAGATCTCCTCCTCTAAGGCCTTGTGCTTCTGTTGCAGCTGCAACTTCTCCTGGTGGCGCTTCAGCTCCTCCAAGCGGATTTTCTCGCGTTGCTGTTGCACCAGTTGGGCGTGCTCCTGCTGCTTGGCCAGCTTGATTTGCTGCTCTTTCTCGATGATGATTTGCTCCTGGGATTTGGTGGGTATGTGCGTTCGGAATATCGGTTCTACTTTCTTCGGTAGACCCGCTTCGTCTTGGTGTACGGTAAAAGCTGCTACTAGTGGAGCGGAGAAGAACTGGACGTCTTCAACTTTAGCTTCGCTTTCGTCGATTTGAAGGGGTTTTTGGGTTTTGGTGAAGGTTTTTTCTTCGTTAAAAATTGAGTTTTGGTTTGGCGGTTTCTCGGTTTTGCTCGATTGGCTGTCTTTACCGAACGGTTGGTTGCCGAAGTTGTTGGTAGCGCTCGTTTGGATGCTTTCCTCATCGCCATAATCCTTCTCCAGCGTCGTGATGGTGGGTTGCTCGTGGCTCTGGCTCCTCTGGAACACCACCGTGACCTTCTCCGGTTGAAAGGTGGTGGTGGTGGGGAAATCCGGAGCTACCGTCACGCCGTCATCGTGCGATATAATGGACACCGATGAAGCCGACGCCTTCTCCACGATGTCGCTCGAGCCGGAATCCTCCCTGGAGGCCTCCTCGTTCTCCAGCTCGGTGAGCGCTTTGAGCAGGGCGCGCCGCAGGTTCGAGTCGAGGTTGACCTTCGACGGGGGCGCCGCCACCTCGTTGGATTCCTCCTCGGGGTCGTCGGAGAGGGCCCCGCGGGGCGCCGTCATCGTCGCCAACGCCAACACCAGATACACCTGCAACAGAAATATGAACCGGTTTTAATGAAATCGAGGAAGTCTGTGTGTATGCTGATGGGGCATCACGTAAGCGATTGGAGATAGCGCGGAATCCGGAACACCCTGTATACGTATATGGTTGTTAAAGGATGCGCTACAAGGTGACTTTCACTCGAGTCGAGTGGTTGTATTGAGAACTTTCGAACATTGTACGAGTGGTATTCTCATTTTTTTTTGGTTTATTTTGTTCTGCATATGTATAACATACAAGTTGAAGCAGATGTGGTCGAATAGGCCTAGCAGGTGAGGCCGTATAGGAATGAAAAAGAGGAATAAAAGGATGTACATGAAGTAGAAGAAGACGACTTGCAAAAAGCAGAAAAAGTGCAGAAAAAAAAGATATTAGTCCATACTTATAAAAATGAAGCATTTTCTTTGAAGTAAAATGTAGAAGCAAAAGATAAGAGAAACGGAAACCTTTGTTTAAGGTTTTTAAAACCATAAAACCTTTTGCTTTGAAGCAACAGCAGGTCCTCGAAGCAAAACCTCTCTTCTATTTTATGCATATACCTGAAAACAATTCCTTCATTTTTTGAATCAAAAGGTAATGCTTCTTTTTATAAATACAACCAATTGGCCCTTACTGTGTATGTTTTTCAGCCACACCCGATTATAACTAGCGAAGCTATCTGTGTCTTTAGGCGGGTTTGTTAATCGGCTAATTAGATACTTCATCTTCTAAATGTTTATAAATAATTGCCTCATGGTAATTTCGCTTACTGTTTATTGTATAAGGAGAACTGGCGGTTCTCTCGGGTACTCGCGAAATTTTCCCGCGTATTTTAGCGGCGGTACTTTTATCATTTCGCGTCCTTTTTAAGGATGGGTGCGGCATCTCGACAAGTCAGTTTCACTTTTTGAGGAAACGACCGGCTTGTTTTTCATCTTCGCTTTATTCGTCGATTTCCAATATTGTCGTTAACTGCCGGTATTTTACTCGTTTTGTGCATAAAAAAAGTACGCTTATGTGGCTGGATTACAGCGTTTGTAGAGGCCTCGATTCTTGTGTGGTCGATTAGCCGCGACTGTAGAGGCCTCGAGGAAATGTTTAATTAATTAACAGGCGCTCTAATCGATGCGGAAATCGCCGATTAAAAAGAAATCTAACGGTTAATTATATTTTAATATTTAATCAATCGTATTTTAATGATGTCTACTGTGTAAATATTGTTAAACGAATTGCCACTACAAGTGACCTGCTACTGCTGATTTTATTAAGTAAATTTTTCTATTGAAGTGTAATTTAAAATGTTATAAAATAATTTGGATATTTTTGTATTATTTTGGATTTAATGGAGATCACGCTCGGGGATATAGGAAACATGTAAATAAATTGCCGATGCGTGACTGTAATCATACCGTTTGTAATTCAATTAGGCACTCAATTAAAGATATTTTTGTTTTTAGATTCGAATGCGAGTAAAAAATAACAAATAAAAAGGTATAATCAACCATTAGAAAGCGCCCATCGAATTTTTATATTAGAAACTGAATAATTTGGCATCGAAAATTAATTATCCAAAAAACCACAATCAAATATTCAAATAAACACGCTCGATCGCCTTGTTTTAACCAGCGGCGGAGCAACAAAATGGCCGATTAAAGGGATAATTGAATGGAAAATTCAATCTTTATACGAGGAGTGTATATTTTTTAGCCTCTATTTCTAGTTTTCAATTGGATATTTTGCCAATTTTTAATTTATAATTTAATAAATTTTGCAATATTTTTTGAAACACGCTGTATATATTTATTAGCATCTGTTTGCTCATCTCCATTTCTCCGTCCTTCAGGTTGCGTAACGAAGAAAGTGAGCGTCTCGCTTATAAATGGCTATTTAATGACAATACATTTTTCTTCGGTAGCCGAAGGAGTCTGTTTATTTAACAATCTTCTCGAATGGGCTCGTTACGATCGCAATTAATCGCGCTTTTCGGCCGGATTAATCCAATATTTCCACACAAAAAAACGTTTAATTCGCGATTTTTTGTGTGCTGAATAGCCGCAGCAGTTGAGGACTAAGACAAAAAGAATTTGTCAATTTTTTGTGTGCTGAACAACTCCAGCAGTTGAGTATTAAACTGCATATTTTTTGTATAGTTATGTAAATTACACAACGGCATAATGTAATAATAAAATAATATATTTACGCGCTTCAATAATTAATTACCCGCAATTAATCAGTTCTCATTCGCTTGTAAAATTTTAAAATAAATAATTAAATTCCACCGCGTTACACGTATAATTTAATTGTTCAATTTTGCATTCAAGCGCCATATTTAGATCATGAGAATAATTAAATAACTCATTACTAAAATTAACTAACGAGAACGGCCTTTTATTGTATAAGTACAATTGCTTATTATAGTCCGTTCGTTATCAGGAGATAGAAATAAGATCTTCTTGAAGTAGTTCATTCAAAAAATTAAGTTTTAACAAGAGAAGAAGACATCTTCTTTTCGTGATAGTTCGTGAGGTGTTTAAGGTTTAATAAATCGTGTAAGTAGTCGTGTAAAAGTTATAAAAAAGTGTTTAACACGTCTGTTAAAGCCCCCACGATTTAATGAATAGGTTTCCTTTCGTGATTCAGACGATTGACGTTTAACAATGGAGGAATGACTGCGTGGTTTTCTGATAATTTTCGTGGTTTAGTCCATTCGGAAAATATCGCATATCGAATTTTCTGAGCGGCTTTCTTTGTAGAAATCATGCACGAAAATAATTACGGGTTATAAACGAATATTTTATGACCTCGCATCCATACTAGAATCTCACTTTCCCATCGGCGTTTCATCCATAAAAACCTCCATTTTACTATGTAGATATATTGTTCCCAACAGTTGCTAGATTCGTAATAACTAATACTTTCTTGCAGAAAAAATAATTCGGATTAGAAAGCCTCGAATAATCGCGAATTGAGCGTATGTAAAGTACACACTGTTACTCTTCGTTTTTAATTATTACCTATTGTGGCCTTAGACGTTTTAGGACGAACCGTTCGCTATTTTGCGGCCTTTTACTTACAATGTTGTACAGGTTTAATGATGGATTATAAAAAAGGTAAGGTCGTAACCGATGAGAGAAAGGTCACCGGAGGTCGCGTTGCGTTGGAAACGAGAGTGAAAAGAAATCTTACAATGTTATACGGAATCAAAACAGAAAGGTAATTTCGAGAGATTACAAGCATTTACAATTTGCATAAAACGAGCTAAATGTGATAGCTGGAAGCTCGGAATATATGCAGCAATTTTTAATCAATGCGAGAAAAACTCAAACCTTTTGTTAATAACTTCAAAATATGCAAATAATAAATTTCTCGCTGACACATCCACATAATAGATTGCCCAATTCATCTATCAATTTAACCAGCCTTTCTGTACCTCGTAATATTTATCAATAAAATAATAAATTGCGCAAAGATTCAATACAGACAGGCTATTGTAGTAAAATTTAGTTTAAACGATAAATCACTTATTCCATAAAGCACTAACCATTAATCACAACTTAAAAGGGAACGTTCTACTGATCGATATCGCTAGTTTGTTTGTAGAATTGTTACATGAAATTTACTTATCTGATCTAAGCGAAACTTTTTAATCTACATCGGTACACGACGCATCGATCGCCCTGTATGTAAACAAATAATGCTGTTTAACTCATAAACCACTGGAGATATCCTTAATTAAAACCGAACCTTAACTTTCACCGAATATCATTCGATAAAGCCCGAGCAAATCGGTATGTTCGCGCCTATTGTAATTCCCGTGTAGACGAATAAATACATCAATGTCTATTACATACAATGCTAATAAACAGTAAAAAGCATCCGATATGTGAAAGTAAATGACATGGAAAAATTCGCAAATTATTCGGAAGCCAACTGGAGAAGTATTAACCGATTGGCGTCGTAAGTAAGAGGCCATAAACAGCTAGAAAAATGATGTATTTCGGTACATTGATAACTACTTTTCCCAACCCCAAAAAGGTGTCAAAGTAAGTAAGAGGCCGCGCAAATAATTTTCTAAGATTTCAAATAGAAAAGAAGATTTTTTTCGGTTCATTCCAGCCGACTTTGATCGAATATTTAGCATACAAACTCGCGACGAATACACCCAAAAGGTTAAGTGTCAAATGCCGCAGCTTTCACTCGGTTACAATTTATAAATTCGTAAATTCTCATTTTCACATTTCGTCGATAACCGAACTCGAACAATTTCACCGATAAGCAACTCGTTTTGTTCTTCCCATTTTTGCCGACGCACGGCCTTCTACCTGTCGCGCATTAAGCCACTTTTTTAATCTCCAAAGTTGTCCAATGTCTTCTTCTTTTTATTTTCACTACACACTTGGTCTTTTGCTTGTTAATTATGCATACATCTCTTCTCGATTTTGCAGTTACACGCTCTTTTACCTGTTGCGAATTAAGCTAATTTCACACATTTTTATTTTTTATAAATATTACTTGTTAATTATTTCGTTTAAATACAACTCTTAATAGTTTTCTACGAAATTCTCTTCGTTTAATAACAACAATTTCTCTTGCGACATTGAAAGTTAAAGTAGTAGTTAATCTTTTAAATACCAGTATTGTTCGTATATGTTGAAAATGTCCATATCGATTAGAAATCTCTGTCTTTAATTTTACTATCGGATTCTCCAAAGGTCAATAGTATTACATGTAACATGTATGACACCTCCATTTAATGTTACAATCTGACTGAATAAATAGTTAAATCGAACCTTCAATTATACAGTTAGATAAATTTTGATTGATTGATGGAAAAAAGGCGTTTTACGACTACTCCTCCGTTAATAATGATAGAGGTGAAAAGTGGTAATTTTATGTAACGGCAATTAAAAATTAATGAGCAAATATTGATTAATTAAGGAGCTTCGCTTTTCTCTAATGAGAGGTCAACGAAAGTGAAATTAATCCTGCAACTGGAAGCGAAAAATGGAAATGAATAGAAGAACCGAAAAATCGGGGAACTACCGCGAATCTTCTCGTTCAAATAGCGACTTCGACTGATAAGTTACGCAGCAATTTCATTCGCACTTCCGTTGGAAATAATTTATGTCAATAACAAAGCGATTCGTAGTAATGATCTAATTGGGTTTGAATATGATTTTCTCTACTAGGAATCCTTTCGATTTTGATTCACACACCGTTTCTCGCCGTTAACGCCACAGGATCGTATCGGCACTTTCTGATGTATGAATTTAAAAAAAAAGAAGATTTTTCGGTATGGATTCCACCGAATAGGTTTGACTGGATGTTTGGATAAGTGAGAGAGCATTAAACAAATTGTTGTAGATTTTTTAATATAGTCGAAGTCAGCGTAAGAATATATAGTTTTGATTTTAGTATCGAGAAATGAGAAATTCTTACAAAACAATCCAAATCCGACCCTGTTAATCATTTCCTATTGTTTCAAAATTTTTAATATGAATTTTCCCATGCGGTTCATGACCTTCTCGCTTGTATAGTGAATTCCTTTTACTAGATTTATTCGCTAATCAACCTTCCTGAATATTACCAAAAAAAATTCACAAACCTACAATGATATCCAGTAACCCCGTTTTACAATTTATTCCCTAAAAAAATTAAAAAACCAACATTATCAACAGCTAGTCTGATGATGGATCTACGAAAAAAATAAATTCGAAACGTCGTGTATTCTCTTACCCAGCGCATCGCGACGAATCCTCCCAAAAAAAAAACGGCGTACTTTTTATCGAAAACTTGCCCGATTCTCGCCGGAGATTTTTTTTCGCTAGAAATGCACCCGCGACCGTTGTGTGCAGAAGACTGAAGAAATCGAAGAAACGGAGACCATTCGGCGAGATTTCACCGCGAGGAAGATCGCGGTGGAAGATGCGCTCGTGTCTCAAAACTCGCCAGGGAGAATCTTCTTCGGCTCGTGACCCTAATTTCCAATAACGAATACCCGCCGAGGAATGCCAAGAACTCACCTGCAGGGTTAAATTACCTGTATTTACCCAAGGTAAAGGAAGATATGTATTACAAAATTGGAATTGATTAGATTGGATTGTTAGTGGTGTAAATGTTCTTCGGGGAATCACAAATTAAGCATTATTACGATCGGTTTGGTAATTATACTCCGTTCGTAATCGGGGACTAGTAGCTGATTCATTCTATTGGTAAAGGCCGGTAATTTTGTGTAAATAGGTGAGTTTTTGGTCCTTTACATACGCGTATTTCGGCCAATTTGGTATGCCGCTCGAAATTAATTCCGTTTTCTTTTCACTTTCATGGCCGGAAGGCCTGCCGTTAAAAATTTGTTGTGTTTTATGGTATGTTTTATGTCCAATCCGGACTTGGGCGAGGCGAAATCGTGCGTTATGAGTTGTGATTTGTGATTGACGTCGACTAAACTACCGATTCACCGGCGTTTCTAAAACAAGCCTCTGTAATTACCCGACGCCAGTTGTCATTCCTGTCAAAATCGATGAATTTTTTTACTAATACGTCAAAATTTGACAATTGTTACTTGTCAATTATCAATTGTCACTTGTCGCTTGTCAATTCTGATCTAAAATGGGTATTAAAAAGGGAAATTCGAGTAGAAATGTCTATTATTGAATTGAACTTGTCAATGCTCCTACGCCGCGAATTGCAACAACAATAATCCCGATAATATCGACAATGGTTATTTATTTGTCGAATACAATAAAAGCGGATTTTTATGACTTAATGAAAATGTTACGGGTAATAAATTATCGTTTCGGGTAATCCACTTATCTAAATCTGCGCTTCGAACACGAATTGAAACAATAAACGTTTTGTTTAAAAAGAAAGCTATACTCGAAACCTACGTTCGGTTTGTGTGAGAAATTGATACGAAATATTTACCTCGAGGGCGTTAATAAACGATTAAATGTCTATACGAGGTTAATGCGATAAGTAATAGTTATTATGTATTATGAGTAGGCGTTGATTTGATATAGGGAGTTAATTGGCAACGCTAAAAATCCCTAATTTTAGTGACTTTTTTTGTCGAAACTAACATCCAGGTGTTTCTCTTTTAGCTCTTACTCAATCGAGATAAATTATACGAATTTTAATAAACGTCTTTTTGTTTCGATTAATGAAAGTTGACAAAATCCGTTGAATATTAATTTCTCTGTTAATTCTAATTATGTAACGTTTAGATAAAAATCGAAATTTCGATCGGGCACATGGCTTTCAGAATTTCACAAACAATTCGAAAATTTCTCGATCCCCATTATACGAGGGATATCCGAAAAGTACATAAGGTAGACTCGGTTGTAAAATTTAATTAGTTCAAATTAAATCCTAAAATGTGGCTTCATTTTTTCTCTTATTTGAAATGCTGATACCACATTAAATTCACAACTTCCTAAACTATAAAGAATCGAGGTATTAAAAAGTTGATTTGAAAAAGGAAGAAAACGATTTTACATATTTTTTTTTAAATGTTGACATTATGTTACATTTACCATGGGTTCTAAAATGCAATACAATTATATAGAAAAACATATGGGGCAATTCTAAATACATATTTGGTTCATCTACAATTTGATATGCTGTTTATTTATTTATTTCAAAAAATAACAGAGATACAAAATAATAAAGAAAAAATAAGAAACAAACCCTGTCTAATGCACAAAAGAACTATAAAAATAATAAAAAACATTAACATAACAGGTAAAAATGTTACATTTACCCCATTTTTAAATTTACCCCAGTCTACCTTATTTCAATTTTTGCTAGATTGCCCTATTTATGTAACTATAAATTACAGTGAATTAGATATGATATACAATTGTACATGGTGCTATTTAATAGTGGTACTACCTCCGGGGCGTTTTCGTGGAATTATTTGATACGTGAGAAGGCGTGCCGGGTACCGCACCCGCAGCGAAATGTGCGAAATTTATTATTATTATTCATCTTTTTCAGACGAATAAAATTACTCGTTTTCTACTCGAGCTATATTGGTTTGGGTTTTTACTTTAATCGGCCGGACAAGAAACTGAATAACTTACAAGTAGGAGGCCAGAGTGTAATTTTATGCCGACGCAAGATCGAGTAAAAATTGTGAAATTCGTATAAATAGATGAGCGTACGTTCTAATAAATTTTACGATTTATTTCGTTGTTTGCTTAATTTTTTTTAATTAGGTAATTATACGGTATTGGTTAATTAATTTTTTTATATATGGTTAACATTTATTTAAAAATTCTCAGGAACCCTATTATTATTCTTCCAGTTGTTTTCCAGACCGCTATTTCAAACCGTTGATTCAAATTTTATCAAAAAAATACAAATATCTATTATTTTATTAAAAAAAAATTAACCAAAATATTTTAATTTTAAAATAAAAAAAAACACGTAGGCGCATTTGATATGTCTTGCAATTTGTCATGTCGATGTGTAATAGAAATTGTCGAAAATTTTATTACAAACTCGACCCCGTTTCCACCAAGCTTTGTTTCGCACTTAATTAATTCGACATAATATTAAAAAAATAAAAAATAAAAAACTGAATAAAAAAATCGCTAATTTAACGAATCGTTAATTGTATTAAATCGTTCCGACATTTTATTAGCAATAAAATTAAAATCTCGTATGTACGTTTATTGCCTGGTAAAATGAGTAAAATTTAATATTATCTGTCGCATAATGGCCGATTCTATTGTTAAATTTATTATACTCCGTTCGCTATCAAGATAAAAAAAATAGATCATTGCACTAACAAATATAGGGTGTTAATTAATTGAATGCCGATACTTCAGGATGTGAATATTTGATTGATTTTAAGAAGAAAAGTTTATGTCCTAAACCTCTTAGTTTTCGAGTTACAGGGTGTTAAAATTTTAGAAAAAAAATAACTTTTCTATCATAATTTTCTTATTGTGTAAATATAATTTAATTGTTACGAATTATAACGAAATCTCAAAGCGTCAACTTTTTTCGGCTTATCTATATCATTGTTCAAGAACATTAAACTTTACAGCACTTAATAAAATTTATAATACTTGTGCATATACAACAACAACGACAATATACTCCTTAATCCTTAATTATTTACCGAACCAGCGATTAGATAATTCTAATTTTTCGTGCTAGTTAAATTCCTGCTACGTTGGATAAATTGCACAAAACCCAGCCGATTTCCTGCTAGTTTATTAGAATGTTGTTCGTCATTTTAGCGTGTTTGCTGGGCAATTCCGCCTCCCAGCTGTTAGAAACCCAGCAGGACGATTGGGAATCGTACCGTTTACCTGCCATTTACGCGCCGATAAAGTACCACATAAACCTCCAAGTACCCGAAGAGGCTCTAACCGGTGGAAACACTTCTTTCAACGGAACCGTAAGCATCTTATTCCAAGTCACCGAAGAAACTAAGAAAATAGTACTGCATTCTTTAGTGGATGTACAAAATGTATATTTATTCGCTAACACCACACCTGTAAGTGTATTAAATAAAACCGTCGATAGTACTAGAGAATTCCTAACGGTACTAACTACATCAAATCTGATTGTTAACGTTAACTACACGTTAACAATCGATTATAAAGCCGTAATGGATCCGAAGAGTATGACGGGATTTTATAGGAGCGAATATACAGTTAATGGTATTAAAGAGTACTTGGGTACTACCCAGTTCCAAGCGACGCACGCCAGAAGGGCTTTTCCTTGCTTCGACGAGCCTCGGTACAAAGCCGTATTTAACTTAACTCTACAGTACCCTGTGGGATTCACAGCCATTTCTAACACACCGATATCCTCCAAGTAAGTTACTCCAGTACTACTAAGTAAGTAACTTCAGTTGATTAATTAATTCCAGTACTACCACTGGTGATAGAGAATCAACAACGTTCAAGGAAACCCCCGTCATGTCGACTTACCTCCTCGCATTCACCGTATCGAAATTTTCTTGCTTGTATTCAGGCGGTACCATACCATTCGGAGTGTGCTCCAGGTCATCTCTGGTAACCGACAGGAGCTTCGCTTTGGAGTACGGTAGAACCATATTGGAGGCTTTCGACACCTGGACGAATTATCCATACGCTTCAACCGGCATCGGTAAAATGGACCAGCTGGCCATACCGGATTTCAGCGCAGGCGCGATGGAGAACTGGGGAATGGTCACCTACAGGGAGTACCTCTTGTTGTACAACCAAAGCTACACCTCGAACATCTACAAGCAGCGATTGGTGGCGGTGATTGCGCACGAATTCGCCCACATGTGGTTCGGGGACTTGGTCACCTGCGGGAGTTGGGACTACACGTTCCTCAACGAAGGCTTCGCCAGGTACTTCCAGTACTTCATGCTGAGCCAAGTGGCCGGCTTGGGAGATTTCGAAATCGAGAAGCAGTTTGTCGTTGAACAACAGCACAGTGCGTTCGTTGCTGATGCAGCTACGGATGCTAAGGCTCTGACGGCCGGAGCCTGGACGCCTGAGCAGATCAGCGGTAAATTCGATACGATTTCGTACAATAAGGGAGCTAGTGTTTATAGGATGGTGGAGAATCTGATTGGTTCCGATGCGTTCCAAGCGGCTTTGCGAAAATATCTGCTTAACAAGTAAGCTACTTGAGAAGAAGCTAATAGATGAAATTGGTATATTTTTCCTTCTACAGCATTTACAGTTCCACTACTCCAGATATATTATGGAACACGATAAGTACCGAAGTGCCAAGCGGTGTTTTACCTACAGGACTCAACCTAACTGTAATTATGAACAACTGGACGAACAAACCAGGTTTTCCAGTCGTTTCCGTTTCTTTAAAAGGCGACTCAATCACCCTGTCGCAGGTGAGTAGTACTCACCCGGTACTCCACCGAGTACTCACCAATTACTCTTCCAGAAACGATTCGTTTACAACTCCTCTTTCACCGACTCCACTCAATGGTACGTTCCGATTTCTTACGCTACATCTAACGGTACTGCCAACAAAGTATGGTTGAAGCCCAACGAATCGATAACTTTGAACAATATCAAATCGGATTGGATCATCGTGAATAACAATTCCACAGGTATTGTAAATCATAGAGGATTCACAAGGTACTAAGTGTTGCAATTTCCAGGTTACTACCGGGTACTGTACGATGCTCAATTGCGCTCTAAACTTGTCAAAGTTTTGTTGACGAATCACGAAACTTTAAGCGATTTAAATAGAGCTCAGCTCATAGACGATGCTCTAAATCTAGCTAGAGCCGGTCACTTACGTTACTCTGAAGCTTTCGAATTTTTGAAGTACCTCAAAAACGAAACGTCCTACTACCCGTGGTACGCCGCCATCACTGGATTGAACTATCTAACTCTACGATTGGGCCAAGATTCCGCATTAGGTCAAAAAGTAAACGAATTTCTATTGGACTTAGTGAACGATTCGATAGAATTGAGTAATTGGGAAGCGAGCATAGGACACGTGGACAGTCTAAAAACTCAATTACTCGCCCGTACCGCCTGCAGATTGGGACACGAGGGCTGCGCGAGCAAAGCCAAAAGCCTCTTCAACGAGCTCACGCTGAACTCGAAGAGCATAAACACCAATTTAAGGGACGTGGTGTACTGTAACGCCTTGAGGTACGGCAACGCGAGCACCGATTGGTACTACTTGTGGAACCGGTACCACGCCATCGATCAACCACACGAAAAACTGTACATCACGACGGGTTTGGGCTGCACGAAGAACGAGACTCTGTTATCTCAGTAAGCTGTGGTAGTACCGTTTCTGAGCGAATTTTTGTATTATTATGAATTTAGGTACTTGGATCAATCGTTTAACGAATCATCGATCATCAGAATCCAAGATATGGCGAGCGTTTGGTCAGCCGTGTACAGCGCCAGTACCGCCGGTGCTCGAGTGGCCTTTGACAAGTTCGCGAACAACCACGAAGCTATATTGAACCAGTAAGTTTCTAATTAATCGATTTACCAGCGATTAATCGATGAAATTTGCAGTTCCTCGGACGCGACTGCCATCTTTTCCAACATAGCTAGGAGGTTTAGTACTCAAGATGAACTGGATCGTGTAAGTACTAATAGTCATGTAAAGTTGTGATGCAGTAAAGTACATTTTAGCTGGAACATTTCGCCGGGGAACACCCGGGTAACTCCACCATAGCCAATGCAGCTAGTTCCGCTTTGGAAATAGTTAGAGAAAATTTAAAATGGCGATCGTCGATCAGCGGAGATCTCGAACGGTACTTCGGAATTGCCGGCCCGCCGTCTTCGAGCTCTTCTACAGTAGCTTCTATTTTGTTATTAATTTCGTTGCTTAGTTTGTTGTACAAAACTAATTAATGTGATATTATTAAATAAAATTAAAGTTGGTCTTCGTCATCTTCTTTTTCTCGAGTTTTTTGGTTACTATTGCAGATGGTTGTGGATTGAAACAAGTAGAATATATAAAACAATTTGTTTATTATGGGTACTAGCATTATCTAAATTAATATTTGTTATAGAATTAAAGAGATGGTTTTATTTGCGGTTGGATGCCGAAGTATGATTCCAATTTGTTTCGCATCCTCATTTTCAGTTTCAAATTGTGATTGGCCCTGTCCATAATGTCGTGCAGGAACTTCGACATGTCAGGATAAGTACTGACATAGCTTGTTAGATTTTCGAGCTGGAATAAAATCAAATCGTTGGTACTTCTACTACTAATCGTTGGTGTGTTCTGATTACCTTTCGGATTTGTTTCCTCGTCGATAACCGTTCGATTATATTACCTAAAGTGGATATAGCGTAATCATACGAACTGAAAAAAGCAATCAAATTAGTAACAACATTTTTTAACCAACTGTATAACTCACTGTTCCAAAATTTTGTTCATATTCTGCAAGAAGAAATCGAAGGCCACTTCCAAGCCGATGGAACTAGACATGTACACGGAATCCCAGATGATCTCGAATTCCAATGGAGTCACCGAACGTATCGAAGCATCCAAATAACTCGAATTCGAAACGAAATTAACGAAGAAAATTCGATTTTAAATTAAGGTGCACTTACAATTTCAAAAGTCGCTTATCTCTGGTGCATCCCAGGCTGTTCAAGATGTAGTAATTCTCGTGCGGTTGGTCCACCGTTTGGGATCTGTTCCAGAGAAACTCCCAATTGGAATCTTCGTCTTCTTTGGAGTATTTCAGGGTGTTGCAATAAACTGCCTGCCTTAAATCTGGATTGATGCTGCAAGAAATTTTGCCATTTACAATGCAGTTACAACGAAAAAAGAACACAATGAGGATTATAATAAAGATGGCTCCAAAGAAGCCAAGGAGAAGGCAAGTGTCCTTGAGGTAGAGTCTTGGAATTGATCCAGATTCTTTGAGCAAGGATCAGAGCCTTTGAATAGATCTCTAAGTTCTGGAAAAGTCAAGGATCTTAGTCGTCAGTGCATTGAAAATACAAGGACCATTAAAGTAGAGTGTAGGTACAGAACCTTGGAATAGACCTTCCTACCTGACATCATATTCTTTGAATTTTTCGAACAACTGCTTGGATTCGGCAATGCAATTCTTGTGGCCGACATCGCAGGCCGTGTTCCATATCATCGATAGTTTCAACGTTGTAAGGTGATCCAGGCGTTGCCAGTTGGAGATGTAGACCAGATTAAAAGGCGCATCGATCAGTTGCAGTACCATCGCTTTGAGGTGTTTGACGAGTTCCGAATCCTCGTTGAACTTCTCCATGATGCCGTTGAAGCCTCTGATGGCCGTCTCCCAGGTGAAATAGGAGGTGTCGTTTTGGATGAAGTTGATTAGATGGAAGAGTTGGTAATAGGTTATGTCCCCTGCTAGCGCCAGGTTAAAGGAATCGTCGATTATTTGGGCTCTGTCCAGTTCGGTGAATTGGTGGAAATCTGTTCTTAGAGCCTCGGTTAATCGGTGATAGAGAGTCTCGTCGTATTTAACCCTAAAGTAGCCTGAAATAGAGTACAGTTATAGTTACAATCGAATGCATTGTTGCTGGAAGAACCTGTGGAGTTGTGGTTGAGCAGCACCCAACTTTCACCGGCTCCTCGAAGGGTAACCGAATGGTTAGGTTTCAACCAAAACGTCCTGGACTTGTTGCTGCTGGCAATCCGGAAAGTAATGGGCACGAACCATCGGCCGGCCGTTTTGCCTTCGTTGAAGAACCTCTTCTGGAAATTACCAATAGGTACTTTAATCAAACGATCTAAGCCTATAATTTTATTGATAGTGCATCACCTGCGTTAGTCGCACATCTTTGCCCTCCAAGGTGGCTGTGATGAGAGGAAAACCACCCCTGATGATCCACTCGCGCATCACTTCATGCAGAGTGAAATTGCTCGGCAGCGATTCCGATTTGGTGTACAAGCTTAGAGATCTCCATAGGTCTCTCGGTCTGGTCGATTTGTAGGCGCTAAAATAATTGAGAAGAATCGAGTTTTATGAAGAAGTAAGTTAACATTTTTCTGCACCAACTTTTTTTTTAAATAATGCTGAAGGCCCTTTTGGAAGCTCTTCTTTCCGATGATGTTTTCCACCATCCTGATCACACTAGCTCCTACAATACAACTTTAAATATCGCCTAAATCTTCGCTTCATGTGGTACTCGCCTTTACTGTACGTTACGGTACTGAATCGATCCTCAATATCGTTCGGATCTTCGACATCGGACTCCAAAGCCTCCGGCGAAACGTATTCAGCATCTCTCAGGAGCGCCAAATGCTGCTGGCTGATGACCAGCTGCTTGTCCATCTCGTAATGTTCCAATCCTATCTTCAATACGAAAAATTTTACTTATTGCTTGCGCTGGTAATCAAGGCAGAGTCTTGGAAAGTTTGGTGAGCCAAGTTCAATGTGCACATAGAGGAAAATGATTGAGAAGGAAGTGTAGGAAGCGGAAGAAGATATTCCTGGTGCTTGGTGGAGGCAAAGCAAGAGCGAGGCGAAGTATCAGAGAAGATATAGTTACCAAGTTGAATAGATAATGTTGGAAATAAGTGGCGAAGCCTTCGTTCAAGAACAAAGAGTTCCACCAGCGCGTCGTCACCAAATTCCCGAACCATTGGTGAGCGAATTCGTGCGCTGTAATTTCGATAATGGACTGCTTCAGAAGCGCGGACGTGTCCGCTTCGTCGAACAAAATCATGTACTCGCTGCAACAGAAGAAGAACCGCATGGAGGAATTCGTAAATCGGATTATGGTGGTTTTGAACCCACTGGTAGGTGACGAAACCCCAATTCTCCATGGCCAATCCGGTGATTCCGGGAAACGCGAACTGCTCCAGCTTGGACAGGCTCGAGCTGTAATTGTAGCCCGTCCATTTGTCCATTGCTTGGATGATTTTCGCTCCGTACTCCATGGCTAGGTTCCTGTTGGGAGCGAATTTCTCCCGCGAGCAAGTACTCAAGACGTACCAGTCGCGTTTGGACTCGGTGCAGGTGAAACTCGATACGGAGAAGGCCAGCAAATAGGTCGACATGATGGGGGTTTCCTTGAATATGGAAGTTTTAGTATCGCTCCTGCAAAGAATACAACATCAATTTCCATCTTCTTCTATATGAAAAAGGCATTGTAACAGGAAAAAGAAGACCTTCCTAGTGATTAGTAAAGGTAGCTTGGAGTCTAGTCGGAAGTACTACTTTATCTCTTATTATAATAAAGTGTATAAAAGATGGAGAAAAAAGACTGACCTTATAAGAACTTGTTCTTCTTTGGTGTTGGACCTTGCTCGGTACCATTGCGGGTAGGTGAGTTGTAGAACAAACTTGGCCTTGTACATTGGTTCGTCGAAGCAAGGAAAAGCGTACCGGGCGTAGGTGGATTGGAATTGCGTTAAAATTAAGTACTCTTTGCCGCCGAATCCTCCTGGGTACTCGATCCTCGACACTCCCTTGACGTTATCCGTGGTTAATTCGCTGTTAAAGCAAATATTCAAAGTGTAGGGACTGTCCGGTACTAACACTTTCCCGGGCAGTATTAATTTGAGTATTTGACTGGTGCTGTATTGATATTGATATTGAAAAACGGTGTTTCTGGTACCATCGTCGATGGTGGCATTGGTGACGTTCACCATGGAGTTGAGTAGTACTTCTTGGGTACATTTCAGTACTACGATGTCGATTTTAACGCAACCATAGAATGTCGTGGAGTTTCCTTTGAGAGCGCTCTCCGGTATTACTAGATTTAGGCGGTACCTGGATGGTACTATCGTGTCAGGTAAACGATAGCTTTGGATCGTGTCGTTGAATTGTGTTGTGGAATTGAGCGTTTCGCGTGGAAACGCTGATGCTATTCCGAAAATTGCCAGTAGAATTGCTAGTGGCATTTTCGCGCTGGAAAATTCGATTTATTTGGTACTCGATACTGTATTAATAGGAATGTAGACAATCTACTTACCTGTGGAATTATTTTACAACTTATCGGATCAATTCTCGGCGTTGAATTGATGATGATTGTTGGAGTTTTCGGGTACTTAGTCGGAGAAAATAGTTTTTTGTCTGTTATTTATTGGAGGTTTTTTTGGCGGTATTTTATCGAAGTTTTCGCTAATTACGTGTTTCTCCAGTACCAAGTATGTCTAATGTAAAATAATACAAAAATCAACAACAATGACTATCGTGAATTAGTTGACTTATATTCCGCCTTTATACATTATGAAAATTTTTCGAAACAGCGACGGCGAAAAGGGGACTTTTCGCTTCGAAAAATTATGAGTTTCATTGAAAAAGAAAAACTAATCTGGCTCGAAGGAAGTAAGGTTGAGTAATTTATTTTTTTTGAGACTTTTTTGGTCCAAAACAGTTTTCTATATACTTGGAAATTGCTACAAAATGCGGCCAAATTTGCAGTTGCAAGTACAAGAATTAAATTAATTAATCACTGAAAGAAAATTGAAAATTTTTTTATCAATTCTACGCCCGTGACGAATTAGTCTCTCAGCGATGCATTTTTGCGAAAAATCGCGATCGCTCATCGAATAATTAGACGCGTTCGTAATGCAAAAAACACAAAAGAATTAATTATAATACATTTAGCGTATGTTCTACGGGATGTTTCATTTTGTTTACTTTCCTTTTTCACATTCGAATTCAAATTTTTGGCGACTTTATACCAGGGGATATTAAAATGTTCGTCGTTACACTCCGTTCGCCATCAGGATATCTCAGGAGAACCTTCTTAAAGCAGTGAATTCAACAAAGAACTCATTTTAAATCGAATTATCGATTATTTATGCTTGAAGCAGTAATTTAAATTCTTTATACTTTAGCCATACTGATGGTTTATTACTATCTCCTGATAGCGAACGGAGTATAAAAGTAAAAACTATTCAGCTACTTTTTTCTTCTTATTTTTAACAAACATTTTCCAAGTGTCACGTCAATTTTCTGTCCAGCAAACAAAGAACACATGACAGAATAATTTTTATATTGATTATACACATATTTTCAAAAATGGATCCCGAATTGAAGTCCAGGTTTTTCAGGTCAATGTAGGGACTTTCGCTTCAAAGAAATTACCAATAAAATTAAATTTTTATTCGTTTATTTCCAGAGATAGAAAAATTTCGAGCTTTCGACCCGACGAGAACTGGCTCACCTGCCCCACGTCCTGCTATGGGGCCAATTCCTACTTTATTTCCATGCGAAAAGAGCTCTACTATATCGGCAGAATGAAAATTAGGGTGAGTTTATTAAAGTAATTCCATTAAATCACGAAATACTGGCTAAATATTAGCTGGAGAATGCTGATATTAAGAATCTTATCTTGCGAGTAATGTGTTGCCTATCTATCAGGTGCAAAAACTATACATTATAGCTCGGATTATAAGAATAAAATCTACCCTGTATTATTTTATTGAAGGCTAGAAGAGAAAAACTGTACAGGCTCCTGCTGGATGATTTCAGTAGAGAAGAGAGCGAGCTCAGGAGCGTCGATATGGCCTACATCCCCACGTATTATTGATGCAAAAATAAAACCAAATTTAATTCGTCTTTAAATTTTTATTAATAAAACGCACCCTATTTTTTCAACAACAAAAAACAAACAATTAAAATATTTAAAAAAGCACCATATTCACTTTACTGGTTGTTTTCTTTGTACATAAAAACGTAATCAACAAAAAAAGGAAAATCATACAAAAACACAAAACAATATTAATAATAATAAAGTATACCTATTTTAAAAGCAACAAATCTATTCCTCTATAAAAATATTTAATTTTTTTCGCTTAATGTTGTAAAAAAAACGCAAAACACATTTATAATACTGAACCAGCAAAAGTAACTTTAATAATTTCAAGCGCAGTCCCTTTTAAATCTTTACTAATTAGGAACAAATTAAGTATGAAAAAAATGTAACATCTAAAATATACGATAAAATGTACCTACAACGTTAAAATATTTTGTTTACGTATAATTGTGTTTGCAAAACACGTTAAAAATTTCTAAACAGCATTAAAAACATTTTTCGACTAGCTGAAATATGATGAACAAAGTCGTTAGTTAAACTTATTATAAAACGATTCAAAAAATAATTTCAAATACGGAGAAAAATATAAATTCATCTAAATTTCCCTATTTTAATAGTTAATAGAATCCTGGTAAGCGCAAATGAAACTGTCCACTATGGAAATTAAGGCACTAAAAATAATCATTCGGGGAAAATTCGTCAATAAACGGCCGTTTTAAGTACTCAAAATATCACATATCATATTACTCGCAATTTCTTTTTAAGGCCTACATGATTGAAATATGTTTATTCTCTTTATTGCAAAAAATTGACCTGTAATTGTCAATAAATCGATTATCATTCGATATTTTTTCCCGCGAACATTATCTACATCTAAAGGGGCAACATTTTTCCGATTATTATCTACTAAAAAAAAGCACAAAGAAAAGAAGAAAATACCAAACCGAATATCGGTCGATCGAATTCATCCTTCAATGGAGGATAACACAAGCGCATCGAGTCGCCTAATTACCCATTTAATTGCCAATTAATTGCCAATTAATCGCCTCGATAGAACAGACGCTTGTACAGGTAAAATACAATATAAAAACGATACGTTCGATCAAACATTATTGCTCGTTTCAAACGATTTTTTTTGATTTTACTCGCACGCCTACCAGGTTAATTACTTAATTACTAATTTAAATAACACCAACGGGCAATTGTAAATAATTTATCTATGAGGTTTTTCTGTTAGCTTTAAAGTTATAGGAATCGACGACTTGCCAGAAATGCGATCGGTCGCCTGCTAGATATCGAAAATAATCGATAGAAAAATTGGCACAAACGCGTGAAAAAATGTATGCAAGTTTTTAAATATAAAGGACTTCAGTAAACAATAAATAGCAAAATTGACATTAATGACGTTTTAATTAATTGATTTTTTTAGTATACAGGGTGTCGTATAAAAAGTGTTATAGGACATTTTTTGTTCAAAATTATTTGTATAATCACCTCCTGAAATTTGGCGGTTTTTATAGTAGACACCCTGTAGAGGTGTGAAATACCAGTTACTTTTTCAGCGCGCTTTTAAATACACCCGCAGGCTACCAATCGCGTTTCGAACTAGCAAAAAAAAATATATTAAGTACATTATTTGTTTTCATCGCGATCAAGTCGGGGGGGGTTTTTGTGTGTAAAGCATATACCTATTACTACTATACCGCTTATAATGGTCTAAAACCCGTAGCAAACATTATACTGTGGTGTGCTTGCTTATTTATGCGCATGCTCAAGTGAAAGATTTCTTGATTGGCTACTTTTGACACAGCAAATGAAACGTCAGAAACATGCTAGCTTTTATTTTGGTATATTTTTTGATATATTTTTAAAATCGACTTTGACTTGCCTGTGTAAATATGTCAGGTTACCGAATTTAACCACGATTTCAAGTATTATTTTCCTTCTTTTCTTTTTAGGCCTCAGCTACTCGCTATTGGTCCTTTTAAAATTAACGCGCTTGCGTATAAACGACTAAGCACACCACAGAGGGTCGGATCTCTCTCTTTAATCGCTACGATTTTCTCTCATGGAATAGATAGGGAGTTAGCAGTACATTAGTAATAGGTATATGGTGTAAAGCGATCCACTCGAAACGTGCGAAAACCGGCCCTAAAGCAACACTTTGAGGCCGGCAAAAAGCCGTTACGTCCTCTTCGGCAACAACATGGAAGCCTCGTCGTCCTTGACGATCTGTATGTCGTCGATGGGGCTCGATTTCACCGAGCCGTTGGCGTCGCCGGCGACGCCGATGCCGACGCCGACCAGCCGCTGCGTCGGGCCGAAACCCATAGGCGTCGGCGCCGGGGCCTTGCAGGGGCTCGCCTGCTGAGCCGGCGTCGATGAATTCACGTTTATCTCCTGCTGGGATTTCCTGGTCGATTTGCGGCGCGGCGTCTGCCGACCGACGCTCGCGTCGTCCTCGTCCAACGAGTGCAGCAGCTACCGAAAAAAAATCGATTTTTGTTAATTTATCTCTTCGCTAAAACTAGCGAGAACGGGCGTTTTTTCACGACAGTAAATTTGCTACGAGAGGCTGCACTTGCAGTAACATTCTGCATTCAATGTTTTCTACTCTTAGATAATGATCTCTACTAATATATCATGTTCCCTACACCTTTTATAACGCTCCCTACTTTTAGATAACAATTCCTACACTTAGTTAGTGATCTCTACTCTTATGTCATGTTTCCTACTCTTTTATCATACTCCCTAATCTTAGTTAATGATTCCTACTCTTGGATAATGTTCCTTACTCTTTTATAAATGCTCCCTAATATTAGATAATGATCCCTACTCTTGTATCATGTTCTCTACTCTTTTACAAATGTTCCCTATGTTCTTTACTCTTTTATAATGCTTCCTACTCTTAGATAATGATCTCTACTCTTGTATCATGTTCTCTATTTTTTTATAATGCTTCCTACTCTTTTATAATGATCTCTACTCTTGTATCATGTTCCCTACTCTTTTATAATGCTCCCTAATCTTAGATAATGATCTCTACTCTTGTATCATGTTCTCTACTCTTTTATAATGTTTCCTACTCTTAGATAATGATTCTTACTCTTAGAAAACGTTTTCTACTATTACATAATGTTCCCCTACTCTTAGATAATGTTTGTCCTTACCAAACTATTACACTACTATCGAAACATTCCTCTTACTTCGGAAAAAAGGCTCGTTGAACGAGTCGTAGGAAAGTTTAAAGGGCGACTGTAAGGTAGAGAGAAAAAGGAAAAAAAAAATGGGATAATGTTCGTCGAAAACTACCTGATACGATTTTAACGATCGTTCCTTGTTCACAACGAACTGCTATAATTACGCCTCGCCAGACTATCGCTGGTTATGGTGCGATCGTCGCCGTCGTATTTCGTGTAAGTAACGATGAAATCTTCGCTGTAACTGTTATGCCGGAATATCTGGAAAACGGGGACAGGTAGAAGGGAAACGGGATAACCGAAGGATAACAGTAGGATAACGATAAAATTAGAAAAACCGGCTCACTTTATCGACTTCCTCGTCGAATTGCTGATCGCTTTGGTTCTCGCCCTTCTTCGAGCGCTCCATCAGAGTGGCCCTTTTCGCCGCCAAATACAAGCTGCGCTTGATCTTCAAATACAACACCTCGGTGCTCGCTCGCACCGTGTAATCCGGTATGAACGTGTGCCGCAACATCGAATCGATGTTGATCGATTCCAAACTGCCCATCGTAGACGGCGCCACCGACGGGGATTCTAAGCAAAAAAAACATACCGATTAATTAACGAGTATGATTAGAACGCCGCTTCCAGAATTATCCGGTACATGCGGTTCGTGGCTAGTAGTTAATTGTACTATAACGAATATTTTGGGAAAGTTTAAAAAAAAATGACGGAGTATTTTCCGAGATAACACCGAAAAACCAAAAAAAAATAAAACGTACCATTAATTAACGAGTATAATTAGAACGCCGCTTCCAGAATTTTCCGGTACATGCGGTTTGTGGCTAGTAGTTAATTGTACTATAACGAATATTTTGTGAAAGTTTCAAAATTCTCGGACAAATTCTCGAAGTATTTTCCGAGATAACACCGAAAAACCCAAAAAATACCAGGTTTTTCCAAGTATTCCGGTTTTTCGCCGAGAATGCGACTTTTCCGCGTTTCGAAACGTCGATTTTCCGATCGGGCGTGTCCCTTTACTTAGCATTAGCTACTTTTCACCGAAGAAAACGTCGAATTACGACCGTAAAAAAAAATTAAACTCAGCGAATGTCCGATGAACGAACGAACGAACAATCTCCTACAATAGTAGTACAGTTAGAGTAATCCAAATCAGTACCGATGCCGACGGTTTGGACCAACGCCTGCGTGCCGAAGTAGGTGAACGGGCCCCCTTCGAACATCAGGCTCTCCTTGCCGACGGTCACCTCGACGCGCCCCTCCAGGATGATGACGAAGAAATCGACGGGTTTCCCTTGATCGAAGATCACGTTACTGGGATCGGTGCGCCAGTCTTTGTTCTTCTTGATGTGTATGACGATGTCCTGCTTGAGTAGCCGGCGCAGGATCGTCTCGGAGATCACGTTGGGATTGAACGATTCAACGCCTACGAATTTGTATAATTACGTTAGTATGTTGATGTTAGATGGTAGATGAATGTCTCTTACTGGTGCTGAGGTATTGGAAGGCGGCTAGTGTGAGTTGCGGGCTGATTCTCATCTTGCTGGGCTCGCCTCGTTTCTCGGCGAACACGGTGAAGTCTTGGCGTCTTTCGGCCTGGTGGCGTTTCCTCTTCGAACGATTATCAGCTATAAAACCCAACCATTTTATTAGAATTTATCGGTGGAAACGAGGTTTAAAAACTTACTGAACACGTCCGTTTCGTCCATAATCTCCGCTTGGATCAGCTCCTCGATTACATCCTCGAGCGTTATCAAACCGATGGTTTCGTAGAAAGGATCCCCTTCGCCTTCGTTGTTCACTCGATGCACGAACGCCATGTGACCCTTGTTACCTATTACAAAACATCTACCATTATTCCCCAGTTCCAGTTCACGCAAAACAATCTCTCACCTTCTTTGAATATCTTAAACATGACGTCCAACGTGACGTCTTCGAACACGAAATTGCAAGGGTTCTGGTAGAATTGGCACAGCGTTTTTAGCGGCGTGTTGTCGTCGGGATCGACGAACGCCAGGTCTTTGATGTACAACATGGTGACGATGTTCTGCCGGTTGCCTTCGAAGACGGGTATGCGCGAGAAGCCGCTCTTCATGATCTCCGAGACGGTTTCGAAGTCCAATATGGCCTCGTAGTCGAGCATGAAGACGTCCTCGATGCGCGTCATCACGTCGGCCACGGATTTTTTGCACAGTTCCAGGGCGCCGCTGATGATGTTCACTTCGTCTTTGTCCAGCTCGTTGTTGCCGGTCGTCACCTGGCGATTTCGTGGAGAAAAAAGAGCTTTATTTGATGGTATAGGCGTTTGTTTCGCTTTTGACAGTTTTACATTGGTTGTTATGGAGTAACTAATGAGATTCTTTCACTTTTGACAGAGATACATTGGTTGTTATGGAGTAACTAAGGAGATTCTTTCAATTTGACAGTTTTACATTGTTGTTATGGAGTAACTAAGGAGATTCTTTCACTTTTGACAGTTTTAAATTGGTTGTTATAGAGTAACTAAGGAGTCTTTCACTTTTGACATTTTTACATTGGTTGTTATGGAGTAACCAAGAAGATTCTTTCAATTGACAGTTTCACGTTGTTGTTATGGAGTAACTAAGGAGACTGTTTCACTTTTGACAGTTTTACATTGTTGTTATGGAGTAACTAAGGATCTCAAAACGAATGATTAGTGTTAAAAAAGGGTGCTGAATATGAAACTGATATTACAGTTATCTCTATATTAAGATAATGAAATCTAAGTTTCTGCTAATTTTTAATGAATAATGTCGCCAGAAAGTTACGTCATAATACTCGTCTTTAAAGCACCAGATAAATCTAATGAATCATTTTATTCAAGAGATATTGCGTAAGAGTTTAAACTAATGCAAATTTTTGTTATCTCTTCGAGATCCGAATGGAAATTTTGACGGGTAAAAAGAAATTATTAACAACTTTGTATATTCCTTCACGGTCGTCATATGAAATTTCCGTTTCTGGGAAAAAATAAAACGGTAATTCGAAATTAACGATGTAATAGAATATTTGGAATTGTTGTTTGCTTTGCGCAACTAGCACGATTTTAAAACGATTAATTAATAATGAATACGAGTACTTTTACGAGTGTAATAACGTATTTATCTTAACTTAACGATTCGTATCATCTGAGTATATCGTATTCTTGATAAAGCAAATATACTCGAAAAAATATAAAATGTATGTCAAGTGGAAATATCGTAAGACTCCATAAGTAAACTAAATGATAATTTAATTCTTGTTATTTTACGTATAAGCTTATTAAAAACGAAATAATCCAGCAAATATTAATTGGACAAATTTGAATGATTTTAGTAATAAAATATTTACTAAAACAAATTCCTCGTCGAGACGTCGTAAATCACGCTGTTTATATTCAAATTAGAGAAATTAAAATTCGCGTTTTCGAACGCTTTTTTGATCCCGACGCGCCCGACCTAAATAAATTTCCCCGTTCGCATTGATAATTTTAATTCCGACCGGTCTAATTTTAGCCCGTTTTGGTCGGTTTCTAAAATTACGCAAGCCGTATCCGAATAACATCGTCATAATTTCGCGTTCGAAAATTTCCAACATACAATGTTTCGCAAAAATTATTGCTGGAATCGTTCATTCTTATTTTTTCTTAGAATAGGAAATTCCCCCTTCTATAGACCGAAACTGGTGATTTACTTCAAAACCGCTTCAATACCCGATATTTTTAAAGTAAATTAAAAACCTCCGTGCCTGAATTTATCATCTCCGTACGCCACTGGTTTTAAAATAATCGCTTTATTCAATAAAACACGAGCACCATAATCAAATTGTCCCGTTTTGTATCCATTTAGGAGGTCTCGAATGTCACACGCTTCAATTTAAACGATACATTAACGCAATTATCTCTGTTAATACGAAGATGAATGTCGACATTACGCCAGTGGCGCCCGCTCCATTTTTGTTCCCCTCCGATAAATGTAATTACTAAAGAGATAAATATTATTTTGTGCCAGCCTTGGACATTTTACGGATGCGATTATAATAATTGCGTGGTAATGTTTTCCGTTTTGTATCAAACAACTTTATCAACCAGATGGCGTTGTTTTCGATAAAACAGCTCATCAAAAATCGAGTAAATAATAACTATTAAATAAACCATCAACATCAATCGCCTACCTTGATCAATTCCTTCAATCTCTCCCTGTTGTAGACACTTCCGATTTCCTCTCCGAGGATGTAATCCAATATTTTCGCCACCGGGTAAGCCAATGGAAACGTCAATAACATGACGAATTTCGTCGCGTAGATGGTTTTGGCGCCGATTGCCAAACCGTGACGGGAACAAATGGCCTGGAGTATCAGAAAAACAACTTTAGATAACCAGGAGAAATAGCCACAAGCACTGAAACACCAGGAGGTTTCACAGGAATAAGGAATAATGTAGCACCAGGTGGTTTAAGAGGTCTATGATACAATGTAGCACCAGATAATTCAAGAGGACTAAGGAATAATGTAGCACCAGGTAATTCAAGAGGACTAATTGTAAGGAATAATGTAGCACCAGCTGTTATAGGGAGAATAAGATATTTAATGCAACACCACAGTTGATTCAAGAGAACTAAGAGTTAATGATTCAAGAGGACTAAATGTAAGGAATAATGTAGCACCAGGTGATTGAAGAGCACTAAGGAATAATATAGCACAAGGCGATTCAAAAGGACAAAGGAACAATCCAGGTGGTTAAAGAGGAAGAAGGCACAATGTAGCACCAGTTGATTCAAGTGGACTAAGGATTAATGTTGCACCAGCTGTTATAGGGAGAATAAGATACTTAATGTAACACCACAATTGATTCAAGAGAACTAATAGTTAATGTAGCACCAGGTTTTCCAGGAGGAATAAGAACCAACGAAGCATCAGGATGATATAGCGATGAATACACTAGATAATAACAATGATTTACTTGCCTGCGGTGCGATTTCGCCGATCAACACGATGGACAGCGTGGAGAAAATGACGGCGATGAATCCGGACGTGAGATCGTCGAGGAACAACGTGTAGATCGAATTGATGAAAACGTTGCTCAGCAAAATGGAGCAGAGCAAATAGTTGCCGTGATTCCTCACGGGCTGTATGGCTTGGGCGTACCGCTTCTCGGCGCGCGTACCGATGTTGCTCAATATCTTCAAATCGGTCTTGTCCAACGACATGAGGCCGAGATTCAAGCCGGAGAAGAGAGCGGAGAACATCAGGCACAGGATGATGATCATGATGGAACCCCACAGGGGTATCGGCTTGTCGAAGGACTTGACTTGGTGCCAGAACTCGGTGCCTTGGAGATCGAACAGCTTGTTGGGGCCGTCGTCGGCGTCTTTGGCGCAAATGTAGTAGGTTTCTTCGTAGCCGCTCAACGGCGGCAGGTTCAATGTCACCAAGGCGGTCTCGCTGGTGAAACTCGAATTCTCCACCTGCGTATTAACCAACGAATCAATGGTAGATACTAGATGCTGTAATATTTCTTACGCTGAATACGCTGCTTATTGGAAATAAGCAATCGCCTTGTTTAGTGGTGAAGGTGATCAACATGGATTTGGTCAGTCCTTCGCCGAATATACGGAAGAGGTTATCCTTGTAGGCGAGGATCACCGGGACGCCCTGTTCGTCGAAATCCGGATGTTTGTAGGCGTGCTCCAGACGGAGGCCCAATATCTTGATGGTGTTTTTCGTTCCATTATCGAACGAAGGTAATTGCTGCGGCAGTTCTCTTCTTTGAAGAGATAAACTGGGAACAGAAAATTTGTCGAATTTCGATACTCGTTCGTCTAATAGTATGTGCTTTCTAAATCGAATTTCTGTGCGTCATTAGTTGAGACGTTCAGTGAATAAATTTAGCGGATAATGAACTTTTTATTGTTGTAGGTTTGGTGTAAATTTGTGGGTGCAACAGAGACGAATTCCTTTAGTTGCATATAAAAGATGAACAAAGGGCGATATTGGGGAATTGCAAGTTTCTCATTCTGGACTCAATAGAATTGATCAAATTGCAAACGAATTTGCACTTATCCAATGGCCCATATTCGACCCATATTTGATTGAAATTTGGCAGATTATTGAAATTTGACAAGATTTGATTGACATTTAACAGGATTTGGTTCAAAATTTGACAAGATTTGGTTGAAATTTCACAGGATTTGTTATAAATTTGATAGGATTTGGTTCAAAATTAACAATATTTGATTGAAATTTGGCAGATTATTAAAATTTGACAAGATTTGATTGACATTTGACAGGATTTGGTTCAAATTTAACAAGATTTGGTTGAAATTTCACAGGATTTGTTTTAAATTTGACAGGATTTCATTGAAATTTGACAGATTACTGTAATTTGACAGAAATTGGTTCAAATTTGATAGGATTTGATTGCAATTTAACAGATTATTTAACAGAATTTGACATAATTTGCACAACCTGTTCTCTACTGGATATTGGTAAATATTTAAAAGTGACACATTTATCTCCAAATAAAAGCTTTGAAAACCGCTAATCAGATAAGATTATACACAGCGTTAAAGATTAGTAACTGTATTATAAATCGTATGGAAACTACAGAATACTTATTTAGAACAGAATATGTTAATTATTGATTTTTCGCACCCTCGTAAAAACTGCCAAGTTCCGAGAGTATTTCTAAGATTAGATCATTCAGATTTAACCAGTTCGAACCAGTTCGACCGAATCAATTATATTACCTGAACATTTTCCAATAGGTCGGCTGGCAAAAATTAATACAACAGAGTACACAGACAATTACATAATAGTATTAGTAAACAGATAAAAGCACGATATCAATGCGTTATATTTACCCAAAGAATTATCGTTATTTACCTTCGGAACAGTCTTTAATTATTAAAATAAACCGCGCTAAGCGCCCCAAAAACAACTTACTCGAATTGCTTATCAGCGGTAACGTTTATCCGGATATCGGGCCCCTGATGGTACCACCGGTACGCCAGGCTCTCGCGAAAATCGCCGATCTTCCCGCCGAAGTCCCGCACCTGTCTCGGCAAGCACAAATAAACGTCGCCCCGCAGGGCCCGCGGCACGCTCAGCTCGAACAGCCCCGAGCCCCCATCGAACGTTTTCACAGCGCTGATGTTGTACGGGGCGCCCAAATAGTCCTTGCATTCACTATTTCTCGCCAATCGGTCCTTGGTCGCTTTGATCCTGAGGCCGTCGCGGACGTTCGAGCCGCGCACCTCGAACGTGATCCTCTTGAAGTCATCGAACACGGGGGGTTTCTGCGTCAGCTGGTGGAATTCCGCGGGGGGCGAAAGGTCGCCGGCGGCGACGAGCCCAACGATCAACAGCAACGATGCGAGCCTGGCGATTATCGGGAAATTGTCGATGGAGCGAGGCAAATATTTCGCCATGTTACAGTTAACTGGTTTGAATGGCAATCAATTGTTGAGGTTTATATAACCTCCATGGGTTTTGACGTTTGCTGTCAATTCCGCGCGGCGTTGACAGGTCGACGGTTGAGCGTTGAAATATCGGGTTTTTTAGGTGGAATAATCGATTTTTAATGCGATTTCTACTTTATTTTAATTAGTATACGAGTTATTTACTTATTCCCTTTCGTCAATTCAATTTTGTAGCTCACTTTTAAATATATAAAACTGGCAACAATGTTTGTATGTGCCAAATCGATTTGCACTCGATAGGCAACCATTTTAACACTTCAAAATTGCAATTTATTACACAATTTTACAAGTATCGAATTATCACTACTAATTTTACTATCTTTACCTTCTTTAAACCTGTAAATATATTATATAATATCCAAAAAATGTTACCAATTCTGTACAATTCTTCAAATAAACCCAACAATATTTAAACAAATAATCCATTATATTACACATCTAATTACATAAATACATCCAGTCTCAAAAATATCACAATAAATCATAAAAATAATCCAAACCTTGGCCCAACTCCCATATGGACACTCCGGTGTTGTAGCTCTTGAACAACTCCAATCTCTGGTTGATGGAATGCAACGTGGGATAAAACACGATGTGCTTCTTACCGTTCCTGTCTTTGTACTCGAAAAAGTGCTCCGCCATCTCGCGATTGTACTCCAGCTTGCCGTCGAACGCCCTCAATCTGTCCAAATACTCGTGGGCCACGATGGGACTCCCACCGTTGGTGTGGTAATCGTTGCCGTAGAAATTCAACCCGGCCAGTATTTTCCAGCGTTTGGTGTCGTCCGACGTGAGCGAGGCTATGCAATTCTCGATCCAAGGCAATGGGGAATTGGGCCCGGGCGAGCGGGGGCTCGAGAAATCGTACGTCATCAGCGAGAAGGCCGTCACGTGCTCGTAGAGCGCGTCGAAGTGTTGATCGGTGAATAAACCCGAGGTGTCTGTACCCCGTTTCGGCGGTATCACCAGCACGGTTTCCAGCCCTTCGATGTTCAACGAATCGCACAATTCTTTCATGAAATTGATCAGCACGTCGTATTTGAGCAATCGCACGATGGTCGACCACACTTCCAGCACGTACCCGTTGAATTTGTGCTTTTTGGCGGCTCGAACGAAGGTTCTGATGAAGGCTTTCATTTCGTCGTTGCTGGATAGGAGGTGGGTGTAATCTTGGTTGCTCCAGCCTTCGAATAGGACTCGAGGGAGGATTTTTAGGTTGCGTTCCCTGCCGGCGTTCTTTACGGCTACCATCCAGTCTTTATCGACGTCGTGGGTGCCGGTGATTTCGTACTTCTCGACGCCCGTGCGCCTGATTTGCAGCCACGCGGGGCTGATGTGCGTGAATTTGTTGCCGAAGATTTTGGCCACGTCGTAGCCGTGGTTGTTCCACGGTGTAACGTAGCCGAGCACCATACCCTGGAAACTGTAATCGTCCACTTCCTTGTAGAACGCCTGCTGGTTGTTGATTATGTCCTGGGCGGTGACCTTTTCGCTGACCAGATTCTTGCTGAACACGTCGTAGTCCTGGGGGCCTTTTTTCGCTTTGATTTCGGCCGCGGTCGTGTTTTTCTGCTCGGTTTTTTCTTTGGTTTTCGGATTTTTTCGCGATAATGTTAGCTCGGCGGTCGGTAAACACGCCAAAATGACGCTGATGTACACGAAATCGTGCAAACGTACCTTCATTGTTGTTGTTTTCGTTAATTAAATCCAATTTGTTGGTCTTTTTGCCGAGAAAATTTCGAACATAACCTAACTCTTAAACGTCAAAGTTGAAGTTTCTGTTTTTTTTTTTCGATTGGTCTTTTATATTAAAGTTATTCAGTTTCATACCTATTGACACTTGTCAAATGATTATGGCTACTAAAGCTATTTAGCCCAAATATTCATTACTAAATAGGTAATATAAGTAACCATGATAAGATAAAAACCATAGAAATACAATATTATATAATAATTATCTCCAATATTACTCCATATTACCCCCTTTTATTATGCAACACCTATTACATTAAAGTTACTCTAATACCAGTGCGCTATTTAGAATATATCCTTTTCTGTAAATATTTAATTAAACATTAGGTATTTTAGTAATAACTAACGTTGTAATAATGCATTTTAATTATAATGATACCGAAACAAAATAAATAAACAATCGAATAAGATATCGCAATTTATTTTACTCTCCATCGACAACCTCTTTAGATCTCCCTCTAGTATAATAAAATTGATGCCGACAGTTCAACGACGCCACGATCAGTTTCTGGAAATTTTTGTGCACGTTTTCGTTGTCCAAGCAAATCGCGCCCCCGCTGACCTGCACGTGCGAGTCCTGAAAGACACCAATCGATTAATCAATTAACATTTACAGCTCATTTTACCGTTTGCTGGAGATCCCCGAAGCAGGTCCAATGACTATCCGTGGAATTCGTCAAGGCCCAACTGGACGAATCGTCCATCGACATGAAGGTAACGCGCGGGTTCTCAATTTTGACGCTTTGAATGTTGGCCACCCTGTAAACGTTAACATCGTAGATTAAATAAGAAGTAAGACAAATGGATATTCACCGGGGTTTCTTGTAGCATCGAGGCTCCAATCGTCTACCGTACGTAGGAAACGCCTCAACGTAGAGGTGCTCCTTCAAGTACATCGTCAGCACGCTGGAGTAGAGCTCCTTTTTCGCCTTGAAGGATTTCGCAACGCTCAGAACAGTCACGCTCTTTTTAGTTTTAAATATCTCGTTGTTTATGAACGGTCGTCGGTGTAAGTCCAATCGATTCAACGACTTGTACAAAATCGGCACCGATTTCTTCATCGACGTGCTGATCCTCGAATCGTAGATGTTCGGATTGAGGTTCGAAAATTGCCGCCCTAATGATCGGTTAATGGTGATCTTCGTAAAATAGTTTTGACTTACCAAGGTTGTCCAAAGCGTCGACTTTGAGGGACAAGCAAACGAACATGTGGCCGGTTTTGGCGGCGCTTAAAGGCACATCGTAGATGTTCACGAACGGGTAATGGGGCACCGAGTGCTTCAGCCAGAAGGCTCCGCTCGCGGTGAAACCGATGACCCCTTTGGAGATGCCTCGAGGCTTCGGGTTTCCGATCACGTAGGGGGGTTCGTCGTTGTAGAAGAGGTAATTTTTATCCTGCGTGTCAAGGCGATGTTTTATGGTGAATGTTGAGGATTATGCGGGGGGGATACATACCGAATCTAATCTAGATAGCGTTGTCCATAACATCGATGTGGCTTTATCGTTGATCGATACATCCGGGTAGACCCATTTTTGAACATGGGACGTCATGTAGATGTAAGCTAATCCCGTTTCTACGAGATTATTGGAATCTTTCAATTGCGGAATTTTGTATATGACAAACCTGCAAAAATCGGTAAAAAAATCGTCCTGCTGGAGTCTTAAACTTACCAATCGACTGATCGATTGTTCGGTCCATAGCAACACATGGCGTTAGAGCGGGCGCGCAGGAAAAAAATCAGGAACAGTATAAAATGCATTTCGGTGCTTTCCGAAATCCGACTGATTGCAAGCGATAGTTTTACCATTTTCGTTCGGCAATTTATCGTACTGGAAAATTAAAAAAAAATGGAATTCGTTGGAATAGCTCGATGATTAAGATTGCAAGTTGTTATACCGTGCAATATAATCTGTGAAATTCGACATTCTATTTGTAATATTACACTCTTCAAAATTTTTGATTATCTTGGGAATGTTATCGACATTTTTTTGGCGGATATTGGAAGTTTCAATAATGTAATGGTACTATTTATTGCATGTACTACTTCTGTTGTTTTTAGGAGTTCCCTAAGTTCGAAAATTGTACTATAAAATAGAGCTATGAGTACTGTATACTGTGGTAGGTAGGTACTAAAGATCTATAAGAGCAGAGGACTTTTATATCATATAAGCTGTAATTCCCAAAAAAACTTAATAGGATTTAACAGTTATTAACAGTTATAAATTTCAATAATGTTTAAATGAAAATATAAGTACTGATCTGCATTATTAGTAATGTTCCATCTACCTGTTTATAGCTTGGTACTTTTTATTTTAAAGATTATTACCGGATTTTAAAGAGATCTAATTGTAAAGCATTATAAAATCTTCTCTTATATCATCGATAGTAGTATTCACATTTTTTGTATTATTTGAACGGATTAAACCACAACTTTCCTATCGATTTTATCAATGAATTAACAACTAAATATATTAAAAAAATCAATTTTATTAAATTTGAATACCACACAAACGGAACGCTAACAATTTAAATAATACAGAACGAATTTATCCACATCTAAAAAAATTAATTTATATTTTGCTGCTTGTTGGACGGCTTCGGCGGTTTAATCTTGTGCTGAACAGGCTGAACCTTCTCGCAAACGGTCGAGTCCAAAATCAAATTTTGGAAATTCTCGTAAACGTCCTTGTTCTTCAGGCAAATCGCGCCGCCGCTCCTGTGGATGTGCGCGCGCTGAAACAACCCCGAATCATCTCCGATTAAATCGCATTATAAAGCAATTAATAATTAAATACCGTTTGCTGGAGATCTCCGAGACACACGATGCTGGAATTCGAATTCGTTATCGCCCAATTCGACAGATCCATCGACGTCATGAATTGCGAACCGCTCTCATTCATCCGAATATTCTCGATATTTTCGACGCTGTAAGCATAATTACTGTACAAGAAGAAACGCCGGTGAAACACTCTCTTACAATAATTTCTTGTTGCATTGGGATTCCAATCGTTTGCCCGATCCCGGCCAGCTCTCCACCAACAAGTTGGACTTGAGCATGGTGGCCAGAACGTCCGAGTACAATTCCTTGCCGGCCCTTCGGAATTTCCCGAACGATATGAAGGTTTCGTTGTTTTTGGTGGATATCAATTTTTTGGAAACGAAAGTGCCCCGGTTGATCACCATGTTCCTGGCGGCTTTCACCAATTGGGGCACCTTCTTCTGCAGCTTCGGGTCCACGTAGTGCGCGTAGACCCTCGGTTGGATGTAGTACAGTTGGTAGCCTGTCGATTGGATTTATTAGTCATTCGATGGGAAATGTGTTAAAAGGAGTTACCGATGTCGTCGAACGTGGCCAATTCCAACGACAAGCAAACGAACATCTGGCCTAATTTGGTGGCATTCTTTGGTATTTCCGATGAATTCAAAGTTGGGTATTCTGGTACAGTGTGTACTAACCAAAATCCTTCTTCCGAATCGAACGAAACGACTCCTTTGGTGTGGCCCTTTAACATGCTGGCTTTTTCTTGAGGAGGCTCGTTGTTATAAAGCACATAATTCGACTGAAATAAATACAAAAAATTTGCAATCAGACGCTTGTATTAGACGTTTTCTTCATACACACCGAGTTTAATCCAGATAACGTGAGCGCTAGCATGGATTCATTGCTGTTTATCGATACATCAGAAGGTATCCAGCTGGTGTTTTGCGATGTCATGTAAATGTAGCCTAATCCGTCGTTTATCAGTTCATCGGTGTGATCTATCTGCGGTATCTTATACACTATAAACCTGTGTATAAAGAGCATTAAAAACGAGATAGCAGCGATTTGAAAGGAACTCGCTAGAGCTTACCAATCGACGGGATTGTTGTCCTGATCGATGCAATTGAAGGCGCTCGCCGTGGCTAGAACACAAAAAAATGCGATTGATTTGGAAATCGGATTCATTGTGCCGGTGATGATATTGCTGCTTTGACTGCTGCTGGTGATCGTGATCTGATTTTCCACATCGATCGGACGGGCTTTTTATATTCGACAACGGTTTTTTCTCCCGGAATGTTTCTTTGTGATGTGCGAACGGCCAAAAAAATAGATGTGTCGGTGATTAAACGGCGAATTGTTGGTACAAAAGAATAGTTTCGGACGGACTCATGTGTGGCGAAAAATTCGGTTGATTCACGGGCGAACCTGGAATGCGCCTAAGATACGGATTGGAATATTTTTTTTTGCATTGGAAACTCGTTGAAATTACTTATTGGAATTTCGCTATCGGTTCTACGTTAATTGTGTTATGCAACGCCTATTTTCTTATACTATTAACTGTTTGTTTTTTGGTTCGATAAAGCTATAAAATTAGGGATTAATATTATCTATGTAGGCTCTTTCAAAATGCACTAATCTTAAATAATAGTACATTTCCTTTGCATTGAATCAACAAACAATTAGTTTTCATAAACCACAGTAAATAAAATTGCGAATTCTACTTTAATAAGGAAAAAACAAAGCTATAATTTACGTGATTCTTAATCCATAATTCCTGAAACTTTCGTTCCCTTTTGATGTGTGTTTGGTAAAGTCGATTATCAGGAAGAAAGCAATACATTTTGTGATAACGATAAGAATAAAGTATATAAACAATTTAATTTGAATTGTAGATGTAGTAACAACGTTTACACCAAAATCTCGAATACGCGTGTGGACATAAATTTATAAGTAATAAGGCACTATTTACCCGGATTATTCCCGGTAATGTAATAAACAAAATTAATTCTCTGTAATATAAATTGCAATTTAGAGCGTTTGCGTATTTATACAACAACTGGCCTAATTATCATAGTGTAAATTTAGCCGGTATTTCACATTGCAAAATCTTTTGGAATTGTCGGGTTATTTTGCAACAAAGATATGACTGAACCTGCTAAACCGCACGATGGATTCCAAATCCAATTTTCATACACCAATAAAGGTCAGTATATACTTCATAATTAAATTACAACAAATATTTTTATATATAATTTATTCTTATTTTAGATACATACTGGAAAAGATCAATAACATGTCCAACAGCTCGACAACTCATCATATTGCTCATACTTTTATCCACCGCAGGATTACTAGGATTTGCAATAAAAGTCTACCTAGACTCAACCCAAGGTAAACCATATTTACTAAACTTACACTCAATATTCACCAAATAAATCCTCACCCTAGATGAACCAATCCTGATAACAAGATTCGACTGGTTGGCTCAACCTCCCGCCACGCCAGTATCCACCATCAAAACCCCATTAGCCTTGGTAATAATCCACCACACGGCTACATCGCCCTGCGACAGCAAACCTCAATGCATCCTGGCAACCAGGAACATCCAGGAATACCACATAGCGAGCAAAGGCTGGAGCGACATCGGCTACAATTTCCTAATAGGCGGCGACGGCAGAGCCTACGAAGGAAGAGGCTGGACGGGCTGCGGGGCTCACACCATAGGCTACAACAACAGGAGCCTGGGCGTGGGATTCATTGGAACCTTCACTGTTGATCAACCGGCCGAGAATCAGTTAAGAGCCTTCGATAGGTTGACGAAAATGGGAGTCGAATCGGGTTATTTAGTAGAAGATTTTACTATTTTTAGCGCCAGTCAATTGTCCGGTACTAAGAGTCCTGGTGAAGCTTTTGCAGATGTTATTAAAACATGGTCTCGCTGGAACAATTATTCCATCGCTACTAATTAGTTTTGTTTAGTTTAAAGGATAGGTTTGTTATTAGAATTTTATGTAATACCTACTACGTTGTTTTTGTATCAATCTAATTGGTTTTTAACGCGACAAAATCGGAATTTTCCAGCCATTTATTTACGCAGCAAGTACTCGTACACATGTAGTACTTATTGCCTACATTTAAGATACTCAAACAGGTACTTCCCGCGTATTTAGCGTACGATACTCCTTCGTAGATAACTAAAAGTTGGTAGTACTTCTTAAAACCGATAAGTACCACCCGATTTCCGCGATCAATCGATAACAAAGCCAGTGGGAACCTGTCCACCTGTGCATCATCGGAAAACACGCGCGTCAAACGGAGGTCGAACGCGCTCAGTATACCGAGTACCGAAGTACGACCGGTCGTGGGGCGCGCACCGCTCTCGAAACCATGCTCAAGGTTCGAATTCAGTGAGCTGTGAGCGGTGATGCAGCAAGAAGAACCTCCCGGCGCGGATCATGGACGAAACGAATGCTCCGAGTACCAGGTAAACCAACGTTTTAGTACCTACTAGAGAAGGATCGAAGAGTTGAAGGGTATCTATTGTACTAATGCTGGTAATAATTTCCTTAGGTGGACTGCGTTAGCATCGGTTCGTGCGAGGATAGCGACGAAGGGGATGATTCTATCGAAGAATACGTGAAGAGCAATAATGCTATAGTGGTGGATGATAAGCCTCACGTGCCTTATTTCGGTAGTGTGTCCGTTGTGAATTCGAATGAGGTGCATTTCGGGAATAAAACGGTGTATAAAGGACCTGTGACCATCAAGCAAATCGTGTGTCCTAATGGCATTAGCGAATCTACGAAGAATGGTTCCATTAAAGCCGAGGAAAACGGGAATGGTGAAGTTAAGGAGAGAAAAATCGAGGCTGATAATGTAGTAAATAATACAATAAATAAAGGTATATTAGTATACATTGATCATACTGTTACTACATATTTTGTTTACTTGTAGGTTTCATAAGCATAGAGTTTTTGCAACACAAGAAATTAAAATTAACAATACTGTTTGTTGTTATAACGATTATATCGATTGCTACAGTTACTGCTGTTGTTGTATCGAGAGGTCCTTCGAAGATTTTGGATCAGATAGTTGTTAACAATGGTGATGATGATATATCGCCTATAAATTATTCCTCAGGTAAGGTAGATGTCCAGAATAATGCAACTTTGCGCTGGTATTTCCGGCGAATGATACGTTTTCTTCGAACGATTATTATTTATTTTAATTGGGATTAATTATTTTTCTAACTATAGGATTTTGCGGTACATGTGCGATAATATTTGAGTTCAGGGTTTGAAATTTACGATTTTATGCAAAGATGCGAACGAATCACACATGTATGCAATGTATAAACAACCTTGAGATTATAACGTTAAACAAACTTGTTATTTGATGTAATATTCCATCGAATTAATCAAGAAAAAATATTATTCGGAATAAAAATGCACGCGTTGACGAGTAGGTACAACCTTATTACAATTGCAATTTATTAAATGTATTAAACACACACCGCGATAACGAATTTCTATAAACACAAATTATTTCAATTATTTACGAACGAAGGCTATTTTCATACCAACGCATCTTATCTACATCTAATTAACATATCGAACAAAACGTGAATTCCGTGTAACGATTTAAATATCTACCAAAACTAATCCAACAGCAAGTTTTCGGTTCGTTGACATTTCCTATAAATAACTCCCTCGAATTCCCCTATTGATATCTCCGTTATCTTGTATAGTCTCATTTTCATTACAAGTTTCGATTAATTATAACGTTTATACCCAATTAACAATCAAAAACAAATTCATTTCATCGAATATTTGTACTTTACTGCGTTACCGGTGGCGTAACTTTAGCCACGGCGTGTAAATGTCAAATTTGACATTTATTTTCATACTCACAAAAATACGCCATGGCTAAAGTTACGTCACCGGCAAAATAAAGAATAACGTCGTAAATATTAATTTAGAGTGATTTTACCGCCTTTATTACCTTCCACAGAGCGTTTTAAACTCATACTTACCGCAATTTTCCCAGATTCGAAGGACCTGCTGGGCGATCTGCGGCTGGTGAAGCGCCTCCTCTGGCTGGCCCAGCCGGCCTCGGCGCCCCTAAATCGCCTGAAACTGCCCGTCTCCTTGGTAATAATCCATCACACGGCGACCGAGTCCTGCCAGTCGCAGGCGAAGTGCGTGTTCATCACGCGCTACATCCAGACCTTCCACATGGAGAGCAACGGCTGGAGCGACATCGGCTACAACTTCCTCATCGGCGGCGACGGGAGCGTGTACGAGGGCAGGGGCTGGCAGTTCGAGGGGGCGCACACGTTGCATTGGAACAAGGCCAGCATCGGCGTGGCCTTTATCGGTACCTTCAACGGCGCCGTGCCCGCCGATAACATGATGGTGGCCTGCAGGAAGCTGATCGAGAAAGGTGTGAAGGACGGTTATTTGACTAAGGATTATCAAATTATGGCCGCCAGGCAATTTTACGGTACCGAGAGTCCTGGTAAGGTGTTTTACGAGCACATCAAGGCCAATTGGACGCGATGGACTGATTTGAAAGGGTTGAAAATCGATAAAAGTGCGATCGAGTAGAAACTTTTTTTTCTTTGCAACAAAACTGTGATTATATTTTTAAGTTTTAAGTTTCGTACAACCACAAGTACTAGTTGTAGGCTCAAGTATATGCAAATAAAAATAAATTGCGTTAAAAAAATCTCGTTTATTTTACAGAGAAGATATAAATTCCAGGCGACCGGAATAACCGGAGCATTTATTTTAATCCGTCCGGTCGGATTCCGCTCCGTCTCTGTCGCAAAGTAGAACAAAGAGTAGGTATATTCGAAAGTGCCGGGTAAGGATAGATCTGAAATCGGCCGAGCGGAGGGGATGAAAACTGCAGAGTTTCATCAGCATCTCCTCCTTTCCACAGTTTCCACCCTCGACGGCAGTTTGTTTACAACCGGCCCGCTTTCAACTTCAATACCATTACACCTCCCGTATTTTGTGTTGGTAATTCCGTCGCTCATTACACCATGTACTGGGGTTTGATCGTTTGCGCTCTATTTATTCCCGTAAAATTCTGCACCGGGAATATCGGTTTAAGATGCGACATGATACCGGAAGGCGTCACGTCTCCCAAACAAAAACAAAACACCAGATACAAAATCGAAATATCCGGCAACCCTGAGTACTACATACCCGGCGAACAATACACAAGTAAGTAATCCACGAGGAATTTCTAATCAATACACCTAACAATTCCATTAGTATTGTTAAACAGCGCGTCGAAATCCAATTCGAAGCAACAATTCACGCACTTTATACTTTCCATCACCAACGATAAATACCAGAGAAACAACAACGGAGACTCCAACTCCGTGGGGTCCCTGCAACTCTACGGGGACACTCTGACGAAGTTCAGCGACAGTTGCCAGAACGCTGTGGTGCAAACCGACTCGCAACCCAAATCCGAAATCCAGGTAGATTCCTACTCGCACATTCCAGCTTGAATTATCAGTTTTTTCCAGATACTTTGGATGGCTCCAGCCAGAGTGAGCGGCTGCATTAAAATCCGAGCGACCGTAATCGAGTCCGTCGATGTTTGGTACAGCGAAGACACTCTGTTAACTAAAATACTATGCGCAGAATCGCCGGATAGCGACGATATCCAGCCCAAGATACTCAAGCATTGCTGTACTTGCGACGAGGCTAAATACGAGGTAAATATCCCGCCAGAAAACCATCTAGGATTGGTGCGGTTGAGTAAAATCCCACTTCTGATTTGGAGTAGGATCGTGCTGGGTTGGGGTAGCTTCACAGAGTTGGTTTGCAGGTGATTTTCGAGGGTTTGTGGTCGAGGAACACGCACCCCAAGGATTTCCCTTCGGAGGGGTGACAGACGAGGTTCAGCGATATCATAGGAGCCTCGCATAGCGTGAACTACACGTTTTGGAACTATGGAGGGATAGCTAGTGAAGGGATGCGTCAGCTGGCCGAGCACGGGAATACTAGGATGCTAGAAAGTGAACTGAAATCTAAAGTAAACCCTACATGCTTCAATAATTCGTTGACTAACTAATATCTATTTTAGAGCGAACATATTAGGACAATAATCAAAGCAAGAGGCGTCAGTTATCCTAACATAACCGGCCGAACATTCGCAGTATTCAGAGTAGACAACAGACACCATCTGATGTCTATAGTATCGATGATCGAACCATCACCAGACTGGATCGTCGGAGTATCAGGATTAGAACTATGCCTTAGAAATTGCACTTGGATAGAATCGAAAATCCTCAACCTTTATCCATGGGACGTCGGAACCGACGATGGTCTTACCTACCTAGTAAGTACAACAACACTATTCGTATTAAATACACAACAATCTTTTCAAATCCAGTCACCAGACCAACCATCATCCCCCCGACAACCGATCAGACGATTAAAAATCAACTCGCCCAACGACCCCAGGTCGCCTTTCTACGACACCACCGGCCAGCAGATGAAACCGCTAGCCCGACTCATCATATCCCGGCAGCGGCTCTACGAGAAGATCTGCGACTCGGCCGCCATGGACGATGTAGAGGACAATTCCAACAACTGCGAAACGGAACCGTGGTCGGATTGGTCGCCCTGCTCGGCCACCTGCGGACGCGGCGTCAAATACAAACAGCGCAGGTACAAGAACGACGAGTCGAAGTACAATTGCCACAGGAAACTGACGGAGCGGGCGACCTGCGAGGCGGTGCAGAAGTACTGCAGGATAACGCCGGCCAAGGAGCTGGCGGATCCGATGTGCGAGCTGGGCCCGTGGTCCGAGTGGTCCGGTTGCAGCGTGACCTGCGGCGACGGCGTGAAGACCAGAGAGAGGAAGTTCAGGAATCGGTTCGCGGCCAAGACTTGCTTGGCGGGGAAGGTGAACCCGCCGATTTTGCAGCAGAACCTCGAGTGTACAGGTCAAGGGAAATGCAACGTTAAAACCAAAGCGAGTAACAAGTTTTATAACGCCTAACCAAGTAATACAATTTATTTTACAGGTGGTATTGAAGCAAAATTGTACGGATTTCGTTTGGACTGAGTGGTCGCCTTGTTCGGTAACTTGCGGTAAAGGTATCAAAGAAAGGTACCGGTTTCCATCTAGAACGGAACCTTTCCACCCGTTTTCCGAATACTACAAAACGAAAATAACGGAAACAACGAAGAGATCCAAAGATTCTTGTGCTAATGTGATCAAAGAAACTGTGGAATGTTTGGAGAAGCCTTGCCAAGAGGAAACCAAGCAATACAACGGTAAATACCTCACTGTAAATTAATTATAGTTAATAGTTTTCGAATTATAGAGAACCACTGTGGCCTTCCTAAGGATTCCGGTAATTGCAAAAGCAACATAGACAGATGGTATTTCGACATCGTGAAAGGGGAATGCAGTATATTTAATTACAGCGGTTGCGGGGGAAACATGAACAATTTCAATACGTTAGAGCAATGCCAAATACTATGCAACAAATTCAAGAGTAAGTCTTCACAAACTTCGCGGTATGTACAAATTCATTAAGCGAAGTTTTTGGGTTTGTTTAGAGGAATTGCGAGTAACTTCTGAATTGAAGAAAAAAGAACTGGGAGTTTCGATGTCGGGAGTTTTGACCTATAATGTTCATCATAAACCAGGTGAACAACCATGTGGTAATTACATAACAATAAAAGAAGAAATTGAATTTTTGTAAGTGGAATTGTAAATAATATTTGCTAATTTTATAATTTTTAGGTACTTCATAGAGATGATAACTAATAGTAGCATCATTGGAGATATAATAATCATCTGTAGTATTAAGTAAAATATGAAATAGTTCACCTGTTCAACTTTGTATACATGTGATAATAAAAACGACAAGTAAAAAAATATATAGTCTATAATTAGGAATAAGTCTTATAAAAATATTGGTCTACCGTCATGGGCGCAGGCCAAGGGTAGGTTACAAGGCCTGTACATAACCCTAGAAGGGCACACCGCCCCGGGCGGTTTGTAAATGATTTTTCTAGTGCTCAATTGCATGGCGTTCGAGCCGCAAATAGAACTGCACGGCGTAAAATCCGTCCAATCCGACATAATACACACCGGTCCTTTGCTCTCTTCCGATCGTCCATCTTCTTCTCCGGATGGACAGGGCACGTGGCAGGTTTGAGTCTTCAGGAGTTTCCTCGGACAAGCGCGACCTCCGTTCTCCGGGTGTTTCTACAAATCGAAAAACTTTGTATTAATTCTACTTCACCAAATGTAGCTTGGCAGTTGAACATTGGTTAGTTACCGATCCTCTACCAACAGCCTAGCTACATTTAATGAGGTATAACAATAATAGTGTACCAATATTTGTCTGGATCGTTTCTTGGAGCCGGTACCGCAAGTTTTACCGCGCCCGCGCACCTCGCACCTGCTCCATACGGACCAATCGGTCACTTTGCAGTTCCTCACCCTCCCGTCCGGTCGCTGTTCGAGTATCAGGCTCTCCCCGATTTTGTCGGCTAGATAAAAACTAAATGTCACGAAAATTGGCGCGAATGTCGCGATGCCGGCTTACTTTCGGTGCAATCGACGTTGCACTTGACCGTTTCGGACGTGGGGCAATTCTCTTCGCCCTCTTCGTCGCTGTCGTGCTCTTTACCATCGGGAGGCAGGAGCAAGCGCCGCTTGAAACCCACTCCGCAGGAGACGCTGCAGCTCGACCAAGGGCCCCAGTTGGTGTTGGTGCACGTAGATTCGCCCTAAATGAATACTTCGGATGATTCGGATTTGTATTAAACTCCCAATTTCGTTACCTGATCATCGCATTTGCCATCGACACCATCGCACGGTTCGTTGTCTTCCAAAGCAACGCTACATTGGTCTTCGTTTTCCGGATGAATTAAACGCCTATCCCTAGTTTTGGTGCCTTTACCGCACGTGGCGCTGCAGGAAGACCAATCCGACCATTCGCCAACGGCGCATTGCGAGTCGCTCGCCGGACGTTTATCATCACCTTCATCTTCTGCACCTCCCGATTTATTATCTTCGTTCGATCCGTTTGCGTCCTCTTCGGATTTGTTGTCGTCTTCGTTCGAAGCGCCTTCCGACGGTTCCTCGTCGGAGGTCCTGTACACGGAATGCTTGCAGTAATCGGCCTTGCCTTGGCACGTTTGGTGCTGCACTAATCGCACGAAGCATTCTTGGGCTCTGTGGGAATTCACGTACTGCCTCATTCTGGTCTTCCTGCCCAATCCGCACGGTACCGAGCAGGGAGTCCAATCGCTCCATTTGGTGGTAGCGCAATTGCTGTCGTCGCTGTCGCTGGAATCTTCGTTGGCGCGACAGGGTTTGTTGGAATTGTACAATCGTTGTCGAGTAAAGTGCACTTTAGCGATGGGGTTCATGGGATTCCCGTCTTCGTCGTAGAACGGCGATTGGGGATCGTTGGGATTGTTCTGGGTGATGGGAGTGATTACTTTGTGCGAGAAGAGCAGAGGGTTCGACGACTGTAACAGTAATTGTATCGTGATGGCGAGTAAATAATTTTTTGGTGTGTTCGTTTTTACCATGTAATCTATCCCATCGTCGGTTCCGGCGTCCATGGGGTAGAGGTTGTACGTGTAGGATTCCGCCCAAGTGCAATCGCTTTTGCACAGTTCGAAATTCGATACGCCCACGAACCAATCGGGCGACGGTGTTATTTTCGATACCAACGATACCAAGTGATTGCTGCTGTCTACTCGGAAAACCGCATAAGATGTATCGGTGATGTTCGGGTATTGCAACCCTCTCGCCTTGATTATGGTGCGGATATTCCTGCCCTGCGCATCGATGGATTAGATATGTATTGTATGGTGATAGCAATGAGGCTTACCATAACTTTAATTTCGCCTTCTAGTTTCTGGGTGTTGCCGTTTTCCGCTAAATCTTTCAATCCTTCGCTGGCGTAATCCTGCTCGTACCAAAACGAATGGTACTTTCTGTGCGATGCTCCGATGATGTCGCTGAATTTCGTCGTCCAGATGTTGGATGGGTAGTTTCTCGGATGGGTGTTCCTCGTCCAGCGACCTTCGAAAGCGACCTAGATATTTTAAACAATCAAAGGAACCAGTTGGAGCAATTCGCTGATTAGTTTACCTCGTACTTCGCTTCGGAACAGGCGCAACAATTAACCACCATCGGCGGTTTGACGTTCTCGTTGATCTCGCTGTCTTCGCAGAGGATTTTGGTGAGTTGCCCGTCTTCGCTGAACCAATTTTCCCGGCTTTCTATGACGGTGGCTTTGATGGCTACGCAACCGCTACCTGCCGGAGGTGCAATCCAATACACCTAAATAGATTCGAGGGATAATTCGAGGGATACTTGCGAATGTAGATTCGTCGGTACCTGTATCTCCCATTTGGGCATTTTGCTGTTTTCCACGACGATGTTTTCGCAGCTTTCGCTGAATCTGCTCGTGAATTGCGAGTTTAATTCTAGCTCTAGTTGACCGGTCGGGCGGTAAGTTCGTACATCTTCGTCGGGATTGATGGATTCCACTGTGAGGAGGAATTGCTTGAAAGCTTTCTGGGGGTTTTTGTTCGGGTTTACTCTAAGAGAAACTGAATGGGCGGTTTTAGGTTGAGTTTTAGAGGAGGTTTTGCGCGAACTTACCGTTGTATTTTTGATGCGGTGTGTAGGTTTTGGGATTGCCCGGTATGTAAATTATGTATCTGTCTATATCGTTTTTATTCTTCAATTTGATCACGCCTTCGGGTTGAATGCCGCATTCGGCGCAATAACTGATCGTTATCAGTCCTAAGACTCCAATTAGATTGTGTAATAAACGCATTTTCCTGGAAATTGCATCAGAAAACATTCGTACAGGACGGCCATCGATTGTTGTGCAATTAATTTCGGTTGGAATATTTTCGTGTTTTGCAATATTTTTTTTTCGAAAATAGCCAATCGAATCTTGACCGAGTAAACTTGAAAAATTGGTGCAAGGTTCGATCGAGATAAATAAAAATCAATGTCAAGCGGGAGTTATTTTTGAAAAATTGTATGGATTTTAGACGAGATTTTCACGGATAACGACCCTTGACCTGATCTTTCGAAATATTTCGGTGTTTTTCCTATATCAGGGGTAGCTTATAATTAATTAAATGTGGTTGAGTTTGCGGAAGATTTTTCATGTTTAGCTCCAATTAAAATTGTACTAGATAAGTTCTTTGTTAAATATACGCACTAATAAAATCTAATTAGCGAATTATAGCGATTCGTTAAATAATTGTAGACCAAAACATTAATCTGCTTATGATATATTTATTTAATAATGAACTCCACATGAAGCAATCAACCAAATTACGTACCTGTTTAAACTTCAATGGAAAAGATCAGCCTATTTGCTAATTAACCGAATAACCAATTCGATGAGTGGTCGAATAATTAATATAATAAATAAACGAAAATTTCGCACATGTTTTCCGATCTTCGACACTTTACAATTACGCGCACTACAAACGTGAAACTTCGGTATTTATAACGCGTCAAAACGTGCGCAGATTCGCTTTCGAGTATCGCGGAGTTCCATCAACTCAACACATCTCCCATGCCGAGCCATTATCTCGTTTGGCGATTTTTCTTTACGATGTCAAAAGTCAAAACATCTTGTTGTTCGACGATTATTTTATCTCGCGTGCGTTTCGTCGAAATTCGTACTATTCTAGAAATATTTATAGAACTAAAAAAATCGATTTTTTTCTGCCTCTTTGGCGCGCTCTCTGCGCTAATACAAATAACAAAGTGTACTAGCGTGAATAATTCAAAAAGTTGTTAATGGAAAATTCGGCATTTACTGCTCATAGACGGGATAAAAATAACGTATACATTTGCAGGAAATTCGCAAATTAAAAGCTCCCGGTGTACTCGTACATGTACCGCGCCTCTAATTTCATATATACAGTCGCTATTTCCCGGGATTGGAAACTCCGTAGGAAGTCCGCAATTCCTTCATCGCGCCAAGGCGGATGATAATTAAATTGTAGAAAGGCATTCCCAAATTAGAGGAAAGCAGGGGTTAGTCGACAGGCGGAGGGTACCAGTATTAGTCTCATTATCGGGAAAATTATTCGATTATACTAATTGGACGGATTGCGTTTTTGGTAATTTCCAAAAGAGGATAAGCAAACTCGAACGGGGAAAATCGAAATTAATTGGAGCGAATTATAAAACAAAATGTTATCAGGTTTCACGTTGGATATTTTATTGCGTTATTGTAACGGTAACGTAAGTTTAGCCACAACGTAGTTATTTCAATTTTGGTGAAACTCGACGCGCTTTTGACGAAATGTCAAAACTGACAGATGTACGCACTGGCTAAACATACGGCACCTGCGTAATAATGAAGTAATAATATTAAACTATATACTTTGCTTCATTTCAGATCGCAACATGGTTTTATAGGCTATAGGTGCGATAAAGATTAAAAAAGAAAAAGAAAGAGTGACATTTCTGTCATTGCAACTTTTCACTCTGACAACTGTCATTTTATAAATCTTTCATAGAAATGACCGGTCTGAATTGAAGCAATCTGTATATACTAGAAAAAAAAATAAAGCGATCTCCTTTGAGACGGTTCCTCCCATTATTACAACTATATTTCTAAGGATCTAATGAAGTTTAAGGTTTTTTTCAATTTTGATTATTGCGTTATTAAGCCGGATGCGTAAGTTTAGCCACAGCGAACATCTGTCAGTTTTGACACAATTAACGCAACTAAAAAAAAATACGCCGTGGCTAAACATACGTCACCGGTACCAATACAATCGACACAACAATTTAATCAAAACAAACACAAAATTCAGTGTCCCGTATAAAACTATTAGAGCCACATTTATCGTCGGCTTCATCGAGACGCATCAACCGGCGGTTGTCGCAAAGTTTCCGGATTCCGGATTGATTAATACGGCACGTTTGATTAAGCGCTCGACACGCATCCAGACGTGGAGTAATGCAACTTCCAACTTCCCTTCGGGGGATAAACTTACAGGGCGTCGAGACGCCCGCTGCTCCGGTTCCTCACCTCAACCAGGACGTTCTCCAAGCTCCGTCCGGGCTTCCCCGAATCCCGAAAGTTCAGTAATACGTAAATGCAGTGCGGTCGAAGTAGCTATATACAGGGACGACATCTACAGGGCGCTTCTTAAACTCGTAGGAGAAAGGAAAAAAAAATGGTCGTGAATTTAATTGCGCGATAAAACAACATTAAAGTCCAATAAAAGGGAGGCGATAAAAAATCGAGATCTCGAACGGGGGCCGTGCAGGAAATTCGAAGAGGCGCTCTAACGGCAGGGAATCGCGGCAATTATCACCTCAACATCTAATTGATGACTGTAAAGAATGGCTCGAGCAAAAGTCGTACGTAACGAGCAACGCGTAATTAAAACTTATTTCAAACTGTAATTCGCGAAAACGCCGGAACTTTCTGCAAACATCCGGATAAACTTACCTAAACGTACGTGTTTTCTTCGCCTTTGAATTTATATTCAACCGGCGCCACCTTTAAAATTAGGTTTTGAACTTTCTAATTAGCTCCGCAATATATTTATTATACTTAAGGTTCCATACATTTTTTTCTTGTAATTATAAGTTAATAAGAAGTCAATGAGTGTTGCCAAATTTAACGAGCTTATAACGAGTGCACTAGAAATTATAGAATTAGCGTTATTATACCGCTAGCGTAACTTTAGCCACGGCGTACATCTGCCAAATTTTGACATTTACTTAACCAAAACCATGATATGGCTAAAGTTACGTTACCGGCATAATAACGCAACGACTATAGATACCGTATAAAGTAAAATGAGTGTTGCCAAATTTAACGAGCATATAAGGAGTGCACTAGCAATTCTTCCAGGCGCAGTTTACCTCATTATTGTTGCAGGAAACTCGCGAAAGCGGGATATTAGCGGGAATTTCTGGAGACACACTGTCGTAGGGATCGGTACAATTAGAATTCCCGTCGCGACTTTTATTGCTATCAAACGAGACTCCTACATATTTAAATGCGAACCAAACTGCACGTGAACCTCAGGTATTCGCGTCCGGATAGGAAGCGGAGTTAAGATTTAATTAATTCCCCCCCATTTTACGCCGTTTAGTTTCGAGTGTATTCTTTTATTTTCGCGAACGAGCACAAAATCGCGGCGAGTATCAACTTCAAAACAGGTTGAAATTTCTCGTTTAAAATTTCCATATTCGTTTACGTGGAAATAAAGCGAGTCGAAATAAACCTAAGCGAAATCGTCGCTCCCTATATATATACACACCATATAATACATTCGCCATTATACCGTTATTTTACACACTTAGCTGAACGGCGAAATCTCGACTAATGAGCTTGACACTTAATCTAACTCCCAGGCACCCTTCCGAAATTATGTAGCGACAGACTTATTAAAATACACATTTGTAGGTGCTTTAACAGCTTTACGCACCCCGCTAGTGCCGGCTTCATTATTCAAAACCTCGAAAGACGTCGTGCGGAGCGTCGGGGCGTCGAGGCGTCGGCGTCTTTCTTCGAAAAACACGCCGAGAATCGCGTAATAATGTCCTTTGTTATTCGCTACGCAGTAATCTAAATAAGGACTCGCTTTAAGGGATTCGATAAAAATCTTTTTGTGTATATACAGCGATAGAAATTAGCGTCGGTACGCCAATGGTATTAATAGGGAAATCTGTAGGAGATAGGTGGTTTAATTTAAACGCTATTGGAGAGAAAGCCGAAGAGCGTTGGCAAACACAAATGTAGTTCATTTCGAACGGAGCAAACAAAATTATTCGGAAAGTTTTCTGCGAAAAGCAATTTTCGTGTAACTTTCCCGCGCCGACAAATAAAATAATAAAGTCGTAGGGAAAGCCGAGACCACTATCTCTTACATTCACAGTTCATCAGAATCTTTTCAAGGAAGTCCGCCTTGATCACCGCATTCAGTGCACTGATTGTGGATTCCGCGCGCCGCAGAAGAAGCGACCGGCTGATGACTGATGAGCCATCCATCGGGATATCGCAAAAACTCAATTAAGTTGCGCTCGCCGGAAAATCGATGGAGATTTTCGCCCGATTTTTCTTTTTTCGGCCGGCCCAAATCCTGTTATCCCGAAGAGAAAGACACTAAGATCAGCACAATTAACGAACTGGCGAGAACACGGAATTTACTGTACGACACAGGGGAGACTCTCCCTTACATTCCCTTAATTAAAATCAACGGGAATCTCCTTTTTGACTTTGTTCCTTCGTTATTAAAACGGATTTTTATCTAATAACTTAATGAATTTTTACGGTGAATTAGCGTTATTATACCGCTAGCGTAACTTTAGCCACGGTGTACATCTGCCAAATTTTGACATTTACTTAACAACAAAACCACGGTATGGCTAAAGTTACGCTACCGGCATAATAACGCAACGATTATAGATACCATATAAAGTAAAATGTAATTTTAACAAATCAACGGGAATCTCCTTTGACTTTGTTCCTTCGTAATTAAAACGAATTTTTATCTAATAACTTAATGAATTTTTACGGCGAATTAGCCTTATTATACCGCTGGCGTTAATTTAGCCACGGGTACATCTGCCAAATTTTGACATTTACTTAACAACAAAACCACGATATGGCTAAAGTTACGCTACCGGCATAATAACGCAACGACTGTACATACCGTATAAAGTAAAATGTAATTTTAACAAAACACCCCGGAATAAATTCAGTAGACATACAAGCTCAACAACTAGCCCATGTTAGTGAAACCTCTCGTAAAGCAAATCCATTTTGCCGGGGAACGACGTGCCTCCTCGACGTCCCCGTTATCCATCCGACACAATGTTGACACGCCGGCAAATTGCCCCGGATTGTCCGGCATTCGAGCTCCCCATCCTGGGTGTATTTGCTGGTGGTTTATTGATGGCCCATACGCACTTTGTGTTAGCGAATTGGACGCTTAAGCGACCGTATTATGATATCACGTCGGAGGATTATCCCGAACCCGTCCCGTACAAAGGGATCCGAAAATTGATAACAGTTAGATAATGTTCCGTGCATAATGGATATGCCCTGTGAATAATATTGTAATAAACACAATAATTATAACGCATATGCACGGTAACCTACAGGTTGTAAATACGACTATTATGCCGGAGATGTAACTTTAGACATTGCGTTTTTGTCAATATCGAACTGTCATTTAAACATCAAATTGTGACATTAAGCAATTCGTTGGATTAACAAGGCCACCTAGATACTTCTCTGTCGTGGTATTTTATAGAAACACCAGACAATATCTCATTATCATCGTTCCGCATTCGAAATTATTTTATTGTTCGAGCATAATTAAGCGCGTTGAATGAACTGTAACTTCGTTAGGTGTACCTATCCGAGCTAGCGTGAACAAATTAAAGGCAATTCGGATGTAGCCGAAGTTCCAGGGAGTTCAAACGCTCAGAAACTCCGCTCAAATCTAAATCGCAGCGTGAGCTTGTAAGGCGATAATTGTAAATTATGAATTCAATGTATATCTATATTAGTTCGGGAATTCGGATGCTCCGATTCCGAATTGTGTGTTCGAGCAATCGATGTAAATACGTCGGTGTATTTAAATTATTGTTAGTTTCGAAGCGGCTACGGAAAACGAGAGTTTTTTTTATGTTAATTAAATGGTAATAAGAGAGTCCGGTTCTGCGCTATCAGTTGGGGATTTCCTTGTTGATGCAATGGTAATTTTCGTGGCACAAATTCCGTTCTATAACGACGTCGATGTTCATGCGTTCGGCGTAAAATAAGAATATTATATCGATATTGATTAGTCGAAATGTATCTATAACATGCGTCCGGATAAATCGTAGATGAGCTCGAATAATGTGTGAAATATTTCCAGTTTACCATTGACCGAACGAACGCGAGGTCAAAAATTTATCGAAATCGAAAATATCGCACGCCAAGAGAGCTGGTTTGATCTAAATAGATTCGATCATCGTGGAAATAATGTTTGTTTTAGTGTTGTTTGTAGGTGAGTACGCTGATTTGTTAATGAATTACCTGGTGTATAACAATAAATTTTGCGTTAGTTAGGTTATTTGTTTGGAACATGAACATGTTTATTCGAATCATCAAGGTTATGAGCGTAAACTTGTTTAATATTCGTTTATCGTAAGAATACACTACGATTTTTGGGTGGTAATGAAACTATAAATTTCTTTGTAGGTTCAATTTTGGTAAATTCTGCTGTCGCAGAATCGCCTGCGGACAATGACGTGTATTACCCCTATCCCATTTGGTCCAACCCCTTCGATTGGAAGATATTTAAGGTAATTTTCGCCCTAAAACGGCCCTGAGTTTTGTAGTTGGAAATAAAAACTGGGCAAGAATTCAAAAGAACTTTTCCTCTTAGAAATAATTAGCCTCTTCGCAACCAGCCCAATTAGCAATTTACGAGTTTTTCGAGTGTTATCACCACCAAGACCTAAGAATATTATTTCCCGAGTTTTTTTTTTAATAGAATCTCATTCAACCGCTTACAGGTTATTCGCTAAATTCATTTCAATTCCACCACCACTCTGCAACCCCTTTACAAATTTTATACCTACATTATAAGCAAATAAATTCCAGGAATACGGGAAAATCCCGCAACGCAACGTCCTGATATCGCCGATTAGCCTAAAAATGATCCTCTCCCTGCTCTATCAAGGATCAGCAGGAATAACGCAAAAAGAACTCGAAGACGTCTTAGACGTCTTCGATCAAACAGCAGCAAGGACCGAGGCTCAGGAGTTATCTAACAGACTGCAGGTACAAACTGAAAAAAAAACCCAAAAAAAACCCAAAAAAACCAAAAAACTGCTTCCAGGTCAGAGACTCCTCCGACTACGGAGTGTTCATGGGCACCAGGGTGTTCCTGGACAATCACCTTCAACCCCAACAAAAATTCTCCAGCATCGCCAACGAGTTCTACAAATCCGAGGTAACGCCCGTCAATTTCAGCGACCCGGTCTCGGCGAGCGCCAACATCAATTCCTGGGCCAAAGAAATAACCAAAGGGAGGATACCCAAACTAATCGACCCCGGTAAATCCTAATTTTCAAATTCAATGTTATTTTATCGGCGGCGTAACTTTAGCCACGGCGCGTTTCTAATAAATTCGTGGAAAAACGTCGAAAGTGACAGATAGAAGTACGCCGTGGTTAAAGCTACGCTACCGGAATAATAAGAAAAGGAAAAGTACTCATAATAGGAAAAGTTAATAGTATTAAAACTTATTACATTACAGTTTTATTATACCTGCACCGTAAGTTTAGCCACCGCGTGTTGAATAATTATGTTTTTTAGAAAAATGTCAAAACTGACAAGTACAGGTTCGGCGTGGTTAAAGTTACGCTACCGGAAAAATAAGATTGAGAGAAGGAGGCATAATGGGAAAAGTTGATAGGTTTTTATTAAAACTTATTACGTTTACTAGAAAAAAAAGTCTTTTAATAATATTCTATAAAAGATTATTCGTAATTATTAAAAGGGTACAGGCCATAGACCTATTAAGTATGGACGCGGCACTATCGTTATTTTGAGGTTATTCAGCGTTCCCAATGATAGAGAGAGAGGTCCGTGAGAGATGGAGCTAGTTTGGGCTAAAAGTAGGCGGGACCAAAAAGTATATAAAATATATACAGGGTGTGTGGAAAAAGGCGATTAATCTGTTAAATTATTTATACGCTCAATATTTAAATATTGTTTTTATCTTGGTATTCACTTGGACAGAAGAATGACCTGGAAGAAACATATTTTTTACAAGAGAAAACAGCTAGGTCTTAAATTGCGAAATCTGTACAGGCTAATAGGTAGGAGGTTCCAAATAACAATACAAAATAAGAACTGTATTTGCAAATGTGTGGGAATTTAGGCTCAGCTGAAAAATGCATTTTGCTCGGTAAAAAAATTATAAATCCTCAACCCTATTCTACCATAATCTACCCTCCTCTACCCCAACTACCTTGCATTTCTGAAAACGTAACTCACGTGGTCTTTTTCTTTCTTACTATTGGCTAATGCATTGTCCAATCTCTCATTACCATTTGTCCAAACTAGCTGCATCTCTCTCATTCATCGACAACACTACCTCTTTGTCTAAACCGCGTCCATAGTTAATAGGTCTATGGTACAGGCATATTATTACATTACAGTATATCTATCAGTTTTGATATTATATTTTATAAAAATTGACAGAAACGCGCCGTGCCTAAACTTACGCCGCCGGCATAATAACGCGACGGTAAAATAGAATTTAACAAAACCAGCGTAACTTTACAATTTATTTCACAACTTCATTTTCTTCGCACGAACGTAAGCGTTGGTATTTGAACAGCTCGTATTTATATAAGTTATTTGCAGTGGATCTGGATGAGGCTATAATGGTGGCGGCGAACGCCGTCTACTTCAAAGGAGCCTGGCGTTATCCTTTCGCGAACAGGACGTTCGAAGATAAATTCTACGTCGGGAACGGCGACACTTTCTATACCATTACGACGCAGTTTATGTCGACTAAAGACAGATTTTATGTGCACGATTCGGTCCAGTTGGACGCTAAAATATTGAGGCTGCCTTACAAAGTAAATATCCCGAGGATTTATCGCCGTTAACTTTCTCGGCGCAATTGCAAAATGGAGATATTTTTATGCACTGTATACTGTATTTTTGACGAGAATTAATATGTTTAAGGGCGGCAAATATTCGATGTTTATCATTTTGCCGAACTCCAAGGGAGGGCTAAGTTCATTAATCAACCGAATCAGCTTGGCCTCGGTGCACAGTCTGTTGTATATGATGGATAAGCAGATGGTGGAAGTGAAGTTGCCGAAATTCAAGTTCGACTTCCAAGCCAGATTCAGCAAAACCTTGCAAGATGTAAGTCTACGATCTCGAGGGTATTTCCATTGCGAAAAACTGCATATTCACCTACCCAAATCCCGCTCGAATGAACTCCTTAAATAGATATTTACATTAATATAACTTTTTCAATTATTACACAGCTACTTATTATTTGCCGTAGCGAAAATATAAACATACTCCTTTTAGTGGCTCTAAAGTAATTACAACTTTTAGGTTAACTCGGCGCCGTGATAATATTAAACGAATTTCCCTCCGTCTCGAGCAAATAAAACCGGAAGTTTCGTTGAACAAACTGAACACACGCTTATATATATTAGAGTCACTCAAACAGATCTAATTCGATCGTAACACAAAGTACACTACAAAAAAAAACAACAACAAAAACCCCAAAACTAACATCGGCGAACTCCCCGCTTTTTCATTCCATATTTCCCCCTTTATTTATTTTTTTTTCTTTGTTATATCGTTCCAGCTCGGCCTGACGCAAATGTTCCAAAACACCGCCAGTTTCTCGGGCATCGTCCGCGGAAACAACACCGTTCTCAGGAAACTCGTCGTCTCCGATATCATACAAAAATCCGGAATCGAAATCAACGAACACGGCAGCGTCATCTACGCAGCCTCAGGTACCTAATTTCTACACTTAAATTACTCTTAAGCATCCTAAAATACACTTAATTGAGCTTATTTCTAAGTATCCTTAAACACTGTTAAGTGAGCTTATTCTTAAGTGCTCTTACTCATAAGTGAACTTATTAACTGCGTTTACTCGTCAATGAGTTTACTCCTAAGTGCACTTCCTCTTAAGTGAGCTTATTCTCAAGTGAGCTTATTCTTTAGTGTCCTTAAATACTCATAAAACTGAGATTATTCTAAAGTTAGCTTATTCATAAGTGCGCTGGGTCATAAGTAAACTAATTCTTTAGTTAACTTCCTTCCAACAGAGCTTATTTTCAACTGAGCTTACTCTTAAGTACGCTTTCTCAAAAGTAAGCTTATTCTTAAGTTAACTTCCTTTTAACAGAGCTTATTTTCAAGTGCCTTACTCTTAAGTACGCTTTCTAAGTGAGCTTATTCTTAAGTGCGCTTACTCTTAAGTGTGCCTACTCTTATGTGAGCTTACTCTTAAGTGAGCTTACTCTTAAGTGCGCCTACTCTTAAGTGAGCTTACTCTTAAGTTTAGTTACTATTTAAAGCATTGTTTCGTGTGTTTCAGAATTGTCCATTGGTAACAAGTTCGGGGAGAATGATGTGAAATTCGAAGCGACTCACCCGTTTATGTTCTTTATCGAAGAACAACAGGGTTCGTTGTTGTTTATGGGCAAAGTGGAGAATCCATTGAATGGTGAAGTTTTGCCGCTCGAACCGAAACCCGCCAAACGATTTATGTAATTCTAAGTACCTAAATTGAAGTGTTTAACGCTAGTTTTTAATTTAAATAAACGCGAAAAAAATTTTTGTTGCGTTTTATTTAGCCGCTCGCGATGATTTATCGAGGTCGAATATCAGTCGATATCGCGTAACCGGTTTTACCTTCTCGTGCGGACGGTCGTAGCGAAAATTAGTTTACGGCTCCGGCGAAAAAATCCAATTTCTCCGGCATTGTCTGGAAGGTCTGGGTGTTAAATTATCAAAAACCGCCGCTCTGCGTTTTTTTTTCCAAGCGCGTCTACTTCGTTTGTTGCCTGAATTTTCGATCAGATTTCCACCGAAAAACAATTACCGAACCCCTTCGTAACATAACGAGAAAATAAGAAGCGAATATAAAGGAAATTACCTTGTATAGGCCGCGGTAAAGTAGGGAGATTGAAGAAACGCGCGTATAATTAACTAATAAAAGCGAGTTAATTTCGCTAGCAGGGGAATAAATTCGCCCGACACTCAGTATAATTTTTTTTATTAGCGAAATTAGAGTCGATCCGAGCTGGCGTTATACACGCGCATTTTTTAGGGCCGTTTCGGAGATGGATATTAAAAAACATCGGGCGATTTATATCTGGCAACAACCCAATTTAGCTAATTAGGAAAACGCTTTTATGATTTATCTCGTTGCGGAAAATTTCGGCGCGAATTTTCCACTCCGCCCGGCAAATATCAGCGGTCATTCTAGTCAGATGGCTTTGCGGATTAGACCGGAAAAATAATTTAAAGCCGCGGGAAAAATTTTAATTCGAAACGAAAGTGGATGATGATGTACCGTAGGTATACAAACAAGTCGTTTATTTAAATTTTCTGACGATCTAAATTATAAATCGAAAGTTTTTTTTTGTTGTACACCGAATTGAATTCGAATATAAAAAAATGGTAGTTGAAAATAAAAGCCGACAAACGCTGAATGGGGCGTCTCGCAATTCAATCGGGGCCAATTAAAATTGCGAAATCGAGCGTTAGGAAATCGCTGTGAATGTTGTTCCATTATAGAGTTTCGAATTAACCGAGGGGCAGACAATAACTCGAACGGAAAGCTCAGCGCCGTTAAAAAATTATTAAAAACAACTACTCGACGGGAAATTCGTTCGATATATAAAGAAACGTTTGCAGAAATCTCCCATTCTCACAGACTCATTTTTCACCGATGAAATAACATTTTTTTCCCACTCCGAGAAGGGCTAACGATTCGAAAGAGCTTTTTGTCTACCTTCGTGGCTTACGAAACGTAATATTCGCGTTTCTTTCCGCATTTTATTTTTCCATCACGAAAACCGCAATACAACCAAACTGTCGTTGCAAGAACAGCGGAATAACGGATGGTAATGGGACCGAAATTGCGGGAAAAAACTAGATGGATGAACATGCCATTCAATGATTTTCCATTGTAAAGCTTCCTCGCCGCTTTTTACCTACACACGATTCCCTAAAACTTGCTAAATTATTTCGCAATAAATTACCAAAGCATTCGTAAGTTACTCATATAAAACTCCTGCACCATTCGAAGAAAATATGCTTGTAAATTCAACTAAATAAATTCATCAACGCTTTAATATCGAAATGAATAATGAAACAGCGTCTCGCGTGAAACACCCCGCGCATTTTTAAACCAAACCGAGCAACTAGCAACGTTATTTACGACCGGCTCCGAGATTAAACATACCAGAGCGATATTTCCCAGGTACAGAATCGCATGCACAGTAACAGTTTTCAATCTTCCGAAGCGCTTAAAGGCAACAAGTTTATCATGCATTTAGCCGGTCTTCTCCCAGAACGCGCATTTACATGCATCGAGCCGGAAAAGCGGCTTAGCGCAATAAAGATTTTTCCGCGGGGACCGCCGCGTTCGATTCATTTACGCCCGCTACATTTTTATGCAAATCGGGCATCGATCATTCCGTCGATGCCGCTCCGGCGAGCAGCCCTAAGCGCCCGAATTTACAATACATTCGGTCTCATATTAGCCCCAGCTTGCGATATTCCAATGCCGAGTAGACGATCTTCGATCAGTAACAGCCTTTCAAGCCGTTTATACCACCAAACACGTCGGTATTAATCAAAATATTAATCAATATACTAGTAATTAATATCTACTAGTAATCATTTTCCATTTTAGAGGGTTGTTGAAGAGGCTAGTAAATTCCATCGCGCGGTTTATTTCCAATCGTTCAGGCAGAGGGCGATCCGGCGATATTAAAGTTGAGAGAAATGGCTCGTCATTTCCCCGGCGATATTCATTTTTTCGCGTTACATCCAGCGCCATATTTCACGGGGAAAATTCGCGGCATGGAAATGCGGACGAGGAAATCGGCGGAGGAAAACGCGAAACTGGATCATTTTTCAAATGTCCCACGGCATACGTGGTGATAGATATACTTCTAGCGATGGCTGTAAAGTTGCTGTTCAGTTACCATTCGGCGGTTTCTTTTTTATTATACGAACAGCGCGAGGTGTTGTTTAAGAGGGTGAATTTGTTGGATTTATTCCTTTTTTTGTTTCGTTAATTTTTATTGAATATAACAGGGAGAAATTGGTTAATAAAGAGGAGCGAATTTAGAATTTCCATCGGGATATTTTTATAATTGAATGGAGTTTGGCGAAAAGCTTGCAAACAAACGTTCTACGAATTTAAAATGTAAATGAAGTTATCCTATAAAAAATAAAAAAAAATAAAACTATCCATTATCCGGTACGTTTTGGCATTCAGTTCTCGTCCCGAACAGTTTCCTCTCGACAAAAAAAGCCCTCTCGTTCTCGAACTAACGTCGAACGTAAAAAGCCCATCGCTCGGGAGAAAATGCCTCTCGCATTGTCACTTGCTTTGGCCGGAGCGCTTTCCCCGTGTTTACGATTCACGGCTATACACAGCGAAAATATCCGCTCAGATTAAACAATTAAGATAAAACATCGTAAATTCGAAGTTGAAAACAAGAAGTCACGAACTCAGACAATAAGCTGCCAAGTTAAAGAAAGAAAGGACGAGCCGAAGAGACAGCCCCAACATTAAAACGGAATTGGAAGAGAAACGTGCCCCGACGACTATTTCCTTCTGTTCCCTTCTGTTCCACTTAAATGTCCTTCTGTTGATCGACTAGGACGAATATCGCCTGGATTGTTGGCGAATTTTTTATCACCGTTTACCTCGCGTAATTCGCGCCTAAAAAAATCACTCGTACGGAATTGAATTCGATCCGATGGGAAGCCGAATTTATTCTTAATAGACCCGTTAAATTTCCCGCGCGATCGCTTTATTATCGCACGTCGAGATAAAAAAAATATCCGCCCGATGAATCCTCGCTCACCTTCGAGCAACCCATCGATAACGAGGTCCTTAATGGCACTTACACTGGAGAAAAAACGCTTTCCCTCTACGCCCTGTTGTATCGATAGTAGTGTATTTAAACGAATTATCTCGGTAACTAATTTCGATAGAAACATTCACAGTAACGTCAAATTAATTGCTCGGATCAAGACCATTTCTCGCGGCGATTCCGGTAGAAGAAAAATTCCCGGGGCCTCATTGTCTCTAATGTTTTCGCCTGACCCGAACCATTTCAATCGTTCGCGGGTTCTGCAAGAAAGCGAAGTAGAAGAAAAAAAGAGTGAAATCAATTGTGCGACAAAAAAAGGGCGATTTATCTCACTTCAAAAACCTCGGGCACTCCTGCGAACTTTGCTCGTATAAAAAATTAGGAGGAAAATATGTCGCAAGGCGATAATATCGTTTTCGTTACCGTGTAATTTATTTTCACAAGCGGCCGCAGAAGTCGGAAATTGTTAGTTAATGAAAGTTTTGTTGTTAGAGAGAAGAAGGGAAAAAAATCGGGGAATTATCCGGATATCGGGGGAATTTTCGGCGAGAGTCGAAATTGAGATGTAAAAGGGAAGCGCTGTCTGCTTTGATTTCGACGGGAAAAGTTAGACGGGGTTATTATTAGAAGATCGAGAGACACCCGTCTTTTTTAGCAATTTTAAATGAGATCCGAGATTCGACTGCCAAACGAACTGTTAACTGACTGTTTTCGCCTTAAAGTCAATCAAGTGCGTTTATTGGGAAATAACGAGGAAATCGAGTTTTCTTTCCTCTTCCGAATTCTATATTATTAAAGAACAAATTGAATTTATTTACGAAACACTAAGCGCAAACCTCGTTTTCCTCATTAAAATAAATACATTCAAATTTCAATTGAATTCTTCAAACAAACAACCCGTTAACACGTACTAAAATCATTTTATTTTGATTAGTTATGCTTATCCAATTTAAATCTACTTAAATTATACAATAAAAAAAACCGGCGATTCGGCCTTTAATTCAAGTGAGTTTTTCCATGATCACAATTTAGTTAATTCCACCCTATTTAATTACACGAAAACGAAACTTACTTAATTACGTACATTTAGGTAAGTATAATCGCGTTTTTATACTTTATAATTTCAGATGAACCAGCGCCAGCCACACCGAAGCAACGGCGAAGTTTTCCCTCCTGAAATTCGCCGCATGGCTGAACAAAGTAACTGAAACAAAGGCGAGTTTTCAGTAAATTACGACCTGCACGTTTCCATCTCCACAATCGAGAATACCTACAGGAAAATCGACGGATAGAAATTTGATATACGTGATAGTAGATGTGTAATTATCTCGAAAAACCAATGAGGTAGAATCGTTTAGTTTGTTTTATTTCGTAGAGAATATATTCTTCTACAAGTTTGATAGAATGGAAAATTTTTGGAAATTGCTCAAATTTCGAGATATTTTTAGTTTTTGTAAGGGTTGTAATCTATATAAAATTAATCGAAATACAACAACTCGATTCGTTGAATTTCATTCAAATTACATCAAATATTTCATAAAGTAATTTCAGATCATTCCCATGATAAAATCGGTAAAAAATTCCCCACAAACCCGCTCCAATTTCTTAGGCGCCCATACACCCCAATCACCGGCAAACCTGACGAGTATCCCTAACCGATTCCCCTTAGGAAAACGCCGGTATCTCTCCCATCGAACGTCCAAAAATGAATGAGCAGTCGTAAAAAGTTTACGAGACAGTTAATGCGGCGTCCCGGCCGTGCAGATCAACGCCTCCGGCAGATTGGTACGATAAAAATTAGCCCATCCCTCTCGTAAACGCCGAGAAAACTCTTCATGAAAACGCCCGTTCCATTAAGCGAAATAGGAATTCCCCCCTTTTACTCACTTCACCTACCAGACGCGACGGTTATTAGATCCAAAAGTGGCGCAGTCGGTAGGATAAATAATTACATTTCAATGGTAAATAGACTTTCGCAGCGGAACAACCGGTTTGTGCGATTAACAAATCAAATTGGCGCGGTCAGTAGGATAATATTTTGTATTAATAGCATACCTTTCTCCGGTACGGGATCCTTGGGATTGTCGAATGTGAGTTCGGCGTCGCGACGATAGAAATCCCCGATCGTCGCGACGCATTCGAGCGTCAGCCGGCCATTGTGGAAATGGGAGTCGAAGAGCGGCAGGGCCATGAGCACGGTGCTGGCGTATAATTCCCCTGCGGCCGTTCGATTCCTGCGGCACGTTTGGCACACCTATTGGAAACCAAAGGGAGTCAGGAGTTTTACCGATCGGGCAAAGTGTATATCGAAGAATGTAGCAGGAGGCGAGAGCAAATCGAATTAAAGGAATTGCCTTCGGGTGATTGCAGGACCGTGGACTGTTTCCTGGAAAGGCAGGTGTAACGGAAACTGGACGTATGTTTTTTCGGGGCCGATATCGTGAATATTCATGCGATTTATTTGCATATGCGACGGGAAAATGAAAATCGTTTTCCGCGAAACGAGTTTTTAACGCTTTCAACCTGACAAAATTAAATCTCGCCCATTGGATACTTAATCTAATTTTTACGTTTTGTCCAAACAGTCGATTCGAATTCGAACGTTCGACAAAAGGGATATTTCCAATGGTTCTCGGAGGAAATTATAAATATGTCCTATTTAATCCGGAAGCTGGATTATCCGGAACTAATTAGACAAGAATTAACGGATGAATAAATATGAAAATGCGCCGTAAACACAACTTAATTAGACGTCTTTTAAGGTATCCTACCGAAAACAGGGCTTATCTTTCACACATTTCCATGCGTGATCCAGATTTATAACTGTAATTAAAGCGGAACCGGCCGAAAAATTTATCCTCTCGCCGGTTTATCCGGAAATATTGAGTTTATGTTAATAAGAGGCCGACGAAGCGAGAATGATACTTTATGGACCATCTATTTAAAGCGAAAATTCATTATCGAAAAATATGGTTTTTGCACAAAAAGGGTCGCCTTCGGATTTCTAACGATAAAGGAGAGGGCGATGATGAATCGAAGTTCGTTAAGAAAAGCGATATTTATTCCTGCAGGACGAAGGACTCGAGCGCTGAAAGTCCTTCTACAACACTTTCCAATAGCTTCATTCCTCTTAAATATTTCTTTTTAATAACTCCGTTAGACGATTAGGGAAAACATTCGGACTGTTCTATACAAGTTTTCGTGCAATGGCGAGCGGAAAAGCGACAGGAAAACTTCGCTCACCTCGATATTATTTAAAAAAAAGGTGAGTTTAGCGGCCGGTCTGGAAGCCGACGAGGCGCAACTCGCCCTCAAAACATCCCCTACATCGTAGAAGCTTTTATCGGTACCGAGAGTGGGCGAATCGGCTGGTAACGCTGCAACAAAAATATATATATATATAATTCACCAGATTGATACCGGATAGAAAGTTTTTCCGCCGGATAGATTCGATTCCGGATAGAAACTCGACGGTTTTTTGTTGTTTGCTTTCGCTCTCCCGGCCCTCCGTTTAACTGGATATTGTGCGTTTACATTCGATTTCTTTTCGACCGCGAATTTCACGCCGGCCGCTTCCCAAAGTTAATATTTAATTAAACTAATGGAAACTTTGTATACAATTGCTCGGCGCTTCGTATACAACTAAATTTATTCCCGACGAATTAAAGAACATTGTGCTCTGCTTACCCACGACTAACAATTCCTTGGAATCGGTGCGAGTGGAGAAATGGGGCCCGTCGGTGGTCACTTCGCAGCTGAATTTACCCGATAGACTGAAGCGGACGTCTCGCAGCATCACATGGTGCTCGTTGGAAGCCTCCACCTGCAGAAAATTCGATGATTCAAAGCTTCGAAGAGACCTGGTGCAAGTCTTGGTTACTTACATCGACTTGGGCTCCTGAAAATGGGAACTTCTTGGTGCTGGGATGCTCCTTGGGAGTGTACCGGTAGAACTCGTGAGTACCACGGTAGTATTTAACAGTGTACAAAGGTTCCCCTTGTAGATTATAAGCGCATGTTAAGGTGGTGGATCCGCCGTATTCGACGACGTTCGGCTGGATATCCAGCAGGACCTCCTTCAAGCATGATATTCCTGCAAAGTTTAAAACCGAAATAGAAATGATAAACTCCTATTTTAGTTGCGAACGAGCTCGAGCTCTGTAGCTAATCGAGCTCAGATGGAAACTTAAAGGTCGGTTAAGCACATCGAAGCCAGCCAAAATACTTGTAGTTATAAATTATTCAAGTTGGGCAATATCGCATATCCTAATCAATATGCGGAGTTAAGGGCATTGTTACAGGATTCATTTCCATATAAGCCCGTATATATACGTCTGGCGATATTCAAATCCACTTGACAGCGCCGGTATTATGATAATGCTTTTCGAATTCATGCTTCGACTACTCAAGACACATGGAAACCAGATTTTTACTGTCCTTACAATTTCCTGCATGAATTTGTACACTCTTAATGTGCCCTACATTCCACGATAATATCGGGATAAAGTCAAGATTATTTAAGAATATTGTCGATTTATTTTCGAGATAATGTGAAGATAATGTAAGTATAATGTCGAGATAATGTCAGGGTAATGACAGGATATTATCTAGAAAAATGCCGAGATAATGTAAGAATAACGTCGAGATAATGACACGATATTATCCAGAAAAATGCCGAGATAATGTAAGAATAACGTCGAGATAATGACAGGACATTATCCAGAATAATGCCGAGATAATGTAAGAATAACGTCGAGATAACGACAGGATATTGTCCAGAATAATATCGAGATAATGTGAAGATAATAACAGAAGCTTTTCCAGAATAATGTCGAGATAATGTCAAAACATTGTCAAGATAATGTCAGCACATTGTCCATAATAATGTCGCGATAATGTAAGATTAATATGTCAAGATTATATTTAAATATGGTCGAGATAATGTCAGAAAAATGAAAGAATAATGCGTATACAGAGTGTCCCAAATAAATTCCGAGGTATCATGGGATTAATCCGGTTCCGTTTGGTGCGCAACGGAACTATTTTGTTGATATTAATGAAGTAATAACAGGGTGAATTGTTTTATTTAACGGCACGTTTTAGGAGCGGAATTAATTGCAAGCGTTATAGAACAACAACAAACCGGTTTAATTGTCGCCGTGTCTCCCTAATTTTCCTTTTCGGGCCGGAATTAATAGTTTCATTTCGAATATTTAGCTAATCCGGCGATTTATCGGCGCGTAATTGCCGAGATATTTGATGCAGAATCGGATAAATCTTCGTTATGCGAAATTGCGGAGGTTCACGGAAAAGGGCTAATAACGCCTGGTTAAATCGACCGAGAATTTTTAAAACATATTTACGACGTATACAAATAGTTGAAACATCCCTCGCCCATCGACCGAAACGGGCGGGAAAAAAACCCCCCGACGAATAACTGAATAAAATAAAAACCGAAACCGCAATGCACATTAAATAAAACGGCAATCTCGACCGTCCATTTACGAGCAGATAACAAACAACCTCATGCTGCACAATATCATTAAATTACCTTCCGGCCGAACAAATAAAAAGCGCATAACTCAAAACATGCCGTAAATCTTTCGGATGCACTCTTAGCCGAGAGTCCCGTTTCGGAACATGGACTTTTTGTTTTTCCTCTCCGGCGCAAATAAATCGACGAGATGGAAAAAATATCGGTTTAAGCAGGTACTAAGGTTCTTATTCCAAAATACGATACGGCCTTTTTCGGTGAATAATACATGGAGAGAAGAAGCGTGTAATGATAGCCATTGTTCTTGAGATCTGAGGGTAGAAAAAGAGTGATAATGGATGTTTAGAATTTTTAGAACGATTGGATAATAATCTTACAGATTAATTGCACCGAATTACGCTACAATTATTAATAAAACTTGTTAAATATTAATGTGTATCTTGATAAAGAAATAACTGCATAATGAAAGTACTCTACTAAAAGTAGATAAGATACTTAAATGACTCCATAAATTCGGATACCAAATATAAATTTGAACATAACAAGTATAAATTTAAACAGCTGAGTTACTACACCAAAATGAAAATTCTAATTATTTTATCAGCCGCTTTTTTGGCCGTTAACGCACTGTCCATCGAGCCACAATGGAACCAATTCAAGGTAACTTACTAACATTCGCAATTACCTACTAACAAAATACATTCCTCCAATAACAGATCACTTACAACAAACGCTACGAAACCTCCGAAGAGGAGCAGCTTCGCTTCAACATCTACCAAGACAACCTGGAAAAGATCAATCGACACAACCGTAGGTACGAAGCCGGGCTGGAAACCTACACCATGACAGCCAACAAATTCGCCGATTTAACCCAAACCGAATTCGGCGACATGCTCAGATCGCAGTCCGGAAGTTTACCGGAATTCGAGTTCGAGAAACGCCCGTCCGACGAGCCAACTCCCATTCCCGATTCCATCGATTGGAGGGAGACCGATAAAGCCGTGCTGCCGGTCAAAGATCAAAACTACACCGGATGCAACTCCGGCTGGGCCTTCAGCGCTGTAAGTTTACCACGATTGCCCATTACCACTCCATTTACGGTTCTTTTTCACCACAGACCGGCGCTTTGGAAGGGCAAAACGCTATCAAAAACAACGCCAGAACCCCGCTCAGCGAGCAGCAATTGATCGATTGCGACGAAGCAAGCCAAGGATGCGATGGTGGAAGTGTTGCCAATGCTATCCAATATGTTATTAAAAACGGTCTAACCAGCGAAACCGATTATCCTTACCTAGGTAACCAGACGATATGCCAGGCTCAAAACACCACCATCACCGCCAAGGCGCTAGTTACCCTCGACAAAACCGAAGCTGATCTTCAACAAGCTGTCGGTGAGTAGTTCCTGCGATTAGGAAAGCATGCAGAATGCATGGGATAGGATGGAAAGATTAAGATAGAAAGACTAGAGAAGTGAGGGAAGATTATGAAAGCATGGGAAAGGGTTGGAACTATTAGGGAAGCATAGAGAAGTGAGGGAAGATTAGAAAAGTTTATAAATGAAAGAGGAATAGATAAGGGAAGCATAGGGAACTAGCGAAGATAATGAGAGTATCTGGAATATGTTTCATTGAATATTTATTATCTGCAGGTTCGGTGGGTCCGATATCCGCAGGGATGTACTTCGATCTTCTTCAATTTTACGAAGGTGGCATCTTCCATTCTGACTTTTGCTTCAACGAGGAAGCTATACTAGATCACGACGTGCTGGTGGTTGGTTACGGTAGCGAGTACAGCGAAGAGTTGAAAGAAGAGAGAAAATATTGGATCATTAAAAACTCGATGGGACAGGATTGGGGCGAGAAGGGATACGTCAGGCTGGCGAGGGACGCCGATCAATGCGGCATCGCTTTGAGATGCTCCTATCCGATTTTGTGAATAAAATGAGGGAGTTTTATTTATTTCGAAATGTGTACAAATTTTATTTCGTCGACGAGGAAGCAACGTTAATCGAGAAAAATAATTAAGGGACGGTCGAGCGGGGTTTTTTTAAAAAGTGGAGACCAATTTGCTTGGGATGGCTTCGATTCATTAGCGTTCCGCGCTGGAGAAACTCGATTATATTTAATAATATTTCGATGGCGGAAAAATTTCAACGAACGGCGCATTTCGTCTTTCACTCGACAAAAAAATGAAGTAAGACCCGCTCTAAATTCAGACCACTCTAGTTAATTTTTAGTTATTAGAGTTGTGAAAATCGGTACAAATGTTAATAGCATCACGTCGGAGCTTTGATGAAACATATATTCGTTCACAAAAAACGTATTAATTATTAACTGGAAAACGCAACTTGATAAACTTTCGCATTTTTCCCGACGACAAGTCGCCGTGAAATCCCACAAAGAACATCTTCGCGTTCCCACAGTATTTACCAAACCAATTCATTCGAACACAAAAGAACTCCGACTGTAAAAATAAACTTTTGAAAATCATATTCACGCTTTACGGTCGCAAATAACTAGAGATGCACATCTTACGTTCGTGCACAAGGAAAAGAGGAAAACGGTTGAATTTTCCATAGCGATATTCCCGCGTTATATGTGTGTGTGTGCCGGTCTCGAAGGTAGGTCGTTTGCAACTTTGAAATGCCACGTACCCCTCCTGTTCGGCGCAAATTCAATTCTCCCAACTCCTGTCTATGTAATACGTGCCTCTCGGGAGGTTTTTCCGATATACTCTTGGAAAACCTACCGGCAATGAAAGTATGATGTAACGCCAGCGATGCGAATTATGAATTTTTTGATATGGGAAACACACTTTGTAGGCTAGAAGTAATTTTAATGAGCGCAAAAGAGGAAACGAGAGAATTCGCGGTGTTGATTTATAAGGAGAGGATTTTTTTTATTCGTTTCTAACTCGATTTGTGCGGATTTGTTGAGAATTAGAAATGCATGGGAAACGATAGAAAGATTAGGATAGCATATGAAAGCATGGTGAAGGGTTGGAAAAATGAGGAATGCATGGGAAAGGATGGAGAGATTAGGATAGCATAGATGAGTGAGGAAAAATGAGGAAAGCATAGGGATGGGTTAGGAGAATTAGAAATGCATGGGAAACGATGGAAAGATTAGGATAGCTTGGAGAAGAGAGGGAAGATTATGAAAGCATGGGGAAGGGTTGGGCCGATTTGGGAAACATAGGGAAGTGAGGGAAGATTAGAAAAGTTTAAAAATGAAAGAGGAATAGAAAAGGGAAGCGTAGAGAAGCTAGTAATGAAAGTATTACAAGTGATTTATAATTATTGGCTGTTGATTTATAAGGAGAGGATTTTTTTATTCGTTTCTAACTCGATTTGTGCCAACGGAATACGATTACAAGTCGCCTCCTTTGCATCGCGAAACGCCAAATGGCCAGAGGACAGTGCGGAATGCTAATTAACTGGCAAACGCCGGGGCCAACAACTACAACAACAACAACAACAACAACGGTAGAGGTAGCGGCATCGCCGGGTCCCCGAACGGGGGAATCGGGATTATGTATAATTTAGCCGCAAAGGATAATAGCCCGCGGGGTTTAACCGCTTTACGGCGGCGGTTTCCGTGATCTATCGCCTTGCGGAGAGACCTAGACTACACCTAGCCCGGCTGCATGTACAAATCCCGATCAAAATCCAAGGAGCTGGAACACGTTTGCTGTATACCTATACAGATATACCAGTTTCTCGATTTATTAGCGTTACCGGTAAATTTTAATTGGACTAATTTGCTATGTGCAGAGATTTCTGGCTAAATACACTAAAACAGCATTGCCACGTTGTAATATTTTCTTCAAAGTTGGTGCTATTTTAGTGCTAATTTAGTGGATTTTACTCCTGAAGATCAGACTACAAAATGGTAAAAATGTAATTTTTGGGGTTAAGGATTGAGCACAAAAATCTGACTTTAGCTATTTAAAAAGCACTAAAATCATTGAAAAATTAGAGATCAAAAGCGTTTCCCTATTACTATCTGTTTTTCTATTGACTCCAATACGTTTTTATGAAATATCTTTAAGATTAATACCTTAAATGAAATTCTGAGTAGTGCATTCGAAAGCACTAAAATAGCACTAAATTCCGATATATTATTTTTTAATTTTGTTCAAATATTTAAATGTGGGGGTGCTAACGCCCAATTACATAAATTAAAAAAAGTACAAGTTAGAGGTAAATGTTTTATTAACCCACCTATAAATCGAATAGCCTGACAATCCTTAAAAGAATGAATAATATACTGCTCCACAAAAGTTAAGGAAATTCACAAATATTGAGATTAATTTAAAAGTTGATTGACAGGTTTTTTGATCGCAAAATTTAGTATGAGTTGTAGAGGTAGGGACAAAAAATCCACTCAGATATAAGAGAAAACATTTAATGTTGCATATTTGAAAATTTGGCGATCAAAAAGTCTGTAACTTTTAAAATAATCGCAAAATTAGCGAACTTCCTTAACTTTCGTGGAGCAGTTTATTTACCAGCACACATAAATACTAAAGCTTTAAAAATAGCATGGGTTAAAAGATTCTCATCATTAATCCCAATTGTCTTAAAGTGGATAAAGCAATAATTTCTTTTAAACCAAATTCAAAATTGGCCCTACACCAGCTATAAATACGGTTAAAAGAAGAAAAATACAATAAGGCTTACGACAATAGTTCCACGTTCAAATCCATCATTCTCTATATCTCTCCGGATGTCGCTTTAGCGGACTTTTATAGGTAGAAATCAAATCGTTCGCCAGCGAATCCCCATTTTCTCGAAGCGGATTTTTTCCCGCCCGGAAAAGTCGCGATCGCGTTCGGGAATCCCCTCGAAAATTGATCGCGTCGTGCATATGCAAAGTTATGTCGTCCGTCGAACAATTAATTCCGCGACAGGGAGCGTTATTTTAAGTGCGGTCGCTCCTTTAATGGGAAACAAATAGTTCGTTAAATTCGCCGGTTTAAAGCCAACGTCAATCCGGATCGCTAACTAATTTCGCAACTGTTTAATTCCAACTATCCGCACAACATTCGTTTAAGCGCGTAAACTCGAACTCTGGTAGATTCGTTTAATATTCCAATTGTGGAAACTGCGAGTGTATGTACTCCGATGGTTTTCGGGTACAGTTTTAAGAAAGCCAGCGGGAATTCCACGTGATGCAAGTATAAATCATGCGGCGGCGTTTAATTAAATTTCGGTAGTCGAAAACGATGGAAAAACTGCGGATTATACGGTAACCTGCAATGCTATTTTCGTTATTATTGCTCCAGCGGTCGAGGCGCTTGCGAAAAACATTAAATTCTTTTTCGGCGTTATTAAAACCGCGCTCAAGTGGGAACGTAATGTAAGCACTGTCAATCATAAAATGCAAAATGCACGAGAATAAACATTTTTTTCATCATATATCTTTTCGAGTAGCACTTTATTTTGTATTCCAATCCAATCGACATCTAAAAAATGTATTATTCTTCGCTATTAATCCCCTTCTGCGTTGACTATAATGCAACCACAAAAGCTGTAGAAACCGATGATAAATAAACTACTTTATAATCGTTTATTTTCCAGTTAAACACACTTTCAAGGCGAACGATAAAACCTATACAACATTTATCCGGACCAGGTAGAGCAAACCTAAATTGAATTGACCGATTTGTATAAACAGGATTTTAGGTCTGTTTGCAGGGATCGTTCCTGCGAGGCCACTTTCGATGCGTAGCATCCAATCATGGGTTGGTTAAAATCGAAAACCGGGCTGAAAACGATGCAATTGTAGCTGAATCAATTCGGTTCTAATAAATAAATAGGATAGAGAATATAGAGACATTTCAAACGATATATCACAAGCCAATACTTTCCAATAAAAAAAAATCGAGGTTGTGACTGTCATTCGAAGGGGGTTGACATTTTGTCAGGTAGAGGTCACATTTTGGAAGTTGAAAAAAGTCTATTTATAATTAATATTTGACCTGTTTCAGGATTTTCTATAAATATCTGTATAATAAAGTAAATTACATATTATGTATAATATACAATATTTACAATAGCTTATTAATGCCCTAGATAAAAAATATTGTTAGTATTTTTCAGGTATTTCGTTACGCTTTCGCAGTAATTTCCAATTAAATAAAAAAAATCACTCGATAACTTGCAATTCGATATTGTAGCAGGTGTTTCGTTCGAAACTAGCAATTTTAACTGAAATATTTATACATATACACAAAAAAATGGAGCTTCGTTAACAATTCGAAAACACATCGTTCGGTTCCTATACATGACAAACCGTAGTTTTTGGCATAAATTTCGATGCACTTTTAAGCGACAAAATCCACATGCAAGCGGGCATTTTATATCCGCGACAATCCATTTTCATTTGCTATTGGACCAGCCGAATTTAATGCACCCAATGCAATTTATTCGTTCTGTTGTATACTCAGTATTGTCCATTCAATGTTTCAGTTTATACAGCGAATAATTTCGATAAAACTTCGAGGACGAATCGCTCCAATTTTTTAAAATCAGCTGCATTTCTTTCTAATTCAAGGGGCGATGTTGAAGTTTCTTTCGGCGATAAATTTCCACCAGCTGGATTTCTAATGTCGCCCTTTCGCGGAATCCGAGCGACTTATTCCGATTCTCTATTATCTCCGGGTTTTTCCCTCTTAGCTACGCGATAGCGGAAACTTTCCGTTCGAAATAATTTTCGATCGTCGTTTAATTAGCATTTAAAATCGCCATGTATAGTGCATATAGCTCGGCGAGTTGATTTATCGTTTAGTTTAAATTGCAATCGGATATATTGCAGTAAAAACATTGTTGCTACAGGCAATTGCGCGCGTTCCCCAAAAACCGTTTGTCATTTCATTAGTCCACTAGCCGCAACAATGGACAATTAAAATTTTATGATAAAAAGCCCGTCTGGCCGTTATAGCTGCATATTTCATGAGCTTGCTGTATGTTTAATTTGTCCTAACAATCCCTTTGTTCTTGCTTGTGTATGGCGAGATAAATATTGACTCTCGAGAGAACCGCCCTGTATAATATACTAATTATCTGGGTTTGTTGGGGGTGGAATCGGAGCTCCTAATTAACAATTTTTAACACCCTTTAATGGATGGCGATTTAATGGTTCGTTAATGTCTCCTAATTGCCCTGCGGAGGTTAGACTGGCAATTGCAGAAAAGGGATTGTATGAAAAAACAATTTCGGGAGATACACCCGAGTCTATTAGACTAATCCGGGCAATAATAAAAAGGGTTCATTTCCATTCAAATATATGCACATAGGTAAAGTGCTCTCGTAAAATCTAATCTACAGAACGGGATTTTTATTTACGCGCCCCCTCGAAGTATATTTCATTTAAATTACCGGTGTGTAGCAGGTGGTTTTTTTTTGTAAGGAGAATTGATGCCATTTTTCCAAACAAAACTCTGCACGGGCAACTTGGAACTGGTAAATTCTGTTTATTCGATCAAAGTTTAGCGAAACTATCGACAACACTATTATATGGAGCGTTTTCAGTCAAAGTTTATAATATTCGCTTGCGCACAATTCAGTAGAGTTAATATAACTTTTACTATTAGGTAGCGATTTTGCGTTATACAGGGTGTTAATTAATTGAATGCCGATATGAACTATTACCTACTATTACCTAAAATTACCTAAAATATCTGGAGTAATAAGAAAATTATGATAAAAAAGTAGCTCCAAAACTAAGAGGTTTAGAACATTCATTGACATAAACTTATATCTTCTTAAAATCATCCAAATATTCACATCCTGAAATATCAGCATTCAATTAATTAACAGCCTATACATAATGCTAAATTCGAGCTTCAGAGTTAATGCAGCTCAGTATTTACTTTTTCGAGTATTTTTCGCGAGCTAAAAAACGTACCTTCTACGGCGAAATCCTTATCGACTGCGCCACTTGATTTATATTATCCAGCTTTTCGGGATATTTACGAGGGGAGCAGGAATACGAAAAAAAAAAAACAATTCCGCCCGTTCCTGGAACGCAGATTTAATCTGAAATTAGCAGACTGCACGCATTAAAACGATATTTCATTAGAGATACGCGAATGCTGTTTGTGACAATGGGTGTCGATTTTTGGTTCGCACGTTAATTACAAAACCGGCCAGGGATTGTGTTTAATCAACGTTCTGTAATAAACATCACGATACGGACGAAACTAAAAACCGGAAATTTCGTTAATCTAATGAACGAACTGATTAAAATTTACCTATTCATTCGAAAAACACAGTGTATTGCAGATTTTTTGAGTACAGGTACTTTTTTACCGGGTTTGAAAGCGTTATAACCGGTTCTGATTTATCCGGGACTGTTCCAATTAATCCTGAGTCTATTCTAAATAGTTTTAGATGATTCTAAAATCGCCCTGAAATGTTTCAAACGATCATAGTCAGTTCTAAAATGGTTATAAATAAATCTAAACGATTGTGAACTGTTCTAAATGTTTTTGAACAATTCTGACTGGTTTTGAACAATTCTAAACCGTTTCCGAAGGTTCTAAATAATGTTTAAAACGGTCCTGAACAATTCGAAAAAGCCATCTCCCTTTCTATTTCCCTTATTCCAATGGTCAAGTGAACTCTTTGTCCTACTTGTGTTATTCCAACATATTTACAGACTGACACGGTATAAAGTTGTAGTTATTAACCAAAGCTCGTTTCGTGGAATATAAACGGCTTCGTTCGCCGATATTTATTAGCAAGAAGAGGACGTCGATTAATTCCGGTGAAATATTAACAAGATGTTTTGATGAGGATGTCTCCGGTAAAGCTTTTATAGACGGAGCGGAGCTCGACCTCTAACTCCCAATGCAATTAGTTTTCCTTTGCCAGTTCGTACCTGCGAGAATTTACGCATCGCCATTTTATTAATTCTAACAAGTCGATAATTAAACTTGCAGTAGAAAGAAGGATGATAAAAAAATAAATTCCCGTCGAGTTGCTTTGTAGCCGGATTATAACAGACATGTATAGGTTAATAAGTTATTAAGCTTTATGTTTCATTCAATCGGAAGAACGTTGAATATTTGAATGCGTTTATGCAGAGATATCTCTAACAGAAACGGATATTGCACATTTCGCTCAATTATTTAAGCAAAACTTTCCGGAGTTATTTGCTTTCGCGAAACAGTACTCAAACTCTTGTTTGAGCCCCGCGCTCGTCCGTAGATCGGTTTTAATGGGAAACAGAAACGGTTTTGTATATCTTAAAAATGCACCGAGCAAAGTAATCCTTCGATATATATAAGTATTTTTAATACTCGCACACGAACATACATCATTTCGCGTTGCAGCGAAATTACGAATTCATTATTTGCTCGACTAAAGGGAATGTGTACCTTCCGCTCGAATTTTACAAACTGCCACCGACTCGCCCGTATATTTACCTAATGGAAGTTATTAACAAGAACAACGTCGCTTGTTAGTCGGAATACAAGCTACTCAATTTCAGTGATGGATTACACACCTCCCGTTTGGTCGAGACTCTCTCTCTATCTGCTTTGCATGCGAAATTTCCAGCCCAACTCTCGCCTAATTACCGCTGCGAAGAGTCGAAACTCACCTGCAGTTTACTCCATATTGATGGTTTGTTTAATGTGTCAGTTTTGTCGCATTGTATTTGTACCAACAAGGTTTATTTATGCAAAGTATAAGATGTTGTAACGATTCAATAATCGCTTTGCTACACCCTGATGTGAAAAAATTCATGGCGAAGAAATTCCTGCGAAAATCTGGCGTCGAAACAACAATTTTTCCAGCGGTAACTGCACCTATTCATCCGACCCCTCTTCGGCGTAATTCAAATTTTCATCGTTGTCGAGTTCTTTCCCGAGCACCTAACGAAATTGGAGTTTAGATTTATAAGCGAACAGGGCGATGAGATAACCCTTTTCCAAACAAGCAACTTTCCCCCCAAACGATCTTGCGGTATAATAAAGAAGTTACTTTAATTCCCAATGCAACAACCCGGTAATGATAACTGTTATGATAGCGAACGAAGAAGAGTGAACTGATAAATAATTAAGACAGAGGAAGCGAAAGGAGGAAGCTTGAACAACGCCAGATGCTATTACTCACGAGTTGTAAGTTCGCGAAACGAGTCAAATGTTGAATCGTAGGAGAGAGTGGGGTGGATTTTTTATGTTGATCAAAAACACACTCACCTGCTAGTCGGATGATGAAAAGAAAACCAAAAACCTTATCAGCGACCGGGCCCTTCATCGGCGCTCGCACATATCGCGATATCGAGCTCGCGGACGTCCCGACGGCGGCTTATCGAGGGCGTCGAGGCGCGTCGTTCCACCAGCAACGTCGACGACGAACGGCCGAGCGCTCCGCCGCGGCGGCTGCGGCGGCGGCGGCGGCGGCGGCGGCGGCGACGCGGCCCGCCCGCCGGGCGCACGCGTCGCCCTTCGACGGCGATTTATCTTCTGTTTGGGGTCCATGTGTGGACGTTTTAGGGATCTAATGTTACTGATGCATATAAACCTGCGTTTCGCTAATCGCTCGATTATATACAGGGTGTTAAATTGTCAGTGCGACAAACTTCAGGGGGTGATTCTGCATGAAGAAATGATGATATTTTGTTGTATAAATATATGCTCGCAAATGCTTCGTTTTCGAGATACGGGGTGTTAAAGTTTCTTCATTACTAGATAGCTTGTATTGAGAAAATAAAAAATACACGTCTAAATGTTTTATTTTTTTTCTCGAAAACAGCGGCCCGTACGAGAAAAACACAAGAGAGTTTTTTTGTCAGAAATTGAACGAGGAATTCATTCATAATTGAATTTTCAATAAAAATGCCTCAGTGGCGTACCAATATTATTTTTCTCTTCAAATTCTCTCTCTTCGAAAATTTTATTATTACCCGTATGCACGTCTATGAGGAACATAAAATTTTTAATTTTATGTTAAAAAATGCGTAATAGTTACCTCTTAATACCCACCAAATTTCATTTGAATATCTCTTCTGGTTTCAGAGAAATAAATAAATCTTTGCTTTTTAATAAGAAACTTGAACACCTCGTATCTAGAAAATGAAGCATTTTGGGACATATTCCTGTTTATTTTAAAGATAATGTATCGTCTATTAAAATACTATATTTTAGTTGCAAATAAAACAATTTTTAATAAACTGCTAAACTCGAATTCCTTTCGATTTTCAAATAAACCATTTAAACCATTTAAAACTGTCCGAAATCATTTAGAACAGATTCGAGGATATTTGTTGGAGTCCTAAATAAACTAGAAAAGTTCAGGATCGTTTAGAATGCTTTCAGGAGTATTTAGAACTTCTTTCTAGAGCTTTTAGAAGAGTAGGTAGGTACATAAAATTTTCCGTCTAAAAAAAACCGATTAAACTAACAAAATCTCCAAATAAAATTTTAGATTTAAGTGTTCCATTAATATCGAGTATAAACTTTCGAGAATCGATACGGGATTGTGCTATTCTCCAACGATAGAGAAACTATAAAACTAAGAATATATGTTGATAATTCCCAGGTGTCGTTTTATTCCGGATAGCGAAGAAGAGCGGGCGTAAAAAGGAGCAGACTCGAATAAGATTCATTGAAATGAAAAAGCGCAGGAGGGAAACTTCCAAACAAAAAACGATGCTAATGGATAAAAAAAACCCTGTCGGATAATACATTAGAGCGACGCAACCCGGGCACATATTGTGATTTAATTAGATTTCCTTCAGCCGTAAATACACCATTTTTCGCAAGAAGCTCCTTTCCTAATTAAAGGAGTTCGTCGTCGAACGAAAATTCCAACGAATAATAACAAAAATAGATTCCCGCGTTTCTGGTGCATCGAATCGGAATTTCTCCGACGATAATGCACCTATCTCTAAATAGCCGAAGTTTGAAACACGACCGGCGTCGGACTAAATTATACGGAACGGTGACAAAGTCCTCGTCTCCAACTAATAATTAGGAAATCGGTAAGAGAACCAGACGGCAGAATGCGACAGGGAGAAGGCGAAGGGACCTCCACTGATTGATCCGGCGCAGGAGCGATAGAAGTTAACTTTGCACAATATACACTAGCTGACTGGTAGATGTAATGGAAACTGCTATATAGATGATGTAATGCGAATAATTAGCATCTACTGGTAGTATGTGGAATCGATTTTGCACATTATCTCATAAAACGGGGGTTTAAGTAAATAAATATCCCTTTAGATTAAACATATATTTGATGGTTGAAACGAAAGGTGAATGGCAAATTGACGAATATATCCGAGGAAAAAATATACATTATATTAAAGTAAGCAATCAATCAGGAATTCGACTGACAAAAGCAGGAAAAAAAAAAGGAAGAAAAAGTGAAAAAGTCAATAAGTCCGTTTCCCATTTGACTCGGCATAAAGCTAAAGATGGGTAGTACATCGAATTCAGCCGAAAATTTCGAAATGATTGATTATATCGCCCTATATTGTGACTCCATAATAGCCTCGTCAGTATAATAAAAATATCCATTACTTTCGAGTTTCCAAAAAGCCGCGATGATAAATCATTTTTCGAGACGTTTATGAAGATCCAACGCCGCTTTACAATGGCTTTCTTTCGGTATTTTCGGCGCAGCTTTGTCATTCCTTGAGTACCCCCATTCCGAATAGATTAACTCGGGAAACAATGTGAAAAAAATGAACGCAAACATACCATGAAATATGCATGAGCTTGTTGTTCCTGCAAACGTATAAATCTATTTTTACTCGCCAACATTAACAAAACTATTTTATATTAATTCACAAAACCAATCCATCCAAGATTGACATCTGGAGAATGAGATTATATCTAATTATTAATGGTATAGACTAGTAGGGAGTAAAGAGGAAGAGATGAAGAGAGATTGAGCTATGACAAGTGCACTTAGTCCTGTTTTAGAATTATTCAGAACAATTTTAAAATCATTTAGAACTGTTCAGAACCATTTAGGACTGCCCAGAATCATTAGAACCATTTTACAACTGATTGGGAAGGATCATTTGAACAAGACGATTTTTAGAACTATTTAAAATTATTTAGAGAAATTCAGGACTATTGTGAACTATTTTGTTATTACTCCGGAGAAAGAGAGTTTATCAAATCATTGATGGTATAGAGTATAGAGGAAGAGATGAAGAAAGATTGAGCTATGAGAAAGTGCACTTGGTCCTGTTTTAGAATTATTCAGGACAATTTTAGAATCATTTAGAACTGTTTAAAACCATTTAGGACTGCCCAGAATCATTAGAACCATTTTACAACTAACTGGAATGAATCATTTGAACCATTACAAGACGATTTTAGGAACTATTTAAAATTATTTAGAGAAATTCAGCACTATTGAGAACTATTTTTCATCTAAAAAACGTTTTGTGAAGTGAACAAAATGAGCGTCCCACAACTCTTGTTATTAAGTAAATTTGTTGAAAATTAGCAAAATTTTAAATTAACTAACTTTGAAAAGGCTATATATATCATTGCAGGAATATATCTGTACATAGAGGTGTATACAGGCGGTATATAAATGCGAGTATCATTAATTTTGTTTGGTTAATGTACAAGTATTGGCACACACCCTGCTCGCCGATATTTCTCGAGAGTTATCTGCTTTATGGCGTTTCCGCTGCATCCTCGGAGGAAAATTGGTGGAAAAAGAGAGACTCCGGTTCTCAGTCATTGTCTACAACCGCACACAACACATTGTCAATTTGTCAAAGAGATTTATACGAATATGGTGTAACGGCTCCGCTTCGCTTTGAGTACGCGCGTGTGCTATTTTTCGGATAATTTATCTTTTTCCTTTCCGGAAAGTGCACATCCAATTTGGGGAAAGCTTATTTGCAGTCGAGCTTTCCCGACATCCAATTCGTCGGAGAGCTTCGAGCACCTCAGGTGTGTGTCTAACCGATGGAAAAAATTCCTGCTCTTCCACGAAATAATAATCGATTTCTTCGTTTTGTTTATTAACAAATTTAAGAGAGGTTTTCTTGTTAGATAGAAGAGCTTTCCAGTTTCGAATAAATTTCTATCGCCGTATATAAAACGGCGATCGATCAGCGGGAAAAATCTCATCGACAACTCCTCCGGATAGGTACAAATTTCGCAATACCGGGCGTGTTAGTCAGCGTATATTCAAGCAGGATAGCGTCCCGCCGGCCGGCTTTCAATCGCCCTCCGAGGATCCCAAGGATTTATTACATCCAGGTGTAGACCAGGCAGCCGAAGGAATCACGACATTCCCTCCACCTTTACGATTTATTAACTCACCAAAAACTACACCAGAAATCACTACTAAACAACAAAAAGTAGAGTATACAACTCGATTTGTTATTTCTAATACGAATACATTATGTTAGGTGATAATTTTTTGTGCAACTTGCACTGGTCTATAGAAAATTTATTGCCATACTCGTATGAGTGTCATGACTCTCGGGCGTGCAACTGATACGGGGGAATAAAAAGTGACATCGGCAATTCAATAAACGCCTCCAGTAGGTTATCATAAGGGCACGTTCTGCCCGATAAGCTTCCGACGTTCCGGAGATTCCTAGGCGGGCATTTTATCGTTCATGATACACATGTTTCCGAGTCGACGGGAATGCCGTGTAACTGCGAAGCATGCGACATTACGGTTTAAAATAAAATATGAATTGGGGTTTATTGAAAATAGGCGATTTAGGGTGAGCAGTCGACCAATAGCGGTATCAAATTTGAATTATGTACATAAATTTTAACGGAGTTCGTTGGTTGTAATTACACGATGTAAAATGAGTTGTGTGCTAAATAATAAATGAGTCGAATTCGGTTCGAATATGATTTTACAGAGGAAACTGCAGCGATTTCGAATATAAAAAAAAGGTAATTGATAAATCTATAAGGATTCCGGTAATCGTTGCAATTAAAGTTACCCGCGGAACGGTTTATATAAATTTTCCCGGAGTCCGAACGACAAGCGTTTGAAAAATTATGGCCCGGAGGCGAGCTTTGCACAGCACTCGACAAACCCACTGTCACTTCAATACCGCACCACTAAATCAAAGGGCTGTTTTGGGCGAACCTTTCTCCAAAATAAACACATTTCCGAACGTTTTCCTTCCCGGACCCGTGACGTCGAATAATGAATATACCCATTTATTTCGAATGGCTGAACTTTTCCTCGAAACTATCCGACGTCTACGTTTTGCGTTTAGGTAAATGCGACCCATTCCTTCCGACGATATTTCATCACCGGAATAGCTACTCTGCTATCTCAATCAATAAACAATGAAAATACCGAAACGTCTGCGGAAATAAATCCCGTTGCGCCCCGTTATTTACCTAATACTTCGCGTTGTTCGTACCGAATCAATTTTTCCTATCTTCACTCTGCGATCATTACCGCCCTTTTTTTATTCATCCTACCTTAAATAACTACATTAATCATTACGTATTTATCGGTACATCAGACAATAAAAAATTACAATTTCCTTATCACACGAACACCTAATTTATCTACAAATTAATAATTAAAAATTTACACTACCTACTTTTTGAATCAATTAACCAATCAGCAACTTTACATGTACACTATATGGTTCATGAATAAGCTAGCGCACACGTTCGAGAACTATAATTTCGTACCCTCCGAGAATTGTTTTGATGCCTAAAACTAGATACTAAAGTGGAATTGCTTTACCGATATACACGTATTGTTTGGAAAACAAACAACGCTAATTACACCTACAGCAAGTACATACATCCTCTTAAGTAGATGAAAATTTCGAAACAACTTTCCGGCTCGATTAAATTATCGATGAGACACGTTTACGCTTCGTTTGAATAATTGAAATAGTAGAAAACAATGTATGAAAACTCGACGATAGTTTTCCACTTTCGTAACTGTTCTAATGTTGCATGATCGGTTCGAATTAAAGTAATTGGTAAAATGAGTTATTAATGAAATTAGGTACACAGAGTAAAATTACATGGGGTTTTAATAAGCGAACGTGTAATTGCGCATAAATTGAATTGAACCTTCTACCTGTTGTGAGTTAGTGTGCTGTTAATGGACGAGGCGAGAATGTCGACGGTAAAAGCGGACGTGAATATATTGACATTCTTCTTCAAAATGGGTAAATTCTTCGGGGTGGTTCCTTTACACAACAAGAAATCCAGCAGATTAAAAACAATAATATCCCTGTCGTATTTCGCTATATTGAGCCTGTTACTATCCGCTATCTTCATTGTATCGGTTTGGGACCGCCACAAGATGTACGATTCGATGAAAGTGACCAATATCATCGTGGATGTGCTGGTGATGATAACGAATTTCTGCTTCATTTTAACCATCAGACTCGGCAATCTCATCAACAACCGATACTTCGACAAAATAATGGAAAGTTTCCGGAAAATCGACGCTTGCTTGGACCAATCGAATTTCACCATATGCAGGATGAGAGTGTTCAAAATTTACTTCTTCATTGTCGGTTTCCATGTACTTTATTTAGGCATGCACGCCTACGAACTGTACTACAGGATCGTCAATCACCAGACGTCCTTCCTCATATGGGTGTTGTACATACCCGGTTTCTTGAAAATACACCATCAATTATTCGTGGTTACTTTGGTGGCCAAAATGAACACCATGCTGCACACGAGGTACGCAAAAATTACATTTTACATTAACTAGATCTCACTCAAAAGTTATTTGTAGGTACCAATTCGTCATTCACTGCTTGGGATTGAACATCGACAAGGAAAACCTGAACCTGGAGCTGCTGGAATTGAACAAGAAATCCCTGACGTTGGATCAAATCTATTACGTTTTCAAGAAGCTGTACGATTTAGTTAGCGACATGAACGTCCTGTTCAACTGGCAAATATTCTTCGTCCTGACGTGCACCGTGCTGGAGATCCTGAACGTCATCAATTTCATGAAGCAGGACCAAGCTTGGTCCGTCCTGGCTGTTGATATAGCTTACGGAGCTTTGTACACGGTAAGTTTCCTGCGATAATGCTTCAAGTTCTACCTGTTGGTTTTTGCATTAGATATCCACGCTGGCGATAATCAAATCCTGCAACGATGTACAGATGTTGGGAGAAAAGGTCTACGTCTGCTGCTACACCAGCCAGGAGACGTTGGGAGGGTCAAAATTCGAGAACGAACTCCTGAAATTCGCTAAGTTGATAAAGCCATTGCTGCCTCAATATACAGCAGGAGGATTCGTTACTGTTAATCAGCGGATACTATCTTCGTTGTTTTCTGCTACGTTGACTTACCTCATTGTTATTATACAATTCGATTTAAGCACGTAAAAAGCTGTTGTGCTTAATAACCTAAAGCTTATTTGTGTTTTGTGTGTAGGCGAGAAAAATCCAAATATAGTCAGGATTCTTAGTTTCTTCGATGGAGTAAGTTAATACATTAGATGGGTAATTTAACAAACATTACACCCTTTACTATACTTACTAAATTAATTCGATTAGATCATCGTTTAGTTAGATTAGTGTATGATGTTTAATGTTTCATTCAATAAATTCATCCACTTCAGTTCGAGATGACGTCAGAAAAAGTCGATACGCGTTTATTAAGGAAGTTTATAATCGTAGGGAAAATTTTGGGAGTTTTTCCAGTGAAATTACCCGGCGAGTTCGCCGTAAAATCTTTGTATACATTGTACATGTTATTTGTAAATACTGTGACATTTGGGATATACTTTAATTCGTTTAGTTACCTAAGGAAAATGTATTATTCAATGGACCCCATCGATTTCGCGTTGGATACTCTAACAGTTTTATCATCGCTTTTATTCGTTGCAGTTTGCAGGTTGAAAATTTTAAACGACAGGCAAACATTCCACTCCCTAACCGAGAGTATTTCTAAGTTAAAATACGTGATTGATCCGAAGAAAATCCCTTTGGATAAACCCGAGGTTGCATTATTGACTGCCAGAATGATCTTAGGTTACCTGCTACTGCCGCTATTTTACATGAAGCAGAGCTTTTTCGACGTCGACGAAAAGCGAACAGCTTTTTTCATTCGAGCTTCACCACACATCGCCGCCATGATACATCAATTGGCGGTTTTTCAAGTCGCCAATTGGATCAATGTCGTTCTCAAATACAGGTAAATACAGGGCGTCCATTGATGCACCGCAAAAGATTCTTTAAACTTTCAGATTTAGGTACTTGAGAGTGCGCCTGACTTCGTTAGAAAACCTCCAAAGGGTAGATCTAAAAGAAGTGCTGATGGTTTATAAAAGATTATCGAAAATCGCCGCTTACACCAACAGTTTGTTCGGTTGGCACATTTTTCTGGCGTTTTGTTGCTCCGTAGTGGCCACCCTGAATTGCATTAATTTCTTTATGTACGGAGAACGTGAGGTATTCGCGATACTACCTTATGCGGTAAACGCTGTAATATACACAGTAAGTTCGAGTTTCTTGCAAACCCAATTTTTATCGTTCATTAAAATTACATAAAGTTGTGCTAATTTCCAGGTTTCTGCGTTCAAAACGACATCGTATTGCGTGGATGTACAAGAAGAATCGAATCGCATCATCCAATTCTGCTATTCGTATCAGAAGAATCTTCGAAGTACTTCGTTAGAAGAGTGTTTGAAGCGATTTGCGAAAGTGTGCCTTCGAATTAAACCCGATTATTCGGCTGCGGGATTCTTCAAAATGGAGAGGAGACTCCAGGCGACGACTTTCTCGGTTTTGGTGTCTTATTTGATTGTTATAGCGCAATTTCATTTATCCGCCAACGATGGTAGAAGCTCAGAATGAACGTAAAAATAACGTTAAGTTCATTCGTCGTACGTTAAATATCTGTTTGTGTACTTGTTACTATAGGAAGTTTTTTATGTGTGTTGTTTTTAAATGGTTATATCGATTTCAAAATGTATTAAAATATTAATATTTACGTCTATTTCATGAAGCACTTAATTAAATTAGACAGTATTAACAAAAGTAATCGATTCGAAATGAATATACGATTCGAATCTATCGCGGAGTATAGTCGAGAATTTTAGCCGAAATGTCTGCGGTTAGATTCGATGTAAAGTTGTTGAGATACTTCTTATTATACTCGAAGATACTGGGCGTTTATCCGGTGGTGATTCAAAAGGAACGAAAACTGGCGAAGTTTCTCTACCGATTCTATTTGATCGTACTTTGGTGTTTGATTGGCGTGGTATTCACCGTTTCCCTTTACACTAAAATACAGATCTCGAACAAAAATGGTCGTATAACGCACAGTGTGATAGATTTCATGGCAATGTTTAACGAAGTTCTGTTTGTTATTGTGTGCCGCGTGGCCATTATATGGAATCACCAAATGTACATGAATTTTCAACAAAGCATTAGTAATATGGAGCAATGTTTGAACTTTACGGATTTCTCCGTTAAAAAAGGGAATGTATTGTCGATGTTGTCGAGAATGATATTAATACACTTATTGTTTTTTGGCATACACATCAGAGAATTGGTTATTAAGTTGCAAAATGGAGATTTGGAGATTTTGCTTTACAATTTGTACCACGTCGTTACTTTGTACCATCAAACAATTATTTTACAAATAATAACGATTACTAATTGTTTTCTATTCACCAGGTAAACTTTTTTAAATAGTGTACCTTTTGTTCCCACTAATTAGGGAATATTCTGTTTGTAATGAATTGTTTTAGGTACAAATTTTTACGAACCCAGTTGCATTCGATTATACAAAGCGAAAAACCCAACGCTATCGGCCTGAAATTCCGCAAAAAACCGAAATTAAAGGAAGCCTTTATTCTATTCAAACAAATTTCGAAAGTTTCATTAAACATGAGCAAAACATTCGGTCTGCACGTATTTCTAGCATCATCGTCCACCGTCATCATCAGCCTCAATTGCATAGTTTTTCTAATTTTCGTCGACGACAACAAAGATTTATTCATATATCTAACACACACTCTAATATATCTGGTAAAGTTAAATTTTCGGTAAAAATATAATGCGCAAATAATCGTTTCATATCGTTTCAGATATCCTATGTAATAGTTGTGTTACGCAGCGAGGATGTGGAATCGGAATCGCGGAAAATCATCAGATTTTGCTACGAAAACCAGGAGAGTTTATCAGGCAATCATTTGGAATTCGAACTGATGCGTTTCGCGGATATTTGCAATCATCTAGCTCCGAATTTCTCCGCAGCCGGATTCTTTACTTTCAACAAATCAGTCTTATCGGCGGTTTTTTCATCCATTTTAGCCTATCTCATCACCATCATTCAGCTGGACATCGCCTTGAGGAAGCCCTAAACAAGAATATTCTGTGACTCGATTAATTACTTAAGTATTTTTGGTACACCCGGTATGCTTGAAATAATAATAATAGGTGTATTGTACAACTATTGTTTGCCGAACTATAATCCCTCAGCTCGGTTTGATAAATCTACATTTATATACACAACAAAAAGGAGTTGCTTTAACTTCGAATCGAATTCGAAGCAGCAAATGGCGGCTTATGCGGTTTTCTACTTAATGAAAACATTTGTTTGTAATTGTTGTTTCGTACTATAGAAAACCGAAGTTATTTCGTGAAACAATAACTCCCGAACGCGGCATTAGAAATATATACAGGGTTCTTCTACGAGACCTTTATACAAAGAAGCTTATTATGTACATAAAAAAATTGAAGAGTATAGAATTATGTTGGGACATTGTGTACTATAGATAAGTAAAAAATATTCGTATAAACGGAATTATAATATGATGAATAACCCTATATAATAAATTTTAATTGTACTAAGTTTGTCGTCTAATAAATCGATGGGATATCGTGGATTTGAGTTGAGACAATAAACCGAAGTAGTTAAATTTCGTGTACTTGCAGGCTTAAATTATAATTCAGTAGATTTGGAAGTTTTAACGAGAACATTCAGACGGAATTAGAAAAATGTGTTGCAAGAGAAAGTAGATTTTATTTTCTCGGGGCGTTTTTATTAACCGACAATGCAGAGGCACAACTGCATAAATCCCGAGATTTACTGGTGCAGTTACGCTAAGAATATAACGGAAAACCAGCCTCGGAATATGCAGATATTAAACGAAGGTTATACGTTCGCCATTTTCACGGTTAGTTAACAACGGTTTTTATTATTGCGATACATCTTCGCTTTTATTACCGAAAAAAGAATAAGAAACCTATATAGCCTTTTACGATAAGTCGTTATGCGATTTTAGAACGTAAATTATGTAGGGTGTTCATCACTTATTTTATTACACTGCTCCCTTAAAAAATAGTTTCGAAATAATATTAAAATTCGCACAACTATTACAAGATTTTATAAGTGAATTTTATGGTTTTTTTCGAATGGTTTTAGTCACCAAAATTGGTTCTAAACGAGAAATTGACACGTATGAATAATGAACGTATGAAAAAAATACAAAAAAAATCGCGCGAAGTTCCCCTACAGAACTTTTAACTTCTAGCGTCGATTCGGCATCAAAAATAAATTAGCCGGATACAAAGCGGCCCTCGAAAATTCCGAGCCCTATCGCCCCAACTTTTAATAACGTTACCGTATAGCCTTCGACAACAGCGAAGGGCGAAAGTGACAGAATAAGGGCGCGACGTCCATCAAGAAATCCCTAACAACTTAATTTAATATTTACACATCAGACCTCCCCGAAGATTCACCGGTTCTGATGGCTTCGCAGGAATGATCGCTTTATCTTTATAACATCGGAGTGTGTTGCATAGAAAACTCGGTGATTCCCCGGCAGAACAGAGCCGATTAAAAAGTTCATTTTGTGTGTACTGGAAGTCTTCGCTGTATGTTCGAACTTCCGAGGCTGGTAACGCGGAGTTTAATCGCACTTAACTCCTGTCGGTAACGATCTTGGGCCGGCGTTCGAGACGTGCGGCCCCCGTAAAATATTCATTTCGAAGGGCCCCGGCGTTACTAAAACTGAACCGCGTCATCTGCGTACGTTCGTTATTAATGAAGAAATAATTAGTTTGCCGAGCACAACACCGTCGCGCTTTAATTAATAAGATATTACGGAGCGGAGTGAAAAAATGTCAAATGCAAAGTTTCCGTTTCGTCGCGCGGATTTTTCCGTTCGGTCGTGTAAGTGGAAAGTTTTTATAGTGATCGGAAATTAATTAGTTTCGCGATGTTGTTAATTATATATTTCGAGCTGTAATACTCGAGAATTTATGGGTGTGTGTAGAGAGGACAAACTGTATATAGTGTTAATAAATTGTGTTGTGGATTTTCCACGCGTCATTCGTTCGAATTTTCCGCGACGTGAAATCGACAAACCGCATTTTTCAATTTAGACAAATTTCAATTTCAATCTTTTAATTAAAAATATATGGCGTTTTAACGTGCAGCATTCGATTGCCCGTCGAGAGTTTTAAACGACAATTTCACCCGGTTAGTTAATAGGTAATAAGAATTGATGCAGCGGCGGTAATTATATTTTTGCTCGTTACTCTTAATTTAGGGATAATAAAACAGGACGAGATCGAGTCGGGCGGAGGTTCCGCAATACAGAAAATCCATTAGCCGTCCGAAAATCCCGAAAACTTTCTTGAAACGAGTAAACAAAACAAAGTCCTTAACGCATTTATAAAAGTTAGTTATCCTTTTAGTTATCCTTTAACCCGGCGAGCGGCAGCGCGATTCCCTCGAAGAAACAAACAGATGACACATAATAGACCAAAAAGTATTTAAAAGCGTCCTGGGAGTCCTGGGAATTAAGAATCTAGACGGGATAATACGGAAAATACGGAGAAACTATTTCGTTATACTCAGCGTTGCAAAACTTCCTCTTAAGTCGCTTTTCCCACGAGTTAAACCCTATTTTTTTAGAAGATAACTAGCAAAAAATCTGCTTGATAATAACCGAAAGTTTGCTTTGATAAAAAAAAAACCAAATATAATCCAGTCTATTTATTTAACCAAAAGGTGATGTTTTCGAAGGTACTTATAAAAATATCGTTAAAAAGCGATCCCGAAGCAACAAACGCGAGGTTTCTGCTAATATGACAATGAAAAGCTGAATAAAACAACACGGAATAATGAGCCGTTTCTCGGCAAGGGTAGCGAATTTTAATTACAAAACAAGACCGCCAGAAGCATCTTTTTTGCGACGTTTCGAGTGCTCGACCTGCCTCTCTCCATTCCGCCTCGTTCTTTCCATTTTTATTGCGCCCGGAAAAGTGGAGAGAACGCGCTCGCGCCGCCGAAACGGATGCGCCCCCCAAACAAACTAATTTATTCCCGCCTGCGATATTTCGATTAGCGTTTTCTACACACTGGTCTTAATAAAATGACAAACTTCCGAACCAATTTTTAGAATACCGCCGAGAGAAGTAACTCCGGAGAACCCCCATAAACTGCTATAAATTCGACGATTTCTTTATACTCTCGGATGGTACTCGATGCTTCGATGCCGGGATGTTTTCCGATTTTTGTACAGCCGAAATATACATAAATTCACGGTTTTGAATCGCGTCCATTCCGGCCGCTATTTATTAGTTCATCAATTAAATGGGAGAACGCGTGCGGTTCGCAGTAATATGCAAATCGACGGCCTGTCACCGGCGCTTTACGGCCCGACGTTCATGATTCTCGCGCAATTGCATCGAATATGCACGGGCGGGGAATATTGTAGCGATTTCCCGTTAAAATTGCATGCTCGCGAGGAAATTATTATCAACGCTTTGTTTCGGGTTCCGGATCATTTGGCCCGAAATGCCAGTCAGAGCGGCGACCTACCGGAAAGGGTCCCGCGCGGAACTTGCACAGTTTTTTTTTATATAAAGATTGTCCCGATTATTGTACGAAGTGAATCGAATAGTATTATAGTAGAGACATCCAGGTTTGCAGGTAATTACTAGGAAAACTTGAGCGGCGCTCGAAACTAAAATAAGAACTTTGATTAACTGTGTTTTGAAGCGTATATTTGTTATCTCTAAGATATATTTCCGCAAAGGAAGTTCCTCGGCGCGCAAATTAATTGGACGTTGTTTGTTATCCGCAAAAATTCTCCTCCATCTCCAAATTATGTTGTTTTTAGGGGGGATAAAAATGAAGCCCGCTTCGCTGATGAAAACCGTTATCTGAACAATTGACGCGCTTTGCAGAATATCCTCGCTTGTCACACAATTTTTTATTTGTTAACTGTTTCAATCCAGTCATCACAATTCGCTGGCACTTAACCCTTTTTAAATACTAATGAAGGGCTAAAATACAGCAAATTTTATAAAGTTAGGGGGTGATTAGTTAGATTTTTAGCGACTGCTCCATTAATTTTACTCATTTAGTAACCATAATGTTCTATCAAATGATACTCGTACGTGAAATATGCAAATTTGCGTTATGTATTTGACAAGTGATAAGCTCTCCGTTCCGAGATTGATTGGAATTGGAAAATGGACGCTGTTATAAATAAATAACGGTGAATTAATAGAGCGTTTTTGTATACTCTTGTTTGTATTAATACCATACCGAATTATCGAATCGCTTTTATCTATACGATTCGATATAAATAGGAATTAATGATTCGATTAGTTCGACGGGAGAAACGTTATTGTGATAGCTTTGCGCGAATGAATTAATTTCGTAAAATTCATTAACTTTGATTCGAAAAATAATTGGCCTAAAAATAATACTAAATGTTCATTAAAAAATCAATTTTATTGTAAATGTAAACCAAATTTTGTTTACATGTTATTTTTAATTCTTGAATATGCACACAAGCTTTCTTTCTTTCTTTAGATTACATAGCTTTAAAACATTTTAATACTCTACTTTACAAAATTAAATTATAAACACTACCATATTATAATAATTATTTGTTTGTTTCTGACCAGTTCATTTCATAAAATATCGTTGTTGCACTTAATGTAATTAGTCCGTAAATGGGCGTTTATTGTGATTATAAGGATCGATTCGAAAGTATTCCGCTATTACTAGTATCGTCCAAGACTCGACGCTAAAATGTCCACTAAAATCGACGTGAAATTTATGAAATATTCCTTAGCGTATTTGAAAATAATGGGAGTTTATCCGGCGGTGGTTAAAAAGGATAGAAAACTCGCGACTTTTCTCTACAAACTCTACCTGATTCTAATCGGATGTCTGATAGGCTTGACATTTGCAATTTCATTTTACACCAGATTGAACTTCGCTTTTAAAACGAACCAACTAACCCACAACATCGTCGACTCCTTAGCAATGTTTAACGAATTATTATTCGTTGTCGTTTGCCGTCTGGCGATCGTAACGAATCGGAAAATGTTCATAAATTTTCAGCGGAGCATTTGCAACGTGGAACAATGCTTGAACCTCACGAATTTCGCTCTCAACAAACGGGACACATGGTGGTTGTTTTCGCAAAGTGTTCTCATTCACGTCCTCTTCTTCGTCATACATATTAGACAGATGATTTTGAAATTCGAAACTGGGGATTACCAGTTTTTGTATTATCAATTGTACCATGTGGTTACCATGTACCATCAAATCGTTATATTACAAACAGTAACTTTAACCAATCGGTTTTTAACTATAAGGTAAAGTATTGCGATTGTTGTGTTTTTATGATCAATCGTTTGGTTTGTAGGTATCGATTTTTACGAACGTACTTGGATTCGATCATCAGAAACGAAAAATCGTGCTTCATCGTGCTGAAATCGTACAAAAAGCTGAAATTAAAAGACGCTTTCGTTCTGTTCAAAAGACTCTCGAAAGTCTCTTTTTACCTGAGCAAAACCTTCGAAAAGCACGTTTTTTTGGCGACCTGGGCGACTGTTCTCATCAACTTGAATTGCATTGTGTTTTTAATTTACGTCGATGACAACGAAACATCGGACATCTTCATCTACTTCGCACACAACGTTATATACTCGGTGAGCTATTTACATTTATATTTAATATTCTAATAAAAGAAAAACATTATTTCCAGATCTCCTACATGGTAGCGGCGTTGCACAGCGAAAACGTCGAATCGGAATCGACGAAAATCATCAAGTCTTGTTACGAAAACCAAGAAACTTTATCGGGCAATCGTTTGGAATCCGAACTAATGCGATTCGGTGAAATTTGCGGACAATTAACGCCCCGTTTCACTGTCGCCGGATTTTTTTATTTCAACAAATCCGTCCTATCGTCCGTGTTCTCTTCAATTCTGACTTACCTCATCATCATCATCCAGTTCGATATCACATTGAAGAAACCCTAAGAACTTGATTCGCAATTATTTACCAAGTTTCAAGCAAATGAATAACTTTTTTTTTGTATAACATTTATGCACATTTATATCTTATTATATCTTTAAAATGTGCATTAAATAAAATGAATAATGCGAGAGTTTTAGCAGTGAAAGTGGATCTACTTCCATGACAATAGAAGTCTTATTACCGACCAAATTGCTGGAAATACACATGTGTGTGTCTACATGTTTGGTTTGTTTTAGATAGAGCTAGTATTGCAATTTAACGGGTGGATAGATCGGCATCAATTGGGAATTAATTACATTGTCTCGGCGCGATCTAACCCAATCTGGATATTTAGGAGAAAAATTTTCAACGAGGATCGTAATTTATCCGTCGATCGATACACCGGTATTCCTCCTTTTTCTACTTGTTAGTGGAGCTGCAAGTAATAACACCACCTGCACTTGATGGCTTCCGGATATTAACTTTGTGATCAGCGCATAACTCAAAACGGTAGAAATATTAATCCAAATCGCCTCAGCGGAATAGATTACAGTCATAAATATGGATTATTAGATGACGCCCTTTGCATTGGAATGACTATTTGGTTGTGTTTGATCAACCCCCGAACGATTATTTTATTATTACGGCTATTACGGGAACTCAAAGCGAATTATTCAAGAGCACTTACAATAATATTATAGAGCGTTTGAAATAGTCGAAAGATAATTAAATAACTCTTCTTATTTTGGAATTAAACTTTCGCATCCCTCGCTATACACCTGCAAAGAATAAGCCGTAAATTCGTTACAAAAGGACAAAACGCTTATACAGGCAAAAACAAGATAAAAGTTCAAGCGCTCAAACAAAAGGATTACAAAGTAAAATAATGGCTGTTTGGATGCAGATTACAACGAAAAAGACTTACTTTCTAATTAAAGGATAAACTAGTGAATGAAAACAACTTCATTTCTAATTAAATCGAACCGATTCTCCCACATAAATCTATTTAGTTGCATCAAACGTCCAGTAAATTAGTAATTTATAGCGGGTCTCCGGCAATATCATTTAACTCTCAACTTTTGCATTAGTATAAATAAGGCCCGGGCTTTTAAAAACAATCACTCGAACTTTTTGAGAGAGCGATAAAAGAAAACAAACCGAAAAAAGACGGTTCATTTCGTCTGAGAAACGGAAAAGACCAAACTAAATTGCGAAAACAGAAAATTACGAGGAAATGAAACTTGACTTCAAACGCGAACGTCTCGGGGTGGTTTTCTGATTCCAATATATCTATATATAACACACCGCCGTGTTTCCATTTCTAAAGCAGACGGATCGTTAAAATTCCCGCAAAAAAAATAAATAACGCGCCGATCCTTTCCCCTTAATGGATGAAAAGCACCGGTTCCAATCGGAATCCTCTCATCAACCAATTAAATCTATAATACAATAAATTTCGACTAGATATACGAAAGAAAATGATGCATTCCATATAAATCCCGCTGGAACAGCAATCGTCGTTCGACGTCCAACATATTACATACATTAGTGCAATAGATCGTCGCTGGGAAAACTTGAAATCGGTTATAGATGGCGAAAAGTTTCGTTAGTTCGTTCGGCATTTCGCCCTCTTTCGTTCGCCGCACAAAGGGGAAGCCTGTATCGATAACAATATCAATATATTATTTTTATATACGTTATGTTCCGGACGGGGCGTCCAGAAAACTCCGGCTCGATTGTCGCCGGGCTGTATAACGTAATTTAAGAGGCGAGAAGCTCCATTGTGGCGGGTTCCCAAGTGCATATTGCAAATCTAACGATTCGCTATGTATATATGCATGCTACAAATTTTTTTTCGCTTCGTTAAGGCGGTAGGTATTCGGGCAATTAAGCAGGGCATTATTGAAAACGTTTTGTACATAAGTTACCTTTTATCGGTATCAGACACGTTCCGGCACTAAACCCGTCGCCCGGGCGTTCGAAAAACAGGCCCCGAACCGGATTTATCGCGGGGGCGGTTGTATATCTGTACAATCCCGCGGCGGTTTATCTTCGAAACGTCAACCGAATAGACGTTCGTTAAAAGAACAACCGGACAAAAAAAAACACACCAACGAAACTCGCTCATTAATTCATTCCCGATCGCGGGAATTTACTTTTTCCACTTCGAAATCGGCTTGAAAAATTGAAGAAGGATGAGTTGGAGTAGTTTGTATTATCAACGAATCCGTTTGTCGGAGTCGCAGAAATTGATCGCGCCGGAGTAACGGGAGACTGTTTAATCGTCCGCGGCCATCCGGAACCCGGATCCGTATTCCGCAGGTAGATAATTGAAACTTCCGGGGGTGATAAATGCACGAGCACAAGAGGTCGACTGTTTAATGCTATAGCACGCAGAACGCCAAGGAACATTAATCGCCGCTCGATGTACTGCGAGGGATTTTTACGTTTACGCGGGGGCGACGATAAGTCACCGTGTTTTCGAGATGCTTGTTTGCTGTTCCGGATGGTTTCTTTATTGAGTGATATGGAACGTTGGATGTATCGAGACGATGTTTAAATTAGAGGCCGTTTTTTTAGGCGAGATTAATGAAAAGTTAGATGTGTTGAATGCGTGAAAATTTCATGGAGAATTCAATTTAACGAACCGAAAAGGAGGCGAAGATAAACAGTAACACGAAGAATCGGTATATACGATTCGTTGGAATCAATATTTACTTTATGTGCTTCATCCTAGGCGGTTCTGAAATGGTTCTAAACGAGTCTGAACAATTCTAAATAGTTGTGAACAATTCTAAATGGTTTTCATCAATTCTAAATGGTTTTGAACAGTTCTTGTTTGTCCAAGAGTTTATTCTAAACAATATGGGACAGTTCTAAGATCGTCATGAACTATTTCAAATGACTCTAGGCAGTTCTAAATTGGTTTTAAACGAGTCTGAACAATTCTACTTAGTTGTGAACAATTCTAAATGGTTTTCATCAGTTCTAAATGGTTTTGAACAGTTCTTGTTTGTCCAAGAGTTTATTCTAATCAATTTGGGGCAGTTCTAAGATTGTCTTGAACTGTTTCAAATGATCCTAGGCAGTTCTAAATTGATACTAAACGAATCTGAACAATTATAAATAGTTTTGAGCAATTCCAAATGGTTTTTATCAATTCTAAATGGTTTTGAAGAGTTCTTGTTTGTCCAAGAGTTTATTCTACAATTTGGGGCAGTTCTAAGATCGTCCTGAACTGTTTCAAATGATCCTAGGCCGTTTCTTTACCGGTATAACCGTTTTCGATAAAACTTAATTGAGCGATATGGAATGTATCGAGACAATATTTAAATTAGAGGCCGTATTTTAAGGCGAGATTAATAAAAAGTTAAATGTGTTGAATGCGTGAAAATTTCATAGAGAATCCAATTTAACGAACCGAAAAGGAGGCAAAGATAAACAGCAACACGAAGAATCGGTATATACGAATCGTCGGAATCAATATTTACTTTATGTGCTCCGTATAGAACGGGTAATTGTTTGCATTGGGCCGGATATTGAGCTTACGAATGTTTTTCACTAGTCCGATGCCGGTTTAATTATTAATAAAATTTGACGATGTAGTTGCTTCGGTAAATTTGTTTGATCGGATTCCGGTAATTCTCGGTTTCCGTGTGTATTATTCGAAGGAGTTTTCTATTTACCAGGGATTCGTCGGGACGGCCGGATGGCGGGATGGCGTCGCGACGCTTCCATCGAACTCCGGCACGGCTTGCGTGACTTACCGGGTTTATTGTTTTTATCGATTTCTTTCGCCTCCGATCGGATTCTTTGCGACAGTGGATGTGTTTGAGTAGTACAGGGCGGTGGAATTGGCTCGCGAATTCGATCCGATTTCGCGGCATAAAAGCGAGTCTTTTGCGGCGAAATGAACCAAAAAATGGAAAACCTTCCCTTTGATAGTCTTGATGGGAAATATCAGGCAAACGAAGTGTCAAATTAAAAAAATTCGGAAAGTAATAAAAAGAGATTAGAGAGGGTTGTGGCGGAAACCCACGAAATATCGGCGCTTCTACTTCATGCGGCTCATCAATTAGAACGTATGGGAGACGGAATGAGGGAGAATGAAAAACGAATTAGCCTCATCAATTTATCGGATGACAAATGCGTATTTTGTTAGGAATGAAACGATCTGGACTATAGTGGTCTTTTAGTCGCCTGTCCTGTACTGGAATGAAGACGTATTGCTCTAATTATTTAGGTTTTTTTTTACTTCTTCGAAGGTTATCGATGGCCCTCATTGTTCAAGAATTCCACTAAAATATATTCGCAAATAATTCACACAATCGCCTGTTAATACAACATTATTACACCGCCGTATTTCTTAATGTATATCATTTTTCCGGCGTTTCCATCGTTTCTCAAAGCCGCTTTTTCCCCGTTATATTCGTCGGCTGCTCGTGCATCATTCATCACCGGTCCGGTTTCTCTTTCTGGAAACGTCGAAACGACATCATAATTCCGGGTCCGGAGCGAAATCCCCGCGCAATATGGCCCTTTCCCGATCTCGCGAAAGCGATATCCCGGAAAAAGGTGCGTGACTCTCCGGCCCTTTTCGAAACGTCTTTTCGAATGAAAATTTTCGGCGTTTCGAGAGATAAAAAAACGGAGTCTTTTTAATCGCCATCGGAATGGATCCGGATCGATATCGGCGAGCGGAGTTTCGGCGGAAAGCGCTCCCTTGGAACGCATCGGGGCGAAATAATCCCGAGGAAGTTGAAATTTCGCTCATCCACCCTGGCGAAAACTAAATTGTAACCGGTCCCCCGGGGGGGCCCGCCGCACTTCCACTAATGGACTAACGATTATCCCGATTCCCGTTGATCAGCCGGTAACTTTTCCCGAATGCCGGGCGCATTAGCGGGTCTCATCGAATTTTATTTTCCCCATCCCAATTCCAGGCGATCGTACACTACACTTTTACTTATCCGAAAATTAAAATCTTTCTGGATACAAAATTTGTTGTTTAGACCCGGAAGATATTTTCGACCGGCGAAAAGCGATATTCCAAGGCAATTTTATTATTTTCCTTTCCGGTTTTTTCCGCGCGGAGACAAAAAAAATGTTTATTACCAGGACGAATGGGCCGGCATAAATAACTTTAAGAGCTTTCCTATCCGGAATTGATCTTATTCGGCGATGTATTGCATGAACAGTCGTGGGTGGAAAGGAAACACTATTTACCTAACCGGCTTATACAGATTGTCCCGTCTACAAAATTTGAGCAATTTACTTAATTACAATGAAATTTTAGCGCATCGAATAGGAAAGCCGAAGGAATTATTTTCCTTTTCGCGTTGTTTTTTTCTATACTCTTTTTTTGTTGTATTCGCCTCGCAGAGATAAGACGAAAGCCATCAGCAACATGTAGAACTTTTCGTTCGGCTTCTGTAAAATAACAATGCAGAGAAGTCGAACCATTGAAACTCCCCAACTTTTGCTCCCGACTTTGAGCCGAGCCGCTCGTCTGGAATAATGGAGACGATGATAATAATACACGGGACGTCTCGCTTGTTTTATTATCTGGATAAGAAATTAAGCAAAGAAATTTCATTCTTATAGCATGTAGGTCGGGTTTAGGTTAATCTTCGGGAAGCTTATTCCGTGGATTTGCTAAAAATTTATATTAAAATCTCGTAATTTGTCGATTTTTCGGTTAAAAAATTCTAAATAGTCGTAGAATAGTACTTCTAATTAGTTCTGAACTTTTCTAATTTGCCCCGGACCGTCACAAATATTCCCGAATCTGATTTAAAAGATTTCGGATAATTCTAAATGCTCCTAAGATTGTCCTGAACTGTTTTAAATGATCCTAGGCAGTTCTGAAATGGTTCTAAACGAGTGTGAACAATTATAAATAGTTTTGAGCAATTCCAAATGGTTTTTAACAGTTCTAAATGGTTTTGAACAGTTCTTGTTTGTCCAAGAGTTTATTCTAAACAATATGGGACAGTTCTAAGATCGTCATGAACTGTTTCAAATGACTCTAGGCAGTTCTAAATTGGTTTTAAACGAGTCTGAACAATTCTAAATAGTTGTAAACAATTCTAAATGGTTTTCATCAGTTCTAAATGGTTTTGAACAGTTCTTGTTTGTCCAAGAGTTTATTCTAAACAATTTGGGGCAGTTCTAAGATAGTCTTGAACTGTTTCAAATGATCCTAGACGGTTCCAAAGCGGTTCTAATTAACCTAGACAGTCCTAATAAATGATTTAAATAGATCTAAAACTGTCCTGAACACTTTGAAAATAATCTGGCCAAATTTTGGAAAATAATCGCAAATACACTAACCCTGTATATAATGCTATCACTCTCCTTTTCTAGCGATATTAATAGTTAAACTCTCTTCCTCGCGCAGCAACCCTGTATAATCTGATTAACCTTATACAGAGAAACTTTCGGACGTGGGAAAAAAAAGGATCCATGCTAATAATCCCGAAAGTTTGGATGGTCCTATCGAATGGAAATAGAACGAGCGGCGTCGCGCCGCCTCCCAGACTGTCCGTGGCGCCACTTAATGACGTCATTTTCCTGAAAAAAAAAACACCCCGATTTCTTCTTTCTTGCTCCTCCAAAGGGCATCGTAAATTTTTTTATTGCCCCGGGGCGAGCGTTCTTCCTATACGCGTAGCGTGTGTGTAAAATTAAATTTTCCAGGTAATTTCTCGACGAGCAAACAATTTCATTTTCCAATTTGTCGTAACGCGCAATCTATAATGAACGTGTTTTTTCGGGGACCGGGAAAAAACCGCTCAGACATCGTAAATTCCTCCTCGTGCCCCGTCAAAGGCAAGAGGGAGAAAAGTAACGAGAGATAATTTTAAAGAAATCCTTTATTAAAAGTCCCGGAGACTCGGATCGATAGGTGCGCCTATATAAGTCGAGATGGAAAGTTAATTGACAATTTCTACTTCGAATACCGAAAAATAAATATACCTGTATTATAAAAATTTTTTCATTTATTTTACAGATGCGCCCCGTATATTATCGGCGCTGTATGTACAGGGTGTCTACTATAAAAACCGCCATACTTCAGGAGGTGATTGTACAAGTAATTTTGAGCAAAAAATGTCCTATAACACTTTTTCGAAAAGTCGATAGTTTCTCTTTTATTTAACATTTCATTGTTTCAATTTTTTTTTTGGTTTTTTCCAAAAAGGCCAAATATCACATTTATTCGTATAGTTACATTAATTTTGATCATATACCGTAAAAGTGTTTAAATTATTAATTAAATTTGCTATAAAAAAGTATTTATCAAGTTAAAGTTAATCGAGTTAAAAAAATCAATACCGGGTGTTATAAAAAATTTAATTGTTATGAATAGAAATGAATGAACATAATTATACTATGTATCTTTTAATGGTTGTAAAGCCAACATTTTTATAAAATTCAAGTTTTTTTTAGCAAAAACTACTGTATTTAATAGGCTGTTAATAGGTACTTAATTTTTTTGTAGAAATTTTAAAAAAATTTCAATTAATTTTAATTGCCATCTAAAATTTCAATAACATATGTATAACCTTTAAAATTTCTACAAAAAAAATTAACTCAAAATCTGAGTATACCTTAAGCTTATTAAATACAGTAGTTTTTGCTAAAAAAAACTTATGAATTTGATAAAATTCTAGGCTTTACGACCATTAAAAAATTACACCCGGCGGTATTGATTTTTTTAACTCTGATAAAATACTTTTTTATAACAAATTTAATGCACTTTTACGGTATATGATCAAAATTAATGTGATATTTCGGTATTTTTGGAAAAAACCAAAAAAAAAATTTTAAACAATAAAATGTTAAATAAAAGAGAAACTATCGACTTTTCGAAAAAGTGTTATAGGACATTTTTTGTTCAAAATTACTTGTATAATCACCTCCTGAAGTTTGGCGGTTTTTATAGCAGACACCCTGTAAACGTCGAGATGGAAAGTTAATTGACAATTTCTACTTCGAATGCCGAAAAATAAATATACCTATATTATAAAAAAATGTTCATTTATTATACAGACGCGCCCCGTATATTATCGGCATTATATAGGGCTAATTTATGAACGCTGCGTCGCATCGCAATCACGGTAAAACATTATTTAGCCTCAAGTTGTTCGGTTACATCGCATCAGTTATGCCGCTTTTCTCGGAATAGACCCGTCAGGAAAACTAACTAGCAATTACGCAAAAAGGATATACATTTTAGATAATGGACGGCGCGCCGAGCGCGATAGTTTTAATTACGGTCCCCGTCGAATTACATATCGAACGCTCCTCGTATATACCTCTCCGGACGCTTTATCGATAAAGGTGAACGTTATGTAAGTGAACTTTATCATTCGTTAAAAGATTCGGATTGCGAAACTTGGGCGACGATAAAAAGCGATTGGGATTAATTAAAACTTTTAATTTTAAAATGTTATTACAAAATTCCAGCCACACATGTCGAGATAGCAATTACCATCCACTCCTCGACGGATGCATGACGGGATAAATTTAAACTGCTAACTAGCCTTTGCTTTATGTTTCATAATAGGTGAAATAACGATAAATCGATAGAAATGTTTCGAATGATAAATGGAATAAAACAAATATCAAATGACAGATCAATTGACACATCAAATGACAGATCAAATGACAGATTACGAGACAGATCAAATGACAGATCAAATGACAGATCAAGAGGCGTATCAAATGAGAGATCAAGAGGCATGTCAATTGACAGATCAAGAGAAAGATCAAATGGTAGATTTAATATACAACATTTGCGAGGTTGTCAAATCGACTTTTTTTTATTTCACTTCAAGTATTTTTAATTTATACTAGTATTTTATGGTAGATAGTAGATTATACGAGTAGAGCCGTTCATTTCCCTTTCTTCTATCGCTTTTCTTTTTACTTTTTGTTTACACGTGGGGATATTTCATTATTTTATTATTTACAATTCAAATCGAATAAAGTCCATTGTTGATTTTTATTGAATGCATTAGGAAATAATTAGAAATTAATAATGTAAAAATGAAATTTAGAGATTATAATGTTAGGTTTTTCTTCATAGCTCCCATAGTTTCAGGGGTCACGTCCCCTTATCTACTTCTTAACTTTCCTATGAAACTTTTGAATTCTACGAATTTTAATAAAGTATTGTTCCTATTGTAAATTCTACTACTTGATAAAGAAATAGTAAAATCTCGTCGAGGATTTCATGAATTTGTTTGCGATATGGTCGCAATTCTATGAGTTGAACAAAGAAATATTAATAAAACAATAGTGGTTATAGTGAGAATGTTGCAATCCCACAATATTATTCTTTCTTTTTAAAAAATTGATGCTCATTGTATTCAATTTTATAGCCTATTCTGTACTTAAAGAAATGCAGTTAAAACGCATCCAGTTTATCAACGGTACAGGTCGATTGTAAGTTAAAAGAAATTAAGATAAACAGTAGTCGAAAACAAGCCATTATTTGATAAATATTTGAAACGGGTGAACGAAACAGGTCACCCGATTCGATTCTAAACCAAACGAATCGACCTTTTTATATTCGTTAGTGCAAAGGGCAATTAATTATCCTCATGAATCCGATTTTAATTTTTCCACAATCGATAACCAGCGCAATAATTCGTGCTCATTAGCTAATTTTATTCACCAATCTGCTATACACAACCAGACGATCTTTGTTTGGGCCCCCGTGTAATTAGCAAAAAACCAGCAAAAATATTCCCCCCGAAAATCGCCGTCCGGCTCGAAATATAAACACAATCGCGTCGAAAGTGAAACCAAATATCGCGTTAACGGCCCGAAAATCTATCGAGAAAACGAAAAGAACCAGAGAAACGATACCAAAAAGTCGAAACCATCAAAGCGATAAATCATATCACTGCGAGTAGCGGTCCCGACGACATTGCGTTCGAGCTTCCAAGTCGACCGGTGGACTTTTACCAGTAATATGCAGGAAGATAACGATTTCGTGATAGAGGGACCGGCGCCCGTGGAGCCTCTCGTCGAGGAGACCGCCGGACAGATTTTCTGGAAGGTCTTAATGGATAATGATCCCCAGCACAATATCATGGTATGGATTTAGTTTTTTTTATTTCCTCGATTCGTTTTTGGAATGTTTCAAAGTCGATTGAATATACAGGTAGATGCAAATATGGAGAATAGAAAGGGTGATATTGTAAGGTTGCTACTTTCATACTTAAGGCACTGTTATTTTATTAATCTTTCTTTGTTGAACTCGTGGGATTGACCATATTGCGAATCAATTTACACTTTGTACGCAATATGGTGTCATGGATGTAAAAAAAACTTCCATTTTTCTCATATAAAGAAAAAGAAATGACAATATTGTGAAATAGCAACTTTTTCGTTCTAACCACTTTCATTCTTTAATATCCTTCTTTGTTCGATTCATAGATGTGACCACATTGTTTGAACTTACCCATGTGCTAGACTGATTTTCTAAAGGTGCAAATTTAATTTTAAAAGTACCCTTTCTTATCTTTAGAATGTCTCAATATCTTCCTGTTTTATCCGAATTATTATCAATTAAAGGGTTACTTTATAGACTGTTCAATTTAACAACCCTTTTATTAAATAAATAGGCTTAATTATTTTTTATAAAAATGATACAATAATACATTAGAAATAGCGTAAAGTACAAAATTCTTCACACAATCCGCAAATTTGTAGATATTAATAATATTTTTATTTAATATTTATTTACCCATAAAATCGTGTAGATTTTGTTAATAACAATTGAAGTGACTTGCATATAATTATAGTGAAAAAATTTCATCCAGTAATTGTTTTTATAATACTTTAATTAATTTTTTTTCTCACCTAAACAACATTACTTTGCTGAATCGTTGTTATTAATAATTATTCTATAATTTGGCAGGTAATAATTACCTGCTATTATAATTAGTAAATTTATTTAATTACACATACTCAAAAATGTTTTGCACATTATAAATAATTTTAAATTAAATTAAATTTTATGATATAATTTTAAATGATGTTTATGCAGCCTTTTGGAAACTAATTTTGATGGGTAATTTTACAAATAATTCGTTGTATTTAATGTTTATTCTTTTATGCAAAACATTTTTGAGGGTGTATACAGGGTGTTCTCGAACTTATGGCGCTAAATTCTAGGGGTGGTAGTTTGCTTAATTTGAGACCGATTCGCAGATTTCATTTTTTTTTATTTATAATAAACAAAATTTGGAATAATAAAAATATTTCAAAGAAATGCATTCCTATATATCGGTTGAAGCCCCTCTATTTTTTTAGAATCATGGATAAATTATAAAAGTAAACCGGGTTTTTCAAACAATAGAAAAAAAATAGACTGTAAATTCGAAAGGAATATTAGTTCACCATCACCATTTCATTGAATTTGTTATGAAGTGTTATGAAGTGTAAGAATAAATCTACACCCCATATTCTGGCCTTCGACATCTACAACCCACCAGTCAATCAAATCCTACATCCCCCGCATCGCATTTTCCAGATAAACGCCGAAACCGGCGCCGTGCTCACCACCAAAACCCTCCTCGAAGAATCCTGCAAACTGGCCCAAGCCCTCCGCATACACGGCTGCGCCCCGCAAACGACCCTCTGCATCGGCAGCGAGAACAACCTCGAGTACTTCATCCCCGTGTTCGCCTCCATGTTCGCCGGCACGATCACGGCGCCGCTGAGCGTCAACTACACCGACCAGGAGATCAAGCACATCCTGAACGTCACCAAGCCGAGGGTGGCCTTCTGCTCGAAGAAAGTGGCCGGCAGATACGTGAAGCTGAAGAGCGAAATGAAATTCCTCGAAACTGTAATAGTGACGAACGGCGACGAGGAAGTGGTCGAAGGTGCCGTGAACATGAAGGAGTTCGTGGAGAAGCAGCTGAATGGTAAGGTGGTGTCGCCTTATAAATTCCTACCGTTCGATGGCGATTCGAAGAAGAATGTACAGTTGATTTTATGTTCTTCCGGCACCACCGGATTGCCCAAAGGTGTTATGCTTACCCACAGGAATATCGTCACCAGGTTGTTGCAATCGAGGTAGATACAACAAACGATTATTTAAAACTAACCGATTACTTCAACATAACATTACAGGCATCCTGAATATCTCTCGGATCTCAACGTTGTGTTAGGTTTGATGCCATTCTTCCATTCTTACGGGATGATCTTCGGCTTGACGTCCATCTTTAACCGACACGTGACGGTGATGATGGACAAATTCGATGGGGATTTCTTCCTGAAGACCATCCAAGATTACAAGATACCCTTAATAAGGATAGCGCCACCTCTAGCCATATACCTGCTCAAGAACCCCAAAGTATCCTTGTACGATTTATCCTGCGTGCAGGAGGTTTTCTGCGCGGCGGCTCCGTTGAACGGAAAAACCGAAGCCAAGCTAAAAGAAAGGTTTGTTAATCAAACGTTTACTTAACCGATTGGTTATATACCCTACGTTTCGTTTAGGTTAAACTTAAAGTCGATTTACCAAGCCTACGGTTGCACTGAAGGTACTCTAGCATTGACTATAACGAACAAGGACGTGTTCAGACCAGGATCCTGCGGTAGAGTCATAACGTATATGCAATGCATAGTCAGAGACCCAGATACAGGACGTTCCCTAGGTCCTTACGAAGTCGGCGAGCTCTGTTTCAAAGGACCTACGATTATGAAAGGTAACAATTCTCTAATATCTCCATCAACAATTTCTATTACCATCCGAATTAGGCTACTACAACAACCCCAAAGCCACCGCGGAATCCTTCACCCCCGACGGTTGGTTAAGAACCGGCGATTTGGGGTACTACGACAACGAGCAGTACTTCTACGTGGTGGACAGGCTGAAGGAGTTGATCAAATACAAAGGGTACCAAGTGGCACCGGCCGAACTCGAGGCCGTCCTGATCAATCACCCCAAAGTCCTGGAAGCCGGCGTCGTGGGATTGCCCGACGAATTCGCCGGGGAACTACCGATGGCTTTCGTGGTGTTGAAGGATAACCAGCAGATCGGCGAGGAGGAGTTGAAGAAATATGTGGCGAGTAACGTGTCGCCGCAGAAGAGGCTCAGAGGCGGCGTGGTGTTCGTGTCCTCGATTCCGAAGAACCCCAGCGGCAAGATACTCAGGAAAGAACTGAAGAAGAAACTGGGCGAATACAGGAAATCGATACCGTCGAAGTTATAATAAGATAAATAATTTATTATTTAATTTGGTTGTTGCGTTTGTTTGTTTTTATACTCAAGGTGTTTTTTTTTAGTGTATAACATTTTAAAACCCCGTTCGTATACTTAATTATGCCATGTTAGTTGTTTTTTTTAGTATGTATATTTTTACTAAAAGTTAGTATTGTTATATTTTTATAGCAAAAAGTTGGTTGTTGTTACACTTTAATAAAATTGTTACTTTTAATTTGTAGTATTAATAGGCGAATAAATCGCCGGTCCATTTGGTAATTTCATAGGGGGATATCTCGTAGCCGTTTTACTCCAATTAAAGCTAATTTTAGATAAAGGAGATTTATAAGTTTCTGTCCCAGTCCTACTTATATTAGCATTACTGGGATTTTAGCTTTGCGCAAACATTCGAATAAATCTTCCACTGAATTTGGCTAGCATATTTTTCGGCGCTGATGTGGATGAACGATTTTCCGAGGAAATGTACACTAGGAAAATGTTTTTCTTCTGAATAATATTAAAATTCGAATTTGTTCCAAGTTTCTATATTATGTAGGAACTTACAGAGTAAAAGAGTACTACAATTATAGTACAATAGAGTAAGTTTGTTCATTGTATATTAAATAATACATGTTTGTTGATATTTGAAAGGGTAATTTTCTGTGTGTAACGTAAGAAATGGAGCTTTTCTTTGACCTTCGAGCGTAGCCAAATTTCCGAAGATCGGCTAACGACTAACGAATAAGTAGAAGATTCCGGGGGGGAATTTGTCAGGACGCCGGGCGCAATCAACGTTATTAAAATACAAGGATAATTTATGGACGTAACTTCATTTAATCATCTAATTGAATTTTCTGCTTTGCCGAAACGGTTCGTTTTATCATTTTAGCCGGAACACGAAAGGCCGTAGCAATTTGCTCAATCAAACTTTAATTCGTCCGGACGATTTAACTCCCATTAACAAATAACTTTATGACCGGAATTATTGTGTCCCGGAGTTGGCGCACGAGGTTTTCAACATCTAAATATATATATCTACATTTCGCACATACATTTACGTATGCACGAGGATGTTTGCGGAAAACACACATTTTAACAGCGACACATCCGGACTTGTGAGGTTCGCCTTTAATTTATGGACCCCGTTTATGTGGATGAAAATGTACGGGAACTTTTTTAATTAAAAAAATTTAATTTCATAACAATAGTTAGATGATGGTAATTTCAGTTTTATGGCGAGACAATAGACGGGCCCCGGCGGTTATTTTCTACTGGAATTACCGCTGGATATGAATTCATTTCGATTTTTCTTTTAGCAAGGAATTCCCGCATTATATTACTATACATGTTCCGCTAAAATTCTACTGCGGTTTTTTTATTACGTTCTCTATGTTACTTGAGTGCATCGTTTTATCCGTACAAAATGTAATAAAATATTTTGCGATATGGAGATTAAAAAAAATATATTTCATATATTCGAATTTATTTCTATCTGTATTACTTATTGAAATAAGTAGACTATATCAGACAATGTCAAATCAACTACTAATAATAATTCAAAAATGTTAAAGAAAGAGTATCTTCTTTCAAAAGAAATCCACTCAAATAATTCAATATAATCTATACTTTATTATGTTTTTATCTTTACACAGATACATATATTTATTTGGCCCCTTATTATACAGTTTCTGGGAGTTTTATGCCAGTCCTTTCATCCAGGGTAATAAAAACTTAAGTATCTGGATTTTTTCCCTGGAAACAGTGGAAGAGATGACTTCCATCCAGTAGAGGCGACTTCCGCCGTCGGAGTCGCTCTGACTAGAAACTTCTCTCTGTTTACTCTCCCAAGATGAACTGGCGAACTAAGATTATATACTGATTGCCAAAAAACGTACGGGGAAAAATTACACTTTTGTGTTTTCACGAATAGGGATTGTCACTATTTTTCCAACGAATCGATAGCGCTTCGTGAAGCATCAGAGAATCAGTTTCCGACAAAAAAAAAATTCATCGGTCGCAGTCCGGGAACAATCCGGGAACAAAGAACCGGCTGGTTTGTGTTGCGAATAGATTACACTGTAAACTATACCGGTTACATTAAAGGAATTAAGTCTATTATAGTTCATAAAATATGTTTTAATCTTTTACCTATAGTGTATTTGGAATTTTCGCTTTCGATACAGTCGAAACGAAATTGAAACTCGCACGATTCCGATGATAAAATAATTATTCGCAGCGAATACAAAATAATCGGATGGTTCCCAATAAAAGCTTCGGAGTGTATTTGAATAATCGTCGCAATAGAGAGGAGAGCGTTGCGAATTTTCGCAAAGTTGCTTCATTAAATCATTTCGAAACGCCCGTACAATATTGCCTCTACTGGTGATTTAATATCGGCGTCAGTCGATAAATTTCCCTCGTCGAGCCTATACATTCATTCAGCTACAAAAAAAGGATTCTCGTTTTTTTATTTTTTCTTCTGTTGTTGTTGTTGTCATTCGCTTTGTTAATCGCGATAAATATTTATTAATAATTATATTATTTAATAACACTACAAATAAATTTGGAGATTCCGGATTATGCAAACTACCACCCCTAGAATTTAGTATCATAAGTTCGAGAAGATCCTGTATATTTGAGAAGGCTATAGTTTTCCTATAGCTGTTGCAAAAGTTTTTATATACCGAGTTGAGAACTTTAATAGTACAAAACAAGATCGCAAGAGATTTATAGGAAACGGAACGGCATAGCAAACACATTCGCCGGGGGATTTTTATTATTACCTGCAGAGGTATTTGTACCAGCAAACACACGAGGTATTACGATTTGATACAGAATCGAAATCCTACTATACAGGGTGGCCCAGAACTCACGCCCCACCGGGAAATGCCTTATGAAAACGACAATGGAGATGCCAAAACTGCAGTCGAAAACGTGAAAAAGTTTTTCTTTTGGTAAATAAAGAGGTTCAAAATCGACCAATCCCAGTAGGAATTCAAATCCACGAAAATGATGTGAATTAGCTATACACCAATTTGACATTATTAGAAGATTCTATGTTCTTTTTACTTTCATGGTTAACAATAGTTGCCAAAATCAGCTGTAATTATTGATCAAAGATTTGCTTTAAAATCGATCAAAAAATGGATCATTCGATTCGAACCACTTTTGAAGCAATAAAGAATTCTGTAGGTTTGTTATCAGCACGACGAAGCTCCTGAATGATCGATTTGGAAGCAAATATTTGATCAATAGTCACAGCTGATTTTGGCAGCTTTTGTTAACCATGAAAGTGTAAAGAAAATATATAATTTTTCAATAATGTCAAATGGATATATAACTAATTCACGTCATTTTCGTGGATTTGAATTCCTACTGAGATTGCTCAATTTTGAACCTCTTTATTTACCAAAGGAATAACTTTTTCCTGCCTTCGACTGCATATTTGGCATCTCCATTGCCGTCCCCATAAGGCAATTTCCCGTTGGGGCGTGAGTTCTGGGCCACCCTGTATAATAGCATATTGGTAGTTTAGTACAGCGTTTACTCAAGCCAGCGTCGCGACGCCCCTACGATTCGCAATTCCGAAAACTTCTCGCATGCAAATGCCTATCCGGCCCGCCTAACGATTGTCGTAGGCAATTAGCGGCGTCGGCGTCGGCGTCGAGGTGGATATCGCACAGAGAAAGCCGGAATTTCCGGCTGGCGCGAGCGGCGTAATCAAGGGGTATTTGTTGCACGTCGTCGGGCAGATCAAAGCGCTCCCTCACGTTCCTCTAGCTCGGACCCCAATCCCCCCGGGGGCCTCGTTCGGACGGCGCCCTTCCTCGCACCTACCCTTCTATATATGTTTTTTTTTTATTTAAGGGTTTAATTCTAACGCGAATTAAATCAAGAAGGCATGAGTTAAGTTTCAAATATCAAGGCGACGTTTTAGCTAGGAATAAATTAGGGTTGATTGAGCAGTTTGTATCGTCGAGGCCCATAAAGTCGGATTAGAGAAAACAAAAGGATCGCCGAAAATTTCGGAAATTAAATAATTTCCTATTATCAGATATCGGCGACGGCGCCATCGCTCGTTCCTCTCTGCATCCCATTTTTCGGCTGTTATCTCTCCATGGCGATTCTTCTCGAGTTCTCGTCGCGAATTTCCATCGTTCGATTTAGAGAACAAACTCATTTCGCCAAACCTACATTTCCAGGAGATAGTTAAGCGTATTTATTTAAAAAAAATGAATCTTATATTATCTCTGTAGTAGTGTGTTGTGTGCGGTGTGTAAAAGAAAATGTACTGGAGTACACCGAGCATTATCTTACTGCGGCAATTTTAGCATCAGAAATTGTTCCTCCTCGGCTCGGAAACTCGCAATTTATTCGATATTTATCATTTCCTCTCAGAAACATATTTTACAACAGTTGGCAAAATACTTCCTAAGTTTCGTTCGTGACCCTATTTTTTACTCCTCAACATCGCACATCATTTTTATGGAAGCGGGAAACATTACAGCAAACATGTAGAAATTTTCTTTCGCTCGGGTAGAAAAGTTTTCTTTTACTTTACTTTTTCGCCCGAGTGGAATTTCATTCGACGGCGCGATTTTTTTTTTTCTTAATCCAGCATTATTCTATTTACTTTTTTTTGTGCGAAACTAAACTATTCAGCGTGGTGGTATTTTTCGAAAATTGTTAATGGAAAATCTCGTTTCGTTTTTTCTTTATATGAGAGATAAAGCTTGCATTTTCTCCGAGACATGTTATGCTTTTTTTCTTAACATAATACCCGCTTATAAATTACATTCAGCTACAACTTTTATGCGACGTCTAGCCGGGATAGACGACTTCCTCGTCCCGCAGGAATCGCAAAGTCAAGAAAATTTATTTCCTCCGCAGTGAATGATAACCCATCTCCTGTTGGACTGTGCGCTGTTTTTTTATTGTTTTGATTAAAAACGCCGGAATGGATGCGACAGACCGAGACGCTTAAAACTTCTTTGAGAGAGCCCCGATGAAGTTAAATACAAAACGGAAAGTTTCGCCCGAATTTAAC